CGAAGAATATCCCACCTTCGGAACTTGGCACCACAGCCAGAACATGTTGGGAGACCATCTCGGGAGTGCACTGATCGATCAAGAACCAAACCAGCTTCGCCCTGTCGCGCAGGAACAATAGATAGATCAGAGGATGGTACAGAATGAATGACGACTTGTGAGGACACATGAACCGCCTGTGCCGGACTCAATGGTGTACTGGCTGCAGCACCAACATGGGTGACTACGGTTGTGGTACCATGCTTCACCTGTGTGGATGACGCCGACTCTACCACAGAGACTGGCGGAGCCGTCGGAAGCACACCAGTCGGAGGTTCAACAGACGTACCTTCCTGAGACTGTGAATCAGCGCTGGGTTTGGGAGGTCGGTGACTCTGATACATGTGTAATTTCACCGATTTGCGAGAGTCGAAATACACACCGCACACAGGACAGGCATGAGGCTGAATCTCTCTGGCAACATGTGTGAGCTTGTGCTGCGTAGCCTGTAAAGTCTCATTCATTTTGTCGTGCCACCGGGCAAGAACAGCCGTGGAAATGCCAATCGCATTGTTCGTACATGCATCCCGAGCATATGCATCCTTCAACCAGTCAGATACACCAGCGACCTGGTATTTAGCAAGCAGATCATTGTCACTCATATGATAGATGTGTGACGGACATGAGCAAATGGCTCTGAAGTGCTTCATGATAACTGTCTGCAATTTACGTTGCAAAGTGGGGCCGACCAGACAACAGTCTACTGCACACATAAGCGTCGGCCTGATAGTAGCCATCCACATCCGAATTCTCTGAGGAATACTGAGACCTCGCTTGCTCGTGAAGAACTTTTGCAATTGCCAAAACCGGACATTGGCCTTCTGCAGCCTGTGCGCGATCGTCTGTGCTTCAAATTGATCGTATGAGATCTTGGCACCCAAATGCACGGTAGACCGCACCAAACGAACATGTCGAGTGCCCTGCTCTCCTTCAATCACGAACACCAATTTGTCCCGGACCTTGGTTGTGAAGTCACTGCGTGCCTTCTGTCGAAGATTGCCCCGTACCGTGAACAGTATTTGTGCCTTGTCATCATTCAGTGACATTCCGAATTCCTCAAGTGTCTCCATGATAACCGAAAGTTGCCAAATACACTTGCGAAGTTCCTCGTAGCTGTGAAAGGTCCACGTGGAGTGCGTGTCGTCCGCGTACTGCGTCAAGTGCTCCTGGCGGCCGAGTTTTTCGTTGAGTCGCCGACATATGAGTGTCATGAAGGCCAAAAAGATTGTTGGCGATCCTCGGCACCCCTGTTTTACTCCACGTCCCACCTGTATGCAGGAGGTATGTGCACCATTGTGTATTTGGTACTCAGAGCAACTGAGCCAGCCTAATAGAATGGCAGCCAAATCTGGGGGCACCTTCGCCTGTGTAAAGGCATCCCGGATGTGATGCCACGGCACCCGATCGAAAGCAGAACTGAGATCCAAGCATACTTGGAGTCCTCCACATAGCTCCGACGGTTTCCATCCCTCGAACCGACGATGTAGCGCATCAGCTTCATCCTGCTGACACAGATGTCTAACGGCATCACGGTGTCTGCAGACTGGAAGCATCGGGGGCGCACCAGGGCCGTGGGACCAAGGGCTTCAGAACATACCGGGGCACCTGAATCACGCGCTGGCTCTGGGCGATTACACAGGAGGCCGGGTGTGGATCGAAAACGATGAGCGAGACTGGCTGCGGGCGAGCGGAAGCTGCGGAGCAGGTGGCTCGACATGCACGATGAGCCGGTGAGCTTCGACGCCCGCCGCTATCACGCGGTGGAGCCGCACGAGGGCAGCATCTGGGCTCTGCTTAAAGGGCCGGTGTGGTTAGTAAATGAATAACAGACTTGATATAGTTACCTATCTCTTGTATGTTAAGTTATAAATGAAGTAAGTCTGGTTATAAGTTCAGCAACTATGCTATGTGGAGAGGTATAACTTACTAAGTGTTGAGGACAAGATAGTAAGTAGTGTAAGTGAATAAGAGACTTATATATGTTATAGGTGTGAGTTAATAAGTGACTTACAGTAACTCAGGTAAGTAACTTAGGTGACTTAGGTATTCGTTTGTAAGTCAGATAATAAGTTGAATAAGTTGACATGGTCTCTGGCCAGGAGATGATGGGAAGGATGTTTTTCTGCACGTCCAATGAAGTTGGAAGCTTTCTTTGCATGAAGTTGGAAGCTTTCTTTGCATGTGAGAAAAATGATGCAAACCTTTCTTGCTGTGCTCAGAGCATGCATGCATATGAGAAAATGATGTAAACCTTTCTTGCTGTGCTCAGAGCAATGCATGCAGGCAGGCATGCTTAAGACGCTTTGCAGGGCCACCGGCTCGCAAGCAGTGTATGCATGCTGTTGCTCAAGCTGAGTTTTGAGTTTGCGGGATCCTTGCAGGCTTGCTTCGGTGATCTTCGGTGTCATCGACATGTCCCTTTCGCACGAAGTGAAGGTGCAGCTGCAGTCCTTTCTGGAGGAAGCTGCCGACGGAGAGAAAATGGTTAAAGTGGTTGAAGCCACCTTGGACTTGCTCAGGAAGAACCACCTGCTGTCGACCATAAAGCTGGAGCCCAAGCTGGTGGGGGTTCACCCCAGTAACCGAGACGGTTACGGGGTGAACCCCCAGGACGTGCTGGACCTTGTGGACAGCATCATCGATGTGGGGTTCGTGAAAGGCCGAGTGCATGTCGTAGGCGCGGAAGTTGAAAGCCAGCACGTGAGGGACTGGAACTCCAATCTCTTCGCTTCGGCCAACGGGGGCCTCGGCTCCATGGAGCCGGATCTCCAAGGTGACCAGCATCTGCGGCTCTCACACCAACTCGGCCTTGCGACTTTTTCGCGATGCCGTGCCACACTCCAACGAGCTCGTGTGCACCGGGGGGCGATTGAGCATGGAGATGCTGAAAACTCGCGATCCTGCTTTCCACGAAGCCGCGACCGAAGGCTTGTCGTGGGATGTAATCTCTGCAGCCGTCGCCCGCGAGGTGCCCGAAATCCTCGAGCTGGTCTCCAGGTCGGGCAACACCTCCCTGCAGAGGGGGGAGCATGAACTCCAAGTCCTTCGCCGAATTCATGGCCTCTACTGTAAGATGCAGGCTTCGGGCCAGACCCCCTCGTTTGCTTCTCTGAAGAAGCAGATATTGGCTTCGAAACCGAAGTGCGGGGTATCCGTCCCTCACATGTACTCCTACTGCCTCAAGTGCAGCGGGGGCCAAGAGGCCGTACATCTCAAAGAAACGGAGCTCTTTGTGCGGGCATGCTGCCCTTCCTCAAGACAGCTGGGGCCGGATCTGTGGCAGGCTTTGTCCATGGAGATCAAGGGGCATGGCTCCGAGGCCGTTGCTTGTTTTCGCAACGGCCTGGTCAAGTTGGCATATGTGCGGCAAAACGTCTCTGTGGGGGACTGCCGGAAGCTCGCTGCGAACTTCACGAAGGTGAAAGAAGCAGACGAGATCATGTTGGCTGCGCGGGCCATGCTAACAGAGCAACTCGGGGAGTGGAAGGATGCCGGCCTGGTGAAGGCCCTTGCAACCATGGACATGTGCATGTGCGGCATGGTCCTTGGCTTGAAGCAGAAGGGCGAGAAGGACTACAGGACCTTGCAGGCCGTGGCCCATGATTTCTGCCTTGTGGCCCAGGAGCTCACTGGGAGGACCCTTCCCTTGAAATGGCAAGGCTTCGCCGAGGCAACAGCAGCACCTGCAGCGGCAAAGGCATCGTCGTCGAGTGCACCGGTGCTGCTTGAGTTGGATGAGCATGGTGCAATCAAGAATCCGGTGGGTTTGCTAGAATCTCGAGGCTATGCATTTGGCAGCAATGTGAGGAGGCGAGCTGACAAGACCACTGGCAAGATCCAAGATGTGAAAGGCGGCCTTGTGTACATCCAGTTGGACTCCGGCGACGTCGCGAAGGAATCCATTGACAAGATTCTGGGCAACGAGTGGGCCGTCTTCACCCCCAAAAGTGAGGCAGAGGTACTGGAAGATTTGAGCATCTACAGCCCTTCAACGAATGTTGAGCTCCAGGCCTTCATGCTCCAGGCAGAGATCGCGAGGCAGCTTCAGAAACTTTTTGATGAACAGTCCTCTGGCATCGACAAGCTTGCCTTGCAAACGAAGCCCCAGAAGCAGCTTCAGGCCTCGCAGGACATCCCCAAGGGAAAGGTGACATTGGTGCCATTGACGAGCAAGATCCTCCACAAGGGCTCCAGCCAAGCGAGCTGGTTCGAGGTGACGACGGACTGGACGATGGATGCGAGGAAGTTCTACCTGAGCTCCTCTTGTGTGCTGCCCAAGGAAGATGATGACAAGATCAAGCCTCTCATAGTCCCGTTTTTCTTCGTGAACTACACAGAGGACGAGGACGAGGCCAACGTGAAGTTGCAGCCCATGCAAGCAGAAAAGTCTTCCTCCATCAAGATCCCCGTCTTCAAAAGCACCAAGAAGATTGCTGCCGGGGAGGTCGTTTTGTGCTATAAGGCCAAGGACCTTAAAGCTCCACCCCTCCACCTCTCCCCCAGTGCGGCGAAGCGATCGTCGTCCGGCGGAGTGGCAGTTGCAGCGAAGAAGAAAGCGAAGAAGTGAGAGGCATGTGATTTCTATATATGCATCATGTGCACATGTGGATGCCAGCGGTTTTGCTTTCGCTTGGCATTGGAACGAAGGCCCACCCGGGCACAGCCTCATATGGCAACCTGACAGCATGATCAGGCGCTTTTCAGGCTGCAGGGTGGCACGATCGGCATAAGCAGAGGTCCAGCTGCATTGGTTCACAGAAATTGCGGTGCTTGAGCATGTTTGTTTTCTCTTGACTTTTGCATGCAAGCCTTGATTCAGTGCAGCATCGAATGCATTGTTGCAGCAGTGCATGCAGGTTTTGCACTTGAGTTGTGCTGGAGCCGCCTCAGCAGGGCAACTTTGCTCGCTTGGCAGGCTTTGCATCTCAAGGACAGACACAGTGAGAAGCTGTTGAGTCGCCATGGCAGAGGATCCAACTTTCGAAGTGGAGACTCGCAAGATCATCTTTTACGGCAAGCATGAGTGGTGCCCCACTCAGAAAATAGTCGAGGAGCGGACCTTTTTCTCCTTCACGAAGTGGTCTGCACAGCTGACTCGCATGATGACCGGCAAGCGACTTCAGCTTGGGGGTGGGCGGGCTGCAGAAAGTGGTTCCTTGAACGTGCCAGTGATCGGCAAGATCTTGGAAGCCCGGCAGTCGGCCTGCGACAAAGCCCTTGAGGAAGCTCTGAAAGTCGAGGATGGGTTGGGCGACGAGGATGAGAAGCCGAAGAAGAAAGCCAAGAAAACCATTCGAAGGTCATCGGCCAAGGACCTCCACCTCCTTCCTGAAATAGTGGACGTGTCGGTGGCTGAATTCCAGATGTCCTTGCTTTCGGAGGGGCTGTCGACTGGAACGATCTGGATGGAGCTCCGTCCCGAAAACCTCTCCTGGCTCAAGTCTTGTGTCGACAAGGAAGAGGCAAAGCCTCGTCAGAAGAAGGGGGAGGCCAAGCCAAAGCAGTGATGCCATCATGCTGTCCGGGAGGTTCAGAGAACCTTATACATGTGGCAAGTTTTGTGCAATCTGCCATGTTTCAAAAACCCTTTTGCATGCACTACATTTGTGCTTGCAATGTACAATGATGACGATGGAAAGTTCATGGGCAGGGTGGGTTCTGAAACCTGCTGGCGAGCTTGCAGCCCTGCCTGCGGTGCGACACACGAGCTTGCAAGTCAGTCTCTGTGTGTGTCCGTGTGTGTGTGTGTGTGTGCAGTGTGTGTGTGTGTGTGTGTGTGTGTGTGTGTGTGTGTGTGTGTGTGTGTGTGTGTGTGTGTGTGTGTGTGTGTGTGTGTGTGTGTGTGTGTGTGTGTGTGTGTGTGTGTGTGTGTGTGTGGGTGTGTGTGTGTGTGTGTGTGTGTGTGGGGGTGTGTGTGTGTGTGTGTGTGGGTGTGTGTGTGTGTGTGTGTGTGTGTGTGTGTGTGTGTGTGTGTGTGTGTGTGTGTGTGTGTGTGTGTGTGTGTGTGTGTGTGTGTGTGTGTGTGTGTGTGTGTGTGTGTGTGTGTGTGTGTGTGTGTGTGTGTGTGTGTGTGTGTGTGTGTGTGTGTGGGTGTGTGTGTGTGTGTGTGTGTGTGTGGGGGTGTGTGTGTGTGTGTGTGTGGGTGTGTGTGTGTGTGTGTGTGTGTGTGTGTGTGTGTGTGTGTGTGTGTGTGTGTGTGTGTGTGTGTGTGTGTGTGTGTGTGTGTGTGTGTGTGTGTGTGTGTGTGTGTGTGTTTCTGTGTCTCTGCAGCATGCAGTAGCAGGTTGCCTTTCCGTTTGCAAGGTCATGCACTGCACATGTGCGGTTTTTTTTCTTGAGCTGTGATCATCAGCTGCTTTTCAGCTCAAGTTGTTTGCCTCCCACGGGAGGCTGGGTCCTGTTTTGCCATGCTGGCTTTCGGCTTTTTGGATGGCCACCTGCCAACGGCGGAGGAGGCCATGGAAAGAGGGATGCACGAGCTTTTTTTGTTTCTGTGCTTGCAATGAAGGCGGACAGCTTCGAGGCCTGCGGCCTCATGGAGCCGTTCACGAACAAGGCCAAGGGCAAGTGGTACAACGACAAAGGCGGGTTTGCCCAGCCTTTTGCAGAGATACGGAGTTAACAGACAAAACCATGCAGGAGCCGGGATCAGCTGGTCTGCCACCATGGGACGGAAGGTCCTGGGGGCTGGAGGTGCCATGGGCTCTCACATGGGTTTCGGGGTTGCAGGGCTGAGGGATTCTTGCATGAACTGGCAGGAGAGATCTTGTGGACCCACCCGGAGAAGAAGCGGGAGGATGTGCCGACCAGTGGCTGGGTCTACTGGGACGGCACACCCGCTGCGATCTGTGTGGAAGGCACATCTTAAGATGACTATATAATAGTATATATATATATAGATATATGTGTCTTTACATGTATATATGTATAAATGTATATATATATATATATGCATATATATATATATATGCATATATATATATATATATATATATATATATACATATATATATATATGTATATATGTATATGTATATATGTATATCTATACACATATAATATGTATACCATATCATAAATCACTTTATAGAAGAACTGCAAATAGAATCTATATAGATCGACATAGATGAATATAAACCCTAAACCGAAACCCTATATAAACCAAAACCCTTATATTAACCCCTGAAAAAAAACCCTAAACCCAATATCAACCCTAAACCTATACATACCTCTGGGCAGGCCACGAGGACTCGCCAGTCTACGAAACGGTGGAGGTGGAAGATGAAGAGGAGGAGGGGGATGCAGGCCGTGCAGGGTTTTCGCCTCCTGCCCTCCTTGCATGTGTTGTGCACGGCATGTGAAGGCAAAAAGCCCGCCGTGGTGTTGAAGGCCACCCCCAAGATCAAGGCCTGCAAGCTAGGTTCTGGAGTTTCTCATTGGTATATATGTGCCATACACATATATCTCCTTTGGCAGGACAACAAGAAGCGGCCCATGGAGCCGGCGGGTCCGCCGCCAAAGAAGACGAAGGCTGGAACTATAATGATTAAAAGGTTTGGCTTGAGGTTGAAAGTACATCCTGTCTATACATATATAGATAGGATGACATTGGATCTTAGATTAAATTAGATTAGGTTGCTTGGGTGAAGTTAAATGAGTATATACATTAGGTTGTATAAAGATTATACATAAGTATAGGTATGTAGCAGCTTACAAGGCTTTTAGGTTAAGTTAGATATAGTTTGGATTAGATTATATAAGATATAGATGCAGAGATACACAGATATCTGTATACATCCTGTGTACATATATATATATATAATATACATATATATATATATATATATATATATTGTAGATATCTAGAAAGGATCGCAGGCACTGTATAGAAACCCCCGACGGCTGGAATGCCTTCGTGTGCGGTAATTTGTGTCACTTCATTACAGGAACAAAATGTTGAGCATAGGTGCACTTTGGCATGTCCGGGCGGGCGATAGGGGGCACAGCTCAAAAGCTGGCGCTTTCTTATTGGATAGGAATACTTTGATAAGATGTTGGGTTTCTGGATAGATATATAGGTGGGGAGCCTGCCAGCATGCTCTGTCTCTGACATGATTATACAGTGTCTGAGAGAACACTGTACTGTCAGGGGCACGGCAAGATCGCCCACGAGGAGGCTCGGGCCCAATTCTTCAGCAAGCCCGTCCCAACAAATAAAAGTGATTGTGCAGCAGGACGACCAGGATGGATGGAGCCAGGCCGGCATTTCTTCTTGGCTTGGAAGCATGCAGGGTTCTGTGTGCCACGGTAGGACGGAAAGTGGAAAGGAAGCGGAAGCTCCAGTGCAGCAGGTGCACCGAAACCGATTCATTGTGAAACCCCTGCCCTTGCAAGCCTTCTTTGTTCATTTGGACAGGATGGAAGAAGCCCGCGCCGACCAAGGGCAGAGGCAGGTGTTTGGGGAGTCGAGGTCAGCCGGCTTTTATATTCTGCCGACAACAGGCAGCTTCGAGCGGCCTTCCTCGAAGGGCGGCCACTACGTGATGGCCCACTACGTCGACGAAAGCGGGAAGGCCGGAAGCATTGCCACTGCAGTGGGCCGCATCGTTCGTTCCAGCCTGGCAGGCTTGCCCTCCAGGGGCAGGTCGGACCCGTGGCCGGACCCGTGGAGGAGCTGCCATCCGCTTGATCGAGGCGAAGCAGCAGGCCAAGGACAGCACCCAGCACTTGGAGGACACCCTTCTATAATCCCAACAAAGCATCGCCAACAACCCACCCCCCACAAAACAAAGCATTTTGCCAGGACCTGCGAACCTCGGTCTCGACGATGCACCTCATGGCGAAAAGCATGGAGAGGTTGCAGAAGGAGTGCCGCCGTAGAGCACCATTGTTGTTTCTGGGTATTCCTCTGACAAGCCTGCTTCAGGACAGCCAGGGGTGAAAGCCCGGACGGTTCCGTCCTTGGCTGTGCCCGTGGGTTCGGTGCGGTTTTCCTGTCTGGCGGTCCCAGGTGCTGGGAAAGCATCGGCTGTGGTGGCTGTGCACAGAGGCTTCTGCCTTGGCTGACGAGTGTGGTGCAGTTGCAGTGGTTGTGTTGGTTGCTGGCCGTGGTTATCCTGACTCGATGCAGGCGCCGCCGCAGCTTCCCGGAGCTCTGAAATTGGAGCAACAGGTCCAATGGCATCCCTTCGGGTAGTTGGCCAGGTTTATGCATGGATAAACCTTCGGAGCTAAAAAGTTGCTAAGGTTTATCCATAAATAAATTTTGGGGGCTTTAAGGCCTTACTTCTATACCAGAAATATTCGCGGATAAACTTTTCTAGCTTCGAGGCTGCCGGGGTTTATTCATGCATAAACCTGGTGGTTTCTGCCACGTAGCTTGGCTGCTCTGCATTGATGCAACATAACACACAGGCCTTGTGATCTAGCTTCTGCTGAAGACACTTGTGTTGCTGCAGCCGGAATGCATAGACGTGTCCGACCTCCCAACTGCAGGGGCCAGGCTATCGTGCTAGGGTAACACACGAAGCTGTTAGGCACCTTCTGGGCTGCTGCATATACAGTCATACACATAGCCGTGCCCGGCCTCTGCAACTTGTTGTTTTCTGCAGCTGATGCTGCTGCCGACCAACCACACAAGTGATCGGGCGCCCTGGGCACGAAAACAAGTCCTGTGCGGATAGACTTCCGGTGCAGTGTGTCGGTGTGTGTGTGTGTGTGTGTGTGTGTGTGTGTCTGTTTGTCTCTCTGTCTCTGTAGTCTGTCAGCAGAATATACTATTATATATTATACTACATGACAATGCTATACTCCCATGTATAGTATAGTATACAGAATATATTCTACATTGTATACTATAATGCACTATACTGTATATACTACTATACCACGATAATATATGTTACTATATAATGTATTACGATCCTGGTATATTATCTATTCTTTTATATTACATACATCAACAACAGCGACAACAGCAACAACAGGACCACCGCGACAACCACCAGGCACCAACAACAAGAAAGCACCACAGCCACAGCAACAACAGCAGTCAGAACAACCACGGAAGCAATAACAAAACCGTGTGTTTCAGCCTCCCACGTGCACTGGCTCTGCACATGTGCTTCTGCCTGCTGGCGAGCTGACAGCCCTGCCTGCGACTTTGGAGGCTCCAGTGCAAGGATGACGAAAGCCCACAACAAAATAGGTAGAACATCCGAGAGCTTTGGCTCTGCTGCACGGAAATCAGTCTGTGGATGCCAGATAGTTACGATATGGTCTTCGCCACTAGCTGGTTGCGAAAACTGCAGACCGAGAATCTGCAGACGTGGAGCCTGGAAACCGAAGATCGGGAACGTGTGCTGGAGTGGCTCGTGCTAGGCATTGTTGGAAGCACCATCTACAAAGACGAAGGTGTCTGGATGTCCATCATGGCCGTGGACTCGTGCCACGATGCTGTGCTGGTCCGTGACCACGAGAGCTCCTGTTACATAGCAGTGCAGCTCCAGAGACTTTTTGCTGGTTCACTAGGAACAATGGATTGACTTGTGCTGCGATTCAAAGAAAGCCGTCTGTGCATCATGGCATTTCATGAGTGATTTCTGCTGTGCACTGTAGACTGTCATGCATGAATAGGTCGCAGCAAGCAGGGTAAGCTTTTCAGTTGTGTCTCGCTTGCAGGGCATTTTGCTCGCAAGCAGAGCATACAACTTCGAAGCCGCACCTTTTATCGTAATCATGGCCGTGGTCGCTCGCCCGGACGTACAACAACTGGAAGCGGCATGGAGCGAGCCCAATCAGCTTGTGCCGGGGAACGAGAAGTTCGAGCCTTTGGGATTGTTGAAATGCTATCGTGTACATGTAGGACACGATTATTTTCCGCATCAGGGATATGCTTGTTACTTGTCGAGGGAGCTGGGCCAGGGAGCTCGCCTTTGGCGATGCGAACGAGGTGGTCTCCTCAAGTGGATGGTCACTCGGCCAGCTGAGGTCCGGGCCGTGGCAGTGTCCTTGACCGGCCGGCTGAGGTTTGGGTTTCTGGTTGTCCAGGCCCGGATGCTCTCCGGAGCACAAGTCTGGTCCGGCACGTACCCGGCCGAGCAAGACGTGAAAGTGTCGGCTGTGAGCACCGCCATCCGGCGCAGCATGCTGGTGGCTGGTCGCATCCAGTCGACACACGTGTTGAAGGTCATGGGCCACAAGCTCCTTGTCCACGGCCGCAAGATTTGGAGCTGCAACTGGTCCAAGACCATGGCAGCCAAGAAGCTGCCCAAGAAACGGCTTTTTCGAAAGACGGATCCGAGGTTTCTCCGTCTGGCCCAGTCCGTGCCACTGTTTTGATTTTTGATTCAGGAGAGGAAAGATCGAGTGCTCAGTGTGCAGGTTGTGTAACTACGTACATGTCTATGTATATATACATGGTTGTCCTGCAAGAAATGCATGCCGGAATCGTGAGTTGTTCGCAGGCAGGGCTTTCATAGCTCGCCACAGCAGGACGACTTTTGAGGGATTCCTGCTTTCCTCTCGCCATGGCAGCCGCCTTCTTGAACCAGCTCCATGACATGCTCCACAAGCAGAAGCCGATCATGGGCGATCACTTCGACGGCATGCTTGCTGCACAGAAAGACTGTGCCGTGCGAGCCATCTCGCAACACAAAGTGACCACGCAAGAGGCAGCTGAGCTGTGCAGCTTGATCCAGCAAGGGCCCTGGAACGAGAGCCAAAAAAAGGAGCTTGGAAAAGCAGTCTCCAACTCCGTCTCGTCGGGGATGATGGCTGCTGGCAAGAAGAAGAAGGGCAACCAGACCCAGGAAGTCGACAACTTCTTCTGCTTTTTGTCAGCTGAAGACAAGCAAGTCCTGGCCGAGGCCAGTGCTGGAGTGCACTCAAGGTGCAATCACATCGCCGAGATCATGGAGAAGATGGGCCTGTATTGGCCGTCGGAGAAGGCGACAGGTCATATCGTCTCAACGATGGCAACACTGCAGTCAGCTGGCCTTCAGTCTCCTGATGATTTTCACGGGGCTGTGAAGAAGCTGAAAACCATCATCAAAAGCAGGCTGAAAAAGAACAAGGATGCCAAGGACCACGAATTTGTGGCCGTGTACAAGGAGCCAGCCATGTTGCCCGAGATCTACCGCAGTCACTTTGAAAAGGCTGAAGCAGGCGAGCTCCCTGCTTCGAGCCTTGTTGCCCATGGTCCTCTGCGAGGCAGTCACAAGTCCCTCAGCAGCAGCAGCAACAGCAGCAGCAACATCGTTGGCAACAACATGATGAACCACAGCCTGATGAAGAAGATGATGGCCGACGGCAACGGCATGAGCATGATGGGACTGATGAGCTGCATATCGACATGCATGCAGCAGTTTCAGCAGCAGTCCAGCAGCTTGCAACTGCCAGGCTTCAAGTTGTTGGGAAAAGCCGGCGGCAACGAAACCAGTCCAAATCGGGCTACAAGCATGATGGCGACGCCGAGCCCACCGCACGACTCTCCAGAGTCCAGCCATCGTGTTTCAAGCCCGGTGCAGCCTCATCATCAGCAGCTTGCTGTGGCCGCATGCCCGGTGCAGCCTCATCAGCAGCAGCTTGCTGTGGCCGCATGCCCGGCGCAGCCTCACGATCAGCAGCTTGCTGTGCCCAAGGCTGGGCAGGAGCCTGTGGGTCCGGCCGAGCAGGCTCGTCAGACGCTTGCTGCATGGAATGCAAACAAAGCGGCAGCAGAGGGAGATGAGGAAGATGAGGAGACTGAGAAGCCCCGGAAAAAGCCTGCCGCAAAGCTCCAGCAGACGAAGAGTGTGCTGCCGAAGAAGAAGCCGGCAGCGAAGGCGAAGTCGCAGTCCCAGCCCAAGCTGAGCATCAAGAATCTGAGCATGAGCAAGAGGTTGAAATTGCGACCCAACGGCTGCGGCAAATGCCGCAACCGACCGGGCTGTTGTCCGTCGTGCTTCAAGAAGTGATTTTTGTTGGCATGCAGACATGACATGTGTCTCTGTATGCGAAGTGTGCAGTCTATATCTATGTAGATGTATATACAATCTATATAGGAACATGTATGCATGTCTATATGCCTTTCTTGCAGACTGTACAGGTGACTTCTGCAGTGATGGCCGTATACACAGACGGCAATGGCCGTGCACGTATACGGCAAGAAATGGGGACTGCAGAGACATCCTGCACCGTCTCGGGTCTATATATGTTTATCTGTGGTGCCATGGTGCACCATGTTCCATTCACCCGGGGTTTCAGTGCCATCAGCCTCAACGAACTTTGTGCACGGACAGAACAGTCTCTATGCCGTGTGCACGGAGGCTTGCATGGCAATCTGGTGTTATATGCAGCGACTTAGGATTCGACTGAGCCGCAAAATGTGTGGTTTGCCCGCATGCACATGTGTGCACGAGCGATGTGGATGATAGCTTCGACAGCTTGCATGATGGCCAAAGGATCATGTCCATGTGTGGCAGAGTGTATTTTAGGGTTGAGGGTTGAGGGTTTAGGGTTTAAGGGTTTAGGGTTTTATAAAGTTCGTGTTTGTATGTACTTTATACACTGTACCAAAGTATATATATATATGCATATATATATATATATATATATATAATATGTATATACATATGGCATGTTATGACAGTTTATGGGTTCGTGTATACATATATATATATATATGTGTACATATATATATATATATATGCATATATATGTATATATATACACATATATGCAAGCACACTGCAATGGGGTTTATCCAGAACATGCACATATCAGAGAGTCCTGAAACAACTTTGGTCGCTTTTGCAGGGCTGTGTAAAGCTCGCAAGCAGACCACATGGCTTCCCAATCGTCGGGATCCAAATCGGCCAACCCGTTGTCGCAATTGGGAAGGAAAGTTTTCACCACCCAAAGAGCCCTCGCTCAGATCCTGAAGGAGATTCGTGAGCTGGATGAGCTACCTGCAGCTACAGGCCGGAGCTCGGTGAAAAGAGCTCGTGAAGAACTGCTGCATGATTATGCTACCCCTTATGGGCCCATCTACATCGAGCCCACACTTCAGAAGGAAGACGGCACCGATGTTACAATTCCGATTTTGAGTCCAGCTGCAATGCTGGCTTGGGCATGCGAGCACTGTGCAGCCTTCGGCCAGCTCTTGCAGAAGCAAATGGCACTGAAGCCGCCGACCTACGAGAAGCCTTGGACTCTGATTTGGTATTCGGACCAAATCGCACCGGGCAATCAACTGAAGCACGTGAACCGTCGCAAGGCCCAGGTCATCTATTGGTCCCTGCAAGAACTGGGAGCCCATGCGATGTCCTGCGAGTCGTGCTGGTTTACCTTGACGGCGGTTCGCAGCACCGTGGTCGCAGACATGGGGGGGATGGCGGTTTTGTTCCGCCAGCTGGCCAGGTTTTTTTTCGAGACCCCCGATTGGCGGCAGGGACTTCTGGTCAACTGCCCCATCGGCTCTCCCCCTCTGTTTGCCGATCTTGGCATACTAATCTCCGACGAAGCTGCTATAAAGCAAACCCTCTGCAACAAGGGTGCTTCTGGACTCGTGTTCTGCGTCCACTGCCAGAATGCAGTCGACCACAAGTCGCACGTTGCTGCCAGCAGTCGGGGCACACAAGTATCCAGCCTGGAGACCGACATTTCCAGATTTCGTCGCCAGACGAAGGAGTCCATCAAAGCCTATATGGACTACCTCGCCGAGCAGAAGCCCTTGCAGACCAAGACAAAGTTCGAAAAGCTGCAGACTGCCCTGGGTTTTAACTTTAAACCAATGGGCTTACTGGCCCATGCAGCCTATGGCCCCAAGCTGATAGACTGCATTATGTTCGACTGGACGCACGTCTACCTGGTCTCAGGGCTGTTCAATGTGCTGACAGGGCTTTTCCTTGGAGACCTCCATCACAATGGCTGGAAGCACAACGACATTGAGCGGTTCGCAAGGACTTTCACATGGCCTGCACGTCTGCGACGTGCTGCCCCGAAGGATGTGTTGCAAAAGAGAGGATCCTACAGTGATCCTCTCAAGTGCAGTGCATCGGAGGCTCTGAACTTCCTGCAGGTGCTGCGAACCTATCTTGTGCTCTGGGTGCTGCCGCAATGCAACGAGGACATGAGAAACTCATGCGAGGTTTGGTTGGCGATGTGCAAGGTCCTGGATGCTTTGCAAAAGATCGCCATAGGGGATCCTTTCCCTGCAGTCCAACTGCAAGTCTTGGTGAAAGGCCATCTGGACCTCGCTAAGGTCCGCTACGGTGAGGACTCCTTTTGGGTACCCAAATGCCATTTGGCACTCCACTTGCCCCTTCAGTTGGCCAAACACTCAGGTCTGATGAGCTGCTTTGTGCACGAAAGAAAGCACAAAATCATCAAGAAAATCACCAACCAAGTACTCGACACAAGTCGGGCTTTTGAGAAGAGCACACTCGATGATGTGCTACATGGGCATTTGCAGCAGCTCGCCGATCCGGCTTTTCTCCCAGGAGACGCTTGCATGCATTATGCATTTATTTCTTCTATATACCACTAGATGTTGTTATAAAAAGGTTCACAACATTTTGTTTCCAGTTTCGTCGTATGCAGTTTAGGAAGGGGTGCACTTGGTTCAGCCTGTGCGACCAGCCCCTGCCAAGCTCCAAGCCGAGCTCCGGCGATGCATGAACATCCAGGGCGAGATCATGACAGCAAACCAGGCTGTGCATGCAGGGAACTTCACAGTTTCGGCAAAAGACCTCGCGGCTTTGCATCTGGATGGTGAAAGGCTTGTCGGCAGGGTGGGCTACCACGTCCAAGCAGATGGGACATGCTGGTCACATGTCACTCTTTGGAACCACGTGCATGGAGCCATGTTCACCCTGTCGGACGATGTGGCCCTTGTAGAAACCAAGCATATCCATGCCACTTGTGCCTTCAGTGTGCAAGGCGACAGTGCTGTCGTGGTGCTGCCATGAGAAAAAAAGACCTGCCTGCGAGCTTGCAGCCCTGCAATCAATGGCGGTCTTCGTGTAAATATCTCTATAACACGTTCCCTTTTGGGAGGCAAACGGTTGGAAATTGCATGTTCAAAAATCACAAATCCATCAGCTCTGAAACCACTTAGTTTACTTAGCAGACTTATCTAAGTATGACTTAGCTGCAACGATAAGTTGACCTAGCTATCTATGCTAAATGGAGTTATGCTAAGTGGGATAAGTCAGTCATTAAGTCGACCAACCGAATACTAAGCATGATGACTTTTTACTAAGCCCAGCGGGCCTTTAAGTTGGTTGTCAGACTGCCTGCTGCAAGTCTGCTGCGCTTGAGTGGACCAGTGGAACGGGATGCGAACTAAAACCAACTCAGCTGGAACCTGGAGTGACCCATCGGATCTCATGCCTGAAAATAGAGGAATCCTTGATCAATACTGAACGAGCCGGTGGCAGCCAAGCCACAAGGCATCGTAGAAGCCACGGTATTGATAGTGGTTCAAGTTGTACCTTCCCATCGCGAAGTCAGTCTGACATCACTGCAAACGGTGTCCACTTGCGACTTTAACGGCCGCTGTTAGACTCGCATAGTATCCAAAAGCATCTAACCGACTTCCGAGTCCGGAATTACGAAGTCGAGGGTGTTGTCTGCACGATGGGCCATGTACTCCCTTCGCCGAAGCGCTCACACTCTGCGAGCCTAGATCAGCTTAGCCTTAAAATGCTTCATCCCGAAACCCTCCTTGAAGCCCACTAGAACTCTGTCTGCATCTGGCCTCTTCTTTCCGACTTTGCATGGCTGCGTGCAGCGCGGTACACCTCCGTGAACGTCGTACACGCCCCTTGCCTTCGGAGTGGAGAGGCATAAAGCTGGCACTTGTCAGTTCCGACGGTTCATGCACCTAATGGCCAATAACATGTCGGAGACATGTTGTTAGAGAAAGAACAACTGACGACGCACCACCTGTGCATGACTATGACGCAAAAAGAAGGGCCTCTGCACAAGCCGCCGGTATGTCAATCTCAAAATGCCGCCCAAAGCACGTCAGGAATGAAGGCCTTGCTCTTGACCATTCCTTTGAGCCTGGGCTTATCGGCGGATGTTTCGGGGGCCGTGGTGGCGGCATGCGTTGCAATGTCGTGTAGTTCGTTTTTCAGACTGTGGGCAGACACCCATGCCGGTCCAAGTTCCCAGTTCTCATGCAGCTCAGTCATGTGTCCCATGGGAGCTTCAAGGCAAAGTTTCGAGACATGACTTTACCATGCGTCTCAAAAAGGGAGGCCAAGCAAGCCAGTACATGACAGTCTCATACTCAGCTGGTCTCATCTGCCCCAAAACCTTCACACAACACATTCCTTGCTCGCGCGATGCGACTGATAGCTAGCTACACCTCTGCTGATCCACCAAATGATAGTTGAACACCAAATGAGAGTTGAAGCAGGTGATGCGAAATTGACAGTCTCCCAACACTCCAAAAGTTGCGAGTCTAAGATCACTTGCCTCAGAGTTCGAATCCCGAACCTTTCTAGAAAGTCCTGCGCAATGCACATCGAGAAAAGCTGCCCCACGCAGGGCAAAGGATATGGCCTGACAAGGGTGTTTCTGCGTGCGTTCAGCTGGGCACTTTGGGAGTCGGGGAATCCTGCATCTTGTCAGCTCACACCGTATCCGCATACGATTGCTTCGTTGTGCAATAGTCAGCTAGTGCTGGACCGACGACCCTGGCAAGGTTGGGGTGAATCGAATCAATGGTTGTCGACCTTCCTCTCTCGAGAACCCGTGCAAAGTATGCGGAGGTGATAACGGCGACTTTCAATCTGTGCACGGGCATGAGGCCTTGAACCTGGCAAGCAACGGACTTGGTGAACGACTCACCCGACACAAAACTACAGCGAAAACGAATCCTGTTCTGCTTCTGGGACTGGTTGCTTGCTGCGTCCGTGTCTGGACATGTCGGAACTTGTCAGCCTCAAGGGCACTTCGTAGCGAGATGTACAGCGGATAGCAGAAACCAAACAGCAAGCTCTTGCAGGTTCAGGGTCTCCCACCTCGCCACCCCGTGTGTCGTGTCGCAGGGGTAGCAGAGCCACTGCAACTCAAACCTCAGCTCCCAAGGACATCGAGGCCAAAACATATCTTCTCTCTCCCATTGCAGAAAGTATTGTGCCCAATGCCATAAGGCGCAAGACCGAAGTAGGAATATGTCCACTTTTGTAGGAGAGTTTTAGGAGTCAAGGCTGAGGGACATGTCCGCCTCCGGCTCGGATTCCACTATCTTCTTCAAGCTGAACTCCGGCGGTCGCAGAAACTCATCCACATCCTTGTCGAGCCATCAGCATCTGTGAATTCTTGAGTTTCTGGAGATCGTACACTTACTCGACCAACGGGGTGGCAACGACATGGTGTGTAACTGGCTGTCCCAAACGCCCCCTGGCATGCGCAAGTTCAGGAAATTCAATGCTGGTCACGAATGACACGATCCTGAACTTTGAGGGCACGAGCACGTGAAAACGAATTCCACGGCTTGACTTGGCCTACCATGCACAGCCAGCGAAAAGCCTTGCCCGTCGACCCAGTCAGGAATGCACGAACCCTGAGAGATCCCCCACACCCACACCCGCCCACCAACCTGACCGCGCGCCGTTCAATGAAACCCTCCACTTCTTCTTCATTGTCCAGACTTCAAGCCGCGGATCCACATCAATGATCCAGTCTTCCGTGACTGCCTCGCAATAGAGCGCACAACCAGCCTCTATGGGTCAAAGCTGTGTAGCACAGATGTGTGCAATTGATACAATGTGGTGCTACTCAAGTCGTCATGACGTACAGAAGGCAGAGCTCCAAAATTAGCCTATACGATCTTGCAGACCCCACAGCATGGCCAAAAGTGACACGAAACCTGAAGCGCTTCACTCGGCCCAAAGGCCCTGGAATGCAATTCGTATAGTTCCCACAGCCCAGAACCCGAAAAAACGATCAACGTCAATAACAAACCAGTCGAGGCCACGGAATAGTTCAGCTTCTGGAGCCTCGGATACGACGGAATGCTTTTTTAGTGGTTGGGCCTAGGTATCTACACACCTGTGGACAAGCGTTGTGTAATGCATCCGTGGCAATATGTGTGTCTTGTTATGTATGCATGCACTTAACATAAAAAGGCGCATGCATCCATTTTTTGGACACTATGATGTTTAGGCTTGCAGGCGGGGCGGGCAGGGGGCAGGCAGGCAGGGCCACTAGGCATGTATGAAACACTTAGCAGGTTCAGTGTAGCATGGCCAGAGCCCTTTCCGGGATCCCCTATTGTCGGGATCCGTTGCCCCCCCAGTATGTTGACACTGTCGCAGCTTCCGAGATTTTGTCGATCAGCGAAGGAAATTTTACCACGGGCCATTGCTGCCGAACCGCTGAGGAGTTTGTGTGTTTGCATGTCCGTCTGTATTTAGGCAGGTAGGTATGTATGACTATGTATAAATAAGTATATGTGCCGAAGAAGTTGCGTACTAACAAACGACGGATGTACATATATCGATATGTATGCATGCAGGCGTGTACGTATTCATCGCATGCACATGTACGTATGTACGTCAAGGTGTGCATGTCTGCATGTGTGTATGGCACGCATGTAGAAATGAGTGTATGTATGTATGCGTGTTTGTTTGAACGGTTTTTTGCATACTTGAACGACTTAAACATGATTGAAACCATGTAGATGTTGACTGAGTGGCTGAAAGGAGTGAATGAATGACAGGCTGAGTCACAAACTGAACGAATGATTGATGGCATGAATGAACGGAGGAAGGACGGAAGGAATGAATTATACTGGAATGAATGAATGGAAGGACGGAAGGAATGATGGATGATGGAATGGATGAATGAGTGAATGAATTAATGAATGAATGAGCGAATATGTCATGAGCATGAGCGGGGACACGGAATTGGCTTGGAACCTGAACATTCGTGAATGTAACTGAATGAAAGAATAAGGCATGCATGCATGCATGCATCCATGGATGGAGGGATGGACGGATGCAACCTAGTATGTCGACCAACGCAGTCGAGCAGCTTCTGCGGGTCGGCTGCACCCAGGAAAGTGACCTTTGTAAACTGTTGCGTGCCTATACTCACTCCAGAAGCAACACAGCACCAAAGCTGTGAAAACAGAGAAAAAGCAGTGGGAAAATGCTGCGACAGATTTCGGAGCTCAGATTAAATGGGCTTCCGTCGGGAGTTTCCCACCCCAAAAAAAGGAAGGCCCCCTCTCCAACCGGAGCACCTGCTTCTTGTAGCCCAGAGCATTGACCTGATATATGCAGGCGACTGTGATGCCGGGTCCGGGTTGCAAATATGTTTCGGTCTGAAACAAAGCTACTCTGCTTTAGGCGTGCTCAGCTTTGTCGACGATGTGATACTGCTATGCAGTGTCAAGCGAATCGCTTCACAATTGCTTAGAGCGAAGTCAGGCAAACCTAGGCACGGCACACCTCACGTCTAAGTGGAAGAAAACGGTCCGAAAAGCTTGCAACCTGTGAACTAACCTGGCCCCTCGGTGAAACACGGGGTGCCTTGTTTGCGATGAGCTTCTGCTCGCTCGGGTTCGTGCAGAAGAGGTAAATGCGGTCTGTGGCCCTCGGTGGCATAGATGCTGGTGCATGTTCGGCCAGGTCTGCGTGACGTTTCGGCAAGGGCAGCCCTCCGCCCTCCGCTTCAGTCTCGATGCTGCATCATTCGCAAACTGCTCTAACATGAGTCTTGCAATGCTTGGGAGTGGGCTGATCCTCGGCTGGGCCTTCACAAGCGTACTAGGCAGTTACTAGGCAGAAGACTCAAAAATCCAACACCAGGCGACGATCCGACAGAACACCAACGTTGCTACTGCTATCTTGGTTGTTCGTTACCGAGCAGACTGTTCAGCGTAATCGTAGGCCATGCCCCGAAGATCAGGGAACCATCGCAATCTCTGTTCCGATTGCGTCTTATTTGGGGAATGCCAAGATGCAGCTTGTCGATGTAGTGGCTAAGGAAAGGCTTCCTCAGCTAACACTTGGGCTTCTAACTTCATTCAGCTTTGCCTTGGGACTCGAGTGCTCTTTCTCAGTCAAGCTGTCGGCGACAGACAATTTTGGATATATGAGATGGGCATTCCGACACTTGCAGAGACATCACGCACATCTGTGGAATCAAGGGCCCAATCAAGGGTTTGAGCGCTGCAAGACTTTAACCACGTTGAACTAGGCACCATTTACATCGAGTCGTCGAGGCAGCTGCTCAAACTGTCCATGACTTTCAACCCCACAAATGGTCTGGCATATCTTCTTTCCCAGCGCCTAATGATGCACCTCATCACACTTCTGCATCAACTCAAGGTGAAAAAACCCAGAACTGAGCAGCCGCAGGCTCAAGTAGGGCAGTTCTGCTCGATAGATACGAGTGGTGACGGCAAAGGTGTGAGCCTTCCGATGATGTCCAGCGTCCTCACACTTTTGGCGAAGTGGATGGCAGGCATGCAGCACCCCTGCGTTAGGCTCCAAAGCTAGCGCTATGAGGGGGTTTTGGCCCATGGGCCATGGATTATTGTGATGAAAACTCCAGCCGCCGTAGCGTTAACTGTTGGATGGTTTGCTTTTCGCCTGCTGGAGCACTCAATCCAGTCCTGCACCTGCACTTGCAGCAGCGATGCGTCCTCTGGGACATGCTCTATCAGCTGCCTCAGGGCGATGACTTTGGAGCTCAGAGCGATTGCGGCTAAGCTAAGAGTTTGGCTCAAAACACAGGACGACAAAAACCTGATCTGAGCCTTTATGCATTCAGGTCTCGGCGAAAGCCGGGCTAACACGCTGTGTGCCAACGCGTAAATAGCTGGAACATGGCGAGACGAGCAGTGGTACCGCTCGACAGTAGACGAAGCATATGGAGGTTGATCATATAGGACCTAGTACCAGACGGACTCGGCACCATTGCAAACAGCGCAGAAGTCCTTGCAATTCTGCCCGGGTTATGCGCATTCATGACGACTCAAGAAAACCAGCCGAGAGCCCCAAACCTTTCGAATCAGTCGCGAAGCTTAGCATGCCAACAATTTCCCTCTGCATTTTGGCTCCTTTCTTCCCTTGCCAAAGAGCCGTTTCTCGTCGAGGGCAAACTTAATTTTGTGGCCAGCTGTCTCGGGCCTATGACAGCGACCTGCGGGCGAGCAGTCTGAGGTCCACATTCGGTAAGAAGGCTGTGTAGCGCAGCAGGACTAGAACGGTGGGAGTGTCTTGGCAGCTTCAACCCAAGCCAGCCCCATATACATATATATATATATATAAGATATCTATAGCAGAATACAATAGGTATATATATATATATACATATATAATGAACTGCTAAATCCGAAGGCACCAAGCAGTTGTGCAGCCACGCGCAACCGACATGGCTTCAGCTGGACTGGAGATCTTCGGAAACACACCCGTCCAACCTTCCCTTCCGCTGTTTCCGGTGCTCCCTACAAAAGCAACTGCCGGACAGGTCCGCTGGCAAACGAGTCCCTCATCTCAGGCGGCGGCCATTGTAGGCCCGGAGCTTCGTCACTGACATCGTCTCCAGCATCTTCGACACGGGATTCGGCTTGATCTGAGAGCAGCAGAAGGCGTCAGCAACTCGAAATGAAGTCTTGCAAGTATGAGACAGACAGGTCTTCTCGTCTCGAGCTCGTCACAAGCTACTACATGAGAACATGGGCTCATGGGCACACTGTCAGCGGGTGAAGCCCATTCAGCATCTCCGTATCGGAGTTTACTTCGACCACGAGTGCCCTGCACCCTGGAACTACCGACCCACTGTCAAAGAAGAGGAGCATCTCTGCAGGTCTTCTTCGGGTCGCAAAGCAGCCGGTCGAAGGACTTCCGCAAGGCCTCTTTGTATCCTGGGATAATTGGTTTGCCAAGAATTCGGGTTCGTACGCGTACTGACGCTCGTTCGTATCAATGCAAAGCGATGACCATAAACGCCCAGGGGCTGCGATAGCCCTTGTCTGCCTGCATCCTCATTACCTGGGTGTGCTGTCAATCAATCATTCAAAAAGATAGGGAGAGACAACAACTCGCTTTGGAAATGCTTGTTGTGCAGGCGTTTAAGCTCTATTTGCCCTGGACACAGAATGCACCGTGGATTTGCGCGGCAAGAGGTGATGACGAATGCCACCGTCCCGATGCGCCGCTATATCACAACAGGTGGCTGTATGAGCAAAGGTGAAGTTGACACGGCACTTCCTCTGGCTTTTCGGTGCAACCCGACCAAGTTGGAGGAAGTCGTGGAAGCTTCACTTCACACGAGAGAGTGGGTATCTGCACAGCACCCATGCCCAGAGCCCACAACGCATGTCGACAGGGTCATGCAATGTGTGCGTGGCGCTTAGCAATCAGATCAAGAACCCGGTCCTCGCAGCAACCGTTAGTTTGCCATCTCATTCGCCCCTCATGGTTTAGGAGTGTTGTTGGAGACCTCACATGTCTTCCTTGCCTTACATCGCGGAAAAGGTGCGTGTTTCAAATTCAGCTTGCTTGAACATGCTGCATGACATTGCGACAAAACCATTTCAGATGCTTGAAACAGCTCCACAGCACATCAGTACAGCCTAATAGCGAAGAGTGAAGCCGAGGCACCCGATCCAAGCCTGCCTTGGCCAATGCCTTCGTCTGGAATGAGCCATCGATGGCAAACTGCATCTTCCTGCCACGACCCTACCAAAAGAATACTCCTCCTTCTACCTGAATTCAGCTTCAAGCATTTCCGAGGACAAGAAGAAGGCCGGCCCTCTCAAAGTTTGCAAACTTTGTCAATGCTGCCGGAAGTGATACCACACCCGAAGAAAACAAAATGTCAAGGTAAAGGAGGAAAGCCAAGGCCTTTTATGCCCTCAAACAGTGGCCGCGTAGATGCAACACTCCAGCAGTGGACCAACAGGGGCGTAGCCTAACACCCTTCCCAACACCGCCGACACAGCCCTTCCTATGGGGGCTTTCCCTCTCTGCCTCGGAACCTTGAGCTTGTGGCCAGACCTGAGTTGGACGGCTGTAAACGCGAAGTGACACCTGCAATGAACGAAAACCCAATCCGAATCCTCACCTTCCCGCAACCCATCGCCTGTTAAGACACGTGCTTCGATGCAGCCATGCAGCGCTCTCTTCCTGCTGTATCCCGTTCTTCCAACCGTCCCCTGAATCCTACACGACACCTTCGACTCTGACACAGTCCTCCCCGCTCGTATGGAAGAATCAGCCGGCCCTAATTCAACAACAAACTGATAAGCCCAGGGAACAGGAGCTCCGTACCAAATCGCTCGATGCAGACCATCCTTGGACCAAGCGCCGAGCGCATTCGGGAGACGGAGATGGGAAAGAGAGGGGTTTTGGTGCTGGCAGAACGGGCATTGGCATAACGTCCGCATCAGCACCTTCAATTTCGAGAAGCTACATGCTCTGAAGGCCTTCACCAGCATCCGCAAGCCGTCAAGCGAAGCCATGATGACACCGATGCTCATGTCATGTTAAGCTGGTTGCTGCTGAAATCCATCAGTACAAACATGCAAACAACAAATTGAAAGCCCATTGAAATCCAATCTTCTTGACCATTCGGTGCAAGCCCCCGCAAGCCCTCATGCCGATTAAATGGCCGACGCGGGTTAGTGGTGTGGGTGCACCAGGAGAGCTATAATTATAAGGAGCGGATGAATTCTTCTGAAACCTTCAAAGGCTAAACCTACCAGAACTTCAAGCGATGAAAACACAGCTTGTAAGATGTTTTCTGCTATTTTATAGACAAGTACTTCATATCATGCTCATAGGGATTGCGGAACTCCGATAGGCCCGGTCACTCGAAGGCCAAGGCCGCCATGCGCTTCCCGGGCTGACCATTCCTGGCGATGGGACTCAGGGTTTCTGACCCAAGCCTACAGCATGTTTTTGTTTGTTACTTCCGTCTGTCAATTCCCCCTCTATAGTCTCTGGCCTATATCTACGGCTTGGGGTTCATGGAGGGCTTTGTGCCGCCGGTTTCGCAAGGGCGATGACACGGTAGCTAGGGTCCGCAGGGTTTTGGCTTGTCTCCAGGATATGTCGGCTCACAGGCACCGACCACCGGCAAGATGTGACGACCTTTCTTCCATGTGTGATTACATGCAGCACATTGCTGGCGTCATATTTACATGGGATCAAGCACAGTTTCCCGCTTGGCGCCTGATCTCCTTCATCGCAACGCTCCGTGGCTGGCCTTTGAGCCTCGGGGCATCGGTGTCAGATCAAAATGCCTGAACGCGGCATTCACAGCTGTATGGGGAACTGTAAAAGTGGGGTCGTATATCCTGCACCTGTAGGTGTATGTTTATATGGCCGTGCGGCTTTGCGAGGGGTACTTGTATGGGTTTCTTGTGCCGATGGGTTCCGGGCTCTCGGAATTCTCACGAAGAAAGGGTCCAGAAGTGCAGCTCAGGCGCATCCACTGAGATCCAGCTGGCGAACTCACGTCCTTCGGGCTGCACGCGACAGAGGCGCACTCGGAACTGCAAGCCTTCCCATGTAGAAACTCAAGGAAGTGCAGGAAACTACGCTAGTAATGCCATCAGGTCACCGTGTCAGTGTACGCACAAAACCCGCGAGTCCTTCAGCACGCTGTCCCAGAAGCCACGGTACTGGATATGAGCTAAAGGGAGGGTGTGCTTGGAGAAGATACAGCGACCTGCTGTTGGACCCAAGCCACAGAATGGAGTGCTCAGATTGCAGCGCATGCCACTCGACAAGACTCGAAAAGCCACTGTTGTAGACAAGCCCAAACAATCCACGTCCAGATCTCGAGCGTCGAAACTGCCAAGGCTCCAATCTGCGCTGCTTGAGCTCCATGTGCACCCGTGAATGCAGAATTTTATTTCAATCCGAAAGCGGAGCCCTCCGTAGCAAGGAAGGGCGGCCGCCGTGGCCGCACTTTGCGGTTTCCCCAAAAGGCTTCCAGGCAACGGGGCTGCGGGAAACAGCAAAATCTAGGTTTTACGCTCTCACACTCGGACTCCCCTCAACACATATTCGTCTTTCGGAATGCGCCTTTGCCACCGCAAGTCGGCGTGCCCTCCACGATGCTGTACTTGCCGTTGTGGTCGTGCCTTTGCCATCAACGTGTGAAACTGTCGAATCAGGAGCTTTGCCACTGCTGTTGTGACGGTCTCAGAGCAAGCTGCTCGGATCCTTGCCGGTGCGATCGTGAGTGTGGATATTACCCAGGGTCTCGGGGTGAAACTTTCGGGGCGACGGCGTGCAAGTTGTCGGTTGTCCTCCCCAAAACCTTGCAAAAACCAGACCTCCGCAACGCTGAACGCCTGTTCTGACACGCCAGGAAGTCCCAGGTGCATGCTCTTTGTCCGGATCATTCCCTTATAGCCTGTGCAAGGGATACCTGGACAAGGATGGTCACTTGCTTCTGTGGGGAATGCCGTGAAGACACAAGCTCAGGTGCTCGACACAGAAAATCCGGGGAACCAAACAAATGAAATACTAGTCGCGCGCTGGTGGGCACTGCTCAAGCCGCGAAAGCTCGACTGAAACTCCAATGGCAGTCATTGTCAAAGGTCCCTGTTCCAGATAAATAGTCTGCCTGACAAGCTGCGTCTTGCACGTTAAAGCCTGCTCCTGAACTTCACTCCGCACTTGAAGATCCTACAATAGATCCCGCCCTTGCCCTCGCCTCTGGGCTTAAAGCCCAGCTTGAGGTCGTCACTGGGGTAGCATGTCCACTGCATGTGGAAGGCGTCCTTCAGTATGGACGGCAAACGAAAAACCCGGGCCATTGCCCCAATTTCCACTGTCATCGATGCATAATTGGCGGATTGTTTTGAGCAAGCATCTGCATGTGGGTCTGACCCGACGACGCCGCGAAGACCGCCCTTGGGAGGCACCACGAACTCGTCGCAGTCCTCGGGTATGCGGGATGTACCGATGGCCTGCTGCTTCGAATCTCCAGGTCGGTCAGATCAAAGGGGATTCAGAAGGGCCGATGCCAACCTTTCACAGACAAACAAGTTGTGTCGTCGGTCCTGAAGTCTCGAAATGTTATAACAGCAGAAATTCCGCAAGAATCCCGATGCCTTGGTCACCTGGATTCTTCACTGATAAAAAACCAACTAGAGATTGATCGATGCCAAGAACTTCGCACTTGAAGCGAGTGTCAACATCCAGCAAGAAGTCTTCTTTTACCTTGGCTGATGTGTCTCTTGTATGCTCCGAAGACAACCTAAGGCTCTATCTGCGCGATTTTACCACTGTGGAGTCCTGCTTTATGGTCCCTGCATGGCTAAAGCTCCCCTAGGAGCTCCTGTGATTTCATATGCAGTCTCAGCCTGGGCGCTGCATGATAGTTCATCCGCTGCAGATTTTGGCTTCGTTTGCTATCCACAAATGTCACCTGCAAAATGAACGAACATCGCAGAGTGACAGCGGTGCAGAGACTAGCCGGGACTGGAACTGGCCTTGGATTTTAGAGGAGTCGAGTTTGACGTGACATAACTGTCCTGATCCTGCAAGCCTGCGGTAGTGAATCTCAAGTTGCATAAAACCCCTTCCAACCCCTGGCCTATGACACGAGAACGACATGAAAGAAGAAACCCCAATACATATACTTTTGAGCCAGCATATGTTCAAAAGAAAGAGTTCTCACCGACCCCCACGTGTCGCAGTCAGGACCGGACGGCACCTGATTGTCTGAGAAGCCGAAGCCTCTCACAGCAGCTCGGATGGCAACCTCCTCCGACTTTTTCGTGCAGAAGAGATACCTTGCCAGAGTCGCCACCACGAAAGCATTGAAGCATTGCCACTCCAGGATCAGTACTGAAGCGACTGGTGCTGCCAAGTTGTACTAGACCCAGCAACACCATGCACTCCCGCCCCGAAATCAAGACACCAGAAGATTGGGGTAGCGGGTGTGCAGCAACGGAAGCATACGCGAAAAGGATGACCGAGCCAGGCGACACCCGCTTGACCTTCACGTCATGCAGATAGTACCTGAGGAAGTGCCTGAGATAGGGAAGCTCCGCTTCGTAGACGCGGGTCGTCACTGCGAAGGTCGGGGTGTTGGCTTCCTTCTCCTCCTGGGTGTCCTGCGACAATGCTCTGCCCGCTTGGCCTTGCTGCGAGCACAGGCGCTGGTCCTTGACCTGAACCTGGAGCAGGGAGGCCTCCTCTTCCGGCCTCAGCTGCGTTTCCATGGAGCCTTGCTTCGGAACTGCACTTCTCACAGGACCCCGTATACCAGATCCGGCCAGTCACTCCACCTTGCTCTGCTTCATGCCCGCAGTCCTGAGTGAAGCGCAAAGCAGCATGGCCGTGAGGCAGCGACAGATTCGCCACGGACACTCACGAGACGTCTGCAGTAGTTTATGTCAGAATCCGACTGAGGAGGCTGCGGGACCGCCCAACAGCACCCGAGACACGCTTCTGCCAAAAACCCTGTTGCCTTCGAAACAAGCCCCACTTAGGTGCTCTGTGTTTGTCGCCGAGGCGCTTTCGCTCATCCAGTGCGAACTTTGCATGGCCGCTTTTCTCGGGCGACTGGCAGTGACCTGGCAACACTACAGGTGGCGGAGCTCCGCAAGCAGGCTGGTGGGTTTGAGAGTTCCTTCCCACCAAGCTTGTAACACATATAGACGAGAGCTTGGCGAGAACAGACCAATAGGCAACTCTCGACACATATCGGTCGATCTGCACATCGATCTGCCTATATGTAAGGAAACATATAGTGAATCCATCCATCCATCCTGTCCACACATACATACATGCATACATACATGCGTGCATGCATATACATGTACATATTATAGTATATATCTACACCTATGCACATGTAAGTGTATATATCTGCACATGTGTATGTAGGCCGGCAGGCAAAAAGGTAGATCAGGTTCTGTAAAGAAGCATTGATGCATGCATCTGTAAGTATACCTATGGATGGATGGATGTAGGAAATTTTACGTATGCACGTGTGTATGAAAGGATGGCTTGATATGTGTGGATGTACGAGTGGATGGATGTATAGATGCATGTGTGTATGGATGCATGTCGGCATGCATGTACGGATGCATGTATGTATGCATACATGCGTTTGAACACGTTTTTTACGAAACATGCCACATTTAATATACGACACATCTGCACACTATCTTTACGTGAAAGGACATGACCATAGACTGTGTGCATGTATCTAGACGATGGACACGGTTGCATACAATAGCTGTATGTATGTATATATGTATATATATATATAATATATATATATATAATATATATATATATATATATATATATATAATATATATATATATATATATATATGTATATATATGTTTGCGTGTGTGTACCCGCTCATGTATTTAGTCTGAGAATGTCTGAGAGTTAAATAACTTTGGACCAGCTACAAGTACATGCGTCTACCTACTCGTCCGACTGGCGCGCACACACACACAAGAAACCCGAGACAAAGGTCTACACGTCTAAGGCCACGGCCGTTGTAGGCGCTGAGCTTCGAGGCCGACAGCTTCTCCAGCATCTTCGACACCGGGTACGGCTTGATCTGCAGGGTACGCGAGAGATGCTCGCGACGTCTATTGCCAGAAACCAAAGAACCTGCTTCCCCCTTCTGAGTCGAGGAGCATCGATGCAGGCCGCCTTCGGATTGCAGAGCAACCGGTCAAAGGACTTGTGCAGCGCTGCCTTGTATCCTGACGATCAATTCTTGATGCAGATCTTTGCAGGTCTGAAAGACCGGCGCGGTTCATCATCCCACAACGAAAGCAGCAGATCGAAGCCCAGCGGCTCTGGTAGCCCTTGCCTGCTTGCATCTTCATTACCTTGGCGCTGTGGCACGGAGAGAGACTCCAGTGCAAAAATCAGTCTTAATGTGAACGGCCAGACCATGCGACGCTGGATTTGTCTTTGGCAAGCTTAAAGTATGCACACCTGCCTGTCTCTTGTTCTTTTTGCACAATGTATAGCTATACTCAAGTCTGACGTCAGGGGAGAAGGGGAGCAGGAGTGAAATCAAGGCGCCCGATCCAAGCCTGCTTTGGCCAAAGCCTTCGTTTGGTAGGAGGCGTCAATGCCAAACTTCATCTGCCTTCGCTGCGAGTGCTGTCGGCACCACAACGACAAAACCATCTCCAGTTTCACATGGCGTTGTTAGAAGACGGGGCGGAGCGCGAGCACAAGCGAGCATGCCTCCAGGCCTCCTGTCCTCCGTGCCCGGACACCGTTCATGAAACTCGCCGGTCAGCATCCCCCCGTCCCCGAAAAGACCGAGCAATGCGCGAGCTAAAAGAGAAGAGCTAGTCCAAAGCCCTCGATGGCCTCGGAACCTTCAGCTTCTCGTGTGACCTGGGACGGAGAACTCGCAGCGACTCTTGGGACTCTCCTACCGCGGTGCCGGCCGCTGGAGACCCCAACCTGTAATGCAAAGAAGCCATTGGGCCAAGGAGCCAAACCTACGGCCGGAATAAAACAGGCATGGCTGCCCTGGTGCAGCTTGCACACCCCCTGCAAGAAACGCAGCACCACACTGAGCCGGGAACAGGAGCTCTGTGCCGTATCTCTCTACGCAGACCATCCTGGCAAGTGCTTGGCAAGCAAACGGCTGAGTACGCACTTGTTGACCGTGAACGACCTAACGTAGAAGGAACCGCGGGACTTCTGGGAGTAGACAGGCGCGGTATTCAGTGGCTTAAGAGTCTTGCCACCACGGATTGAAGGTGCCGAAATGTTCGCTTCATGTCGTTCGACAGGACTTGGGAACCGGTGTGCATCTGCTGCTTCTCAGCTTCAGGGCGCCGGGGGCCAAAATCGTTGTCGTGTGTGTCTCTGTCTGACTGCTGCATTTTGGAATGTCAGGAGACGAAAATCGCAACACGGAATTGGCATGCGCCTACGCAAGTCATCACACGGACAGAGTTCAATGGCCGTCACAACATCCCCGTGCTGCAATTAGTCAAACTACTGCTAGTGGGTGTCGCAGCCTAGGGATATTGTCGGTGTTCGTTATATCACTGCCACCCTTGACAGGACGCTCGAGTGCTTCGCCATTCCCCAGCACTCGTGCACTGCAGAAATTAGCCACAACAAAGCCATCATGTTACAAGCACTGGCCACAAATGGTAGGGACAAACTGTATTGCGCTAAATCACAGGGACGTCTTCACCTATGCAACTGAGCTCAGAGTCTCCAAAGGACCAGCCCTCAACCCCGACGGCCCAGCGGCTCGAAGGCCAGGGACATCATGCGCTTTCCAGGCCGACCGTTCCTGGCACACGTCCATGCAAGGCTTGAAACCTTTTTCAAGCCTTTGGGTTTCGGGCTTTGCGCCCTAAAACCCTCCACGCAAATCCCGAAACCCCATGTGACGGGAACTCGCCTGATACGGTCTAGGAGGCGCTCTTCTCGCCCGCAAAGCGGGAAGCGAAAAGTTGCAATGCACAAACGCTCACGACGGTGATACCGCGATGCGTCGTAGGGAAGCAAGCCCGTAGCCATGTGTAGACAAGACTTAAGATGCATAATGATCCCTGTCTGAAGCTTCGGAGGGGCTATTTTGTGAAATGAAAATTCCAGTTCCTTCGATGTCAGAGTCGTGTGGCCCTGGCCCCTCAGGGCCCCCACACAGTCTCACCCACCACCCGCTGACACCTGATTTCCTTCATCGCGACGCTCCGCGGCTGGCCTTTGAGCCTCGGCGTAGGCTTTAGGACTTTAGGATTCTGATCCGGGAACTTGAGTCTGGATGAAGGGCGGCTCTTTGAGGAGCAATAGACACCCTACCTGAACTCCCCAGCTGGTACCAGTGGGTGCTTGGTTCAACGACTTCTTCCCGTGAGTCGTCTGCAACTTGGGCCTGCCTGTTGTTTACGGGTCCCGATGGGCTGTTTGCCTACCACTGCCACCCAGAAGCATCCACTGAGATCCTGCTGGCGAACTCACGTCCTTCGCGTCAGCTAACGTCCAAACCATGAAGCAAGTTTACGTGTTGCAGTCGTCCTTCAGCACGCTGTCCCAAAAGCCACGATACTGGATATGCGCCAAAGACAAGACGTGCTTGGAGAAGACGCAGGGACCTGCACCAACGGTGCGCGAAGCCTATCAGCTTGGCTCTCTGTCCGGGCTTCCGTGCGACGATACAGGATTGGAACGGTCAAGGCCACGAGATGAGAAGACAGGGTAGGTCTAGTCTGGAGGCGGCATAGTATGTCCCAAGAAACAGAAATGTGTCGATGGCATCACGTCGGGTGCAGAAGTGGCTGGACCTTCGAAGTGAAGGGCAAGGGCAAAAGGTCTGTGGCGTCGCGCCTCTGCCACCGCACTGCGGCATGCCCCCGACAACTTCGAAGTGACCATTGTGGTCGTGCCTTAGCTGTTTGAGTGCCACTACTCGTTTCCCACTAACAACTTAGTATAACGGGACCATTCGCGGTGTGTTTCTCTCTGCTGTCAAGTCTTGGGCATACTGCTCCGGCTCTGGCCCTTGCTCTTGCCCTTGCGATTGCTCGTGCTGCTTCTCCTGCTCTTGCAGTTGCTCCTGCTCTTGGTCCTTCTTCTGAGCCCCCGTATCTCAAAAGACAAAATTCGGGGATGACTTCAGGAGGATTTCCCGCAAAGTGGCTTCATCCTTTGGGGGAGTATGTTCAATACAAGGGGGAAGCGATAGCTTTCCGAATGCGGATGAAAAGTCTGAGCGACATGACTACATGATCGGCTTCGTTGCTGCCGCGGATGTCACGTTTCAGCCGTCCACAAACCCACTTAGCAGCAACATAAAGGCTTCACTCAGGACATCCCAGCTGCATGCTCTTGGTCTTGATCATTCCCTTGAGGCCGGTGCATGGGAGACCTGGACAGACACAGGCGTCTCCCTGATTTACCTCAGGGCTCCTTGCAAAGAATTTTAGGAAGAGTGCTTTCTTTTTTTTGTGCGTTCGGAGAAGCTTCGTACGATTCGACGGCACACGCAGGTCCGAGAGCCTTTTGTGACGACCTTCAGACACCCTGCCCGCTGATCGCCTTTGGGCTGGAAGTTCAGCTTGAGCTCGTCGCTGGGGTAGCAGGTCCACTGCATGTAGAAGACATCCTTCAGCAGATTCCCGTGAGAGGCCGATGCTCAGCTGAAGAAGAAGAAGAAGGGTGACAAAACATGAGAGAGCTAGACCAAGCATCTGCGTGCGGGTCTGACCCGACGACGCCGCAAAGACCGCCCGGCGGAGGCACCAGGAACTCGTCGCAGTCCTCGGCTCCAGCACGAACCGCTAGTATGCGATGTTAGGCTTACGCAACGTTCCGACAAGGGGACATGATGGACATGTTTTGCCTCCTGCATGGCTCGACGAGGTCCGCGAGGCATGGACTTTGCCAAGTGCCAAGCAACGTACGCACTTGTGTACTCAACTTCGATTACGGTGCTCTTGCGTATGTCAAGGATGCACATCTCAAGCGCCTTACGGCTGACTGCCCAAAGTTGAAAGACCCTCTTGACCCTCTTGGAGGGTTGAAGACGAAGAGTATGGGGTTCCAAGGTACTCCTTGCTTCCCTAGTTTGGGCTGTTGCAGCGAATATGCATGCAAACAGCATGCATCTATCAAGTGTCGACTCTCACAGCTTGGAAAGCCGGTTTTACTTCCGGCCTCTCCAGCCGGGAGTCGCCATGTTTACATTATCTCTCGTCATCTCTCTGCAGTGTGTCCTTCTCAGGGCCTGATTAAGACTAATAAGGACACTGTTGAAAAGGAAACAGATGTCTATTGAATTCAGCCACACGGGGAGTGGAGCAAAAAGGTACTTGCTGAAAGACGTCTAGCGGTCCAGCGGCTAGAGTCTACACCTCTCTAGGTGTTGCAAGGAGATCTCGACACGGCTCCGTCAAGCCGTAGCCTCATCAGTCGAGTTCTTTTCGGAAGAGTCGGCCTTCGTGCCGAACACCAGCAGCCAACGGGGGAGAATGAAGACCCAGCAGCTGACAAGTGCATAAACTGTCGCGCATACGAAGCAGGAGAGAGGCGCCATCCCGCCAGTCCAGGAGCTGTTGAAGAAGTTGCGGAAGAGGAGCGACATTCCCAAGATGCGACCTACCAGTGCCGCAAGCTTCAGAACCGAGAAGAGCCGCCCTTGTTGCTCAGGACCCACGTGCACACTTGCAATTGCATCTAGTAGAGGGGTGTAGATGCCGTGGCCCAGTCCCAGCATCACTCGCCCTGTCCAGAACACAATGCTGGGCACCACCAGAGGGTTCATCTGGCTGGCGAGCAGCACAGACACGCCTTCCGAGATGCTTCCGATGCTACACAGAAGTAGCGCCACTAACAAGGTGTTCCAAGATCCGATCCGGGGCACAAGGAGCCCGTTCACGCGACTGCCTATAACACCAAGGAGAGTGCCGGTGAAGCCCACCATTGACGCTGCAGCTTGCGAGTAGCCCAGGTAGGTCATCAGAAGCCAACGCCCAAGATGTCCCATCGACCATTGCAATTTCAGCAAGAATATGAGAATCAGGACTTGCCGTATCACCGGAACCCGCCCGATGTCACGGACAAAACCTGCCGTGTCACGCAGTGCGCCACAACTGAAACCTTTCCTTCGCTGGCCGTCCTTGGACTTGCAAATTTCCGGCTCTTGTGTGTTGACATCAGGTACGATTTGCAAGTCGACAACTTGCGGACTCTTGGTCCTGGTGTCGTAGAGATGATTGGTCTCGGAGAGCAGTAGCAGCGTCGCCAGGAACAAGACCACATTTGCGAGAGCGCTTGCGAGCCAGACCCAGGAGTAGCTCTCTAGGCTGGCATGCAGAATCCAAAATCCTCCTCCAAAGCCCAGGGGCCCTGCAAGGAACAAGGCTTGATTCATCCAGGAGAGTGCCCAGTTCCGACGGTCAATCTGACTCTCCGAGAGATCTGCAGCCATGGCCATTATTGCAGGCTTGAAGACGTTGAGCGCACAAGCGACAAAGGCAGCAGCGACATTGATCCAGTCTTGCGCAGATGTACGGCCGACAAGTATGGATGAGCCGTACTGCATTATGGACCGAATCAGGGTCCCGATGAGGGCGACCAGCAGCATGGGCTTGCGACCCAACGAGTCCACCATCGGGCCAAGGAAAAAAAGAGCCAAAACACTGCCGAATCCATCGGCTGCAGCCAGTAAGGACATCGTCTCACGTGCGGAGTTCAGAACCACTTCTCGCACTGCGCAGTGTGTGGAGAAGGACCACTCCGAGGAGCCAGGTGGATGCGCAACGCAGGACTCGCCCAGCTGTGCCGAGCCATCAGGGCAGGGTGGGACTGGATCTTCACAGGAAACTATGGACATTATGAAAGAACACTCCAAGTCAAAGAACACAGCGCGGTTCAGGAAGATGAAGCAACAGCCCATGCAGGCTGTTCTGAAGAATAGCCATCGTGCGTTGCCATCGCGAAAGTTTGCCATGTCGGAACTGGAACTGGGACAGGGGCGTTCGCGATTTTCAACCAGCTGGCTGCATTGTCAGCGCAAGGGCTATCTATCTCCCTTGGGCCAAAAGGTGGCCCGGTAGCCACGAAGGGACATGGGAGCTGTGGTCTCTTTCATGTTCTGGTGCCAGACACGATGTCGACAGGGCTTCCGATGCTCTCATCAACTACTTAGTACCTTGTCCCAATTCATGCGCAGCCCACCGGCATGGGCTTCTGGACCATCAATCGCACACCATCCCTAAACCCACACAGAACGTCAATCGGACCTCTGGCCCACACACCCGACTCCAAGTGTCCACGTCCAACAGGTAGTCTTCTTTCACCTCGGCAAACAGCACTGCGCATTGCACAAACTGGCTCCGACAAAGCCCTGCAGCGCATGATTTCTCGTTTGGGCAGTCAAGGTGCGACATGGTAGTTCATCCGCTGCAGGTTTTGGACACGCGATCCGCCATCCACAAAGGTGACCTCGGGCTCGAAACCCGACAAAGCAGACAAGTCCAGAGGACTCAGAGCTTTGCTTTGCGAAGGCCAAGGCCGAGAGCTGCGATTTTGTAGGCTCCCGACCTGATTGTCAGAGAAGCCGAAGCCTCTCACAGCAGCTCGGATAGCGGGCTCTTCGGATTTGTCTGTGCACCATAGATACCTCTCAAGGGAGGCAATTCTCACGGCACCTCATACCAGATATAGTTAGAGCCCTTCTTAGAGCACTTCACATGGATGACCATAGCCAGGCGACACCCGCTTGACCTTCACATCATGCAGATAGTGCTTGAGGAAGTGATGGAGGTAAGGAAGCTCCGCTTCGTAGACACGGGTCGTCACTGCGAAGGTCTGGACTTTGGCCTCCTTCTCCTGCACATCCTCTGGCGGATCGGACACCACAAAACTGCGACGGAAGGTTTTGCAAAAGAAGGACAGGGTCCGGGGTCCTTCTTCGCCCCAACATGGAGCAAGGCGTCCGCTCGGCGGGCTGCCTTTGCCTGCCTCAGGCTCGGAGGAGATCTTGCGTAGGCGCGTTGGTGGCCTGTTACGTAAAGGGCTTATATACAGGACTTAAGACTTATAGTCCAGGATCTAGGATCTGGGGGAACCAGGAATGCAATTGTCCATGTCCATTGCATGCATGCATGCATGCATGCATGTTACATCGCTATGGTTGCCGGGGCCTCATGTGAAGTCATTGTGTACACTGCAAGATGGCACATGCCGACAGCAAAAATCGCAGTGTGTCGCCGCAAAGCCCCTTCCCAACTCTCCATCCAAAGTCCTAAAGGCAAGCGACCCCCTCAGGTCGGACGAGTCACTCCTTTGCCACTTTCTTCCGCTTGCCTGCGTTCCTGGGCATGCTGCCGGGGCTACGCACCCTCAAGATAGACGCGAGAAGCTCGGCTTGCATGTCTTTCGCTCCGGGCTGCGAGTTCGTCGGCTTCCAGCGCTGACTGCCGTCGAAGTGCGAAAAAAGGAGTTCCCGGACTTAAGCCCAAAGCAGTGCCTTACTTCCACATCGAGGCACGGCCGCTGCGTGAACTTCACTTCATGACCACCGGACTCGGGCTTCTTGCAAGCACCTGGAGTGCAGGCTTTGGCTCTTCTTTCATGCGTGCGGCATCACGGCGGATTCGGCTTTCAGACGTCACCTTCGACTTCAAAGAGCTTAAGCCTGAAGGTCGTAGACCCGTAGACCCGCCGTGCAGAAGCCTTCAACTCAGGCTAGGGCCATCGTAGGCCCGGAGCTTTGATGCTGACATCTTCTCCAGGAGCTTTGTCAAGGGATTCGGCTTGATCTGTCAGGCTTGCGACTGCTTGGTTACGCGCAGGTGCTCAACGCACCTTACACATGCGCAGGCCAGACTCTTAAACTGACCACTACTACCACAAGATTGCGGCAGAAGCCGCATCTGACCACGGGGGAGAAGGGATCAGAACTGCTACAAGTTACAACAGAGCCATCCGCTCTCATCGTCTTTCTCAGGCGAGGGGCATTGGCGCAGGTCTGCTTTGGGTCGCAAAGCAGCTTGTCGAAGGACATCTGCAAGGCCTCCTTGTATCCTGGGCTCCATTCAGCTCTCCTCGTAATGATAAGCATAGCTTCAAGACACTTCAAGCAACACGCTGCCACTTCGAAGCAGGGGGGCTTCGATAACCCTTCTCTGCCTGCATCTTCAGAACCTCGGCCGTCGACAGCAGCAAGGCAAAGATGCAACGACTCAAGGCCTGAATTCCTCACTCCACGAAGTCTAGCCGGGTCCTTCCTTCCCTCTTCCAGGGTATTTCATCCGAAGCCTGCTTTTCCGGATTCTTGTTGAGGGATTTAATTTAAGTTACCACAATAGGGATCCATAGTAAATCTTATATGGTTTCTTTGTTATGGCACCTTAAAGGGGGGATCGGAGGAAGAGTCGAGGCGCCCGATCCACACCGGCTTTGGCCAAGGCCTTCGACTGGAACAGGCCGTCGATGGAAAACTTCATCTGCCTCCCACACCGGGAACCGTGCAGCTGGAGAAAGACTACCCGCTACAATCCTCTACATGTCATGTGGACAAGGCCTCTAGTATGAAAGTTCCAACATCTCATCTCTACAGCCCCGAAGGTTTATTGATCGCAAGCCGGAAGACCGGCGACCCCCCCTGAACCGGAAGCAGCAGACCCCTTCCCCTTCCCTGTCTTCCGAGCGCAGGGCCTCGGAACCTTGAGCCCATGTTCAGACCTCGGCTAGGGCCCAGCGGGTTTATAATGAAAAGAGGATTTGGGGGCCCATTATTTAAACTCCTATTTTCTTCTAGCATCTGGACAGCCGAGAAGCAGGAGCTGCGTGCCAAATCGCTCGACGCAAACCATCCTTTGTGTCGGTGCAGCAGGGTGTGAGAAGCTTTGAGTCTCCTATCAAGGAGTGTAGGCTGGAAGAGTTGAGATTTGCACCTACAGTACTGCTCCAGAGAAATGTCAATGTTGAGCACGGCAGTAGCATTTCGAGCTTGCTGTCCCGCACCCCAACAGAGTCGACTGAAGGAGACTCACTGCTTCCATCCACGAACCTTCAACTCGGCCGTAGGTGCACATAAACAGCGCTGCATTGCCACAACCCTTTCAATGAGATCAAGCCATCGGGCAGACAAGCCAATGCCGTTTTCCCCTTCTCCGATGGGCCCAGCCGCTCAAATGCCAAGGACTGCATTCGCTTTGGCGGCTGACCCTGCCTGGCCATTTAGGAATTGTGAGGAGCTTTTGTTGTTCTGCTGTTTTGCGGATGGATGCTGGACGCGGTTTTGCACCTAAGACGATAGGTTGCACGAGCGCCCCAAGACGACCCTATAAATTGAAAGTCGGAATGGGCACCGCAACGAATCTGTGCCTGATCTTCTGCATGGCGATACTCTTTGGCTGGCCCTTGAGCCTAGGTCGCGGATGCTTCAAGCTTCGCACTGCGAGCTTTGGAGGCTTTGTGGCTGTTCCACTGAACCCGCCCAAGGACATAACATCGCTGTGGTTTTGCACCAAGGGGGGGCGGCCCTGGGTCCTGGTTCCGCTCCCTGCCGCACCGGGGTTCCGGGTGACTGAGGACGAGAAATGCGAGACTGCCCAAGGAGCACGTCATGGCCTCTGCAAGAATCTCGCCTTTAAGTTACTCTGCCCCTCGCCAGGATGGCTGTGCTGAGGAAGTAGCAACAACACATGCTAGGGACCAGTGCAGACCAGCAGCATCCATTGAGATCCAGCAGGCGAGCTGACGTCCTACACAACATCATCGAGCTTCTACAGCACATTGATCCGGTAACTACGGCAGAGGGCAACGACCATCGAGCTGAGTCAGAAAACAACAGAAAATACAGACCTTTGAACACAACCACCGTTGCGAGAGCATGGCATACTGCGCACGCTGGTTTGCGAGGCAGACAAGTCTGTTCCCGAGAGTTAGAGTCCTTCAGCACGCTGTCCCAGAAGCCACGGTACTGGATATGCGCTAGCGGGATAACTTGCTTGGAGAAGACGCAAGGACCGGATTGACCTGATCAGATGTGTCGTCTCCGGGACCCGTTAAAGCCCTCCGAAGAGAGGAGGCTCGAGGCTTCAGGTTGAGGCATGTAATCATCAAGATTCGGCAGAAGGACCTCTTCCACCGCAAACCGGTGTGCCCTCCACGAACTTGTAGTGTCCGTTCTCGTCGTGCCTCGGCTTCAGGAAGATGCTCTTGGCTGCAGGGCATGAGGAATCAAACTCGTGACTGGGCACCCGAGGCCCGTTGCTCTACACTCCCGTGCATCGAACACCGTAAAAGGCCCAAAAATGGTGCCGTCTTCCCCGTCCCAGGTGCAGGCTCTTCGTTCGGATCATCCCCTTATAGCCAGTGCAAGGGATACCTGGCTCATGGCCCGGGGGTCCCGGAAACTCCCCCAGGAAACTGCAAGAGGCTACGAGTCTACGAGTATAGTAGCCGCTGTCGGCTGCTTTTTCAGGTATGGAAAGGAAGTGTTGACGGCAAAAGAAAAGCGACGAACACAAAGTGCTCTGTCATCATAATTCGCTCTAATACACATAAAGAATCTCCTTTGGGGCCCTTTTTGTGGGTGGGGGCCTCAAAAGGATCCTCATCGAGAGAACTACGCAAAGTACGGAATCGGGCCCCCGCCTTTAGGCTCGAAGTCAAGCTCGCGCGCGTCGCTCGGGTAGCAGGTCCACTGGAGGTTGAATGCGTCCTCCGTCGTGGTGCACCGGATTTACTTGGGGAAACCGCCCACTGTGCTAAGCTACAGTATCTTTTTCCCTCTCGCATGGCTGGAATGCAATGTCCGCTCGCGAGGTCTGACACTAGGTCTACAGTATCTAGAACTAGACTTAGAGCATTCTTTTCTGAAAGAGTCGCGGGCTTGAATTCGGTACGGGTGCGGTGCAATTGCAAACAAGCCTTAAGCAACCCAACTTCCCTGCGTATAACCTTGATTGAACCAATGTTTGCTGTCAGTAGTCATCACATTGTAGCAAATAGCTTCTCAAGACTGTCTAGGCTCTCGAAATGATGAGTGTAGCCCGGGGTTAGGGACAGCAAACAAAAGAGTGCCTATTGCCAAACGAGCATCTGCATGTGGGTCTGAATCGATGATGCCGCGAAGACCACCCTTGGGAGGAACCAGGAACTCGTCACAGTCCTTAAGCAAAGTTTTTGCTTTGCAGAGCTTTCCCGACATCTCCATGAAGGAGCTGCATTGTGCTCACTGGAGCAGGGAGACAGACAAACGTTGTGACGCGACGAAATGGCTGTACATGTCTCAATCTTCGTGGTTCTTAGCCGCGGACCTCAAGCTAGGAACCACGAGCTTCCTTAAGTTATTGTAGTACCGGGCCAAGGACATCAAAAGCTGCGAAATTCTAGACCAGCGTCCACATCCAAGAGGAAGTCTTCCTGCACCTCGGTTGTTGAATACCTTCGTGGGGTCCTTGACCTGCCTATTCCCTATGATTCTATGATGTTGGCCCTTGGCTCAAGCAGAGCCTCGCCGCTCAAACCAGCCGAGTCGCAGCATGGTAGTTCAGCCGCTGCAGGCTTTGGTTGCGCTTGCCACGTACGAACGTCACCTGAACCAGTGAAACCGATGCTTGCGCAAGTTGCAAGATTGGACACCCTCATAAAGGTTGTAGTGACGTTCGACTACCGACTGGTGTGAAGGAACAACCGCAGAGTTTAACAGGACAGATCCTGCGACCGTCACGGTGCGGCTTCGCCAGTGCAGGCTACGAGTACGCAAGGAACATAAGGCTATACTAAATCGATAAGGATCCACAGGGATGCAAGCATGCCTTGTCTGTCGAACTTCAAAGCACAGCAAGCCCAAACATGCGTTTCCGATGATATCCGACGATGCCTTACCAGACGTATCGACATGCCCATGGCTTCACTGAGTTAACATGGAGCTAAGCACTGACCTGCACAGGTCAAGCTGCGGAAAACCGACGGGACATGCAAAGCGACATCGGATCGGTACTATTCATTCTGACTCTGGTCAGTACAGGGCGACAAGACAGACAGGCATACACAGAAGAGTCTCTGAGACAGACTATGTAAGCGGGGCGGTGGGGTGGCCTGCCTGTTGGTCTAGGAAGCCAAAGCCTCGCACAGCACTTCGAATAGTGGTCTCTTCAGCATCGTCAGTGCAGAAAAGATACCTTGGACGCTGCAGGACAGGCCCAAACTGATGTCACAAATGCAGCTACCACTCAGCATGCATAGCAGTCCATCGCAGAAGGCTGCAGCCTGGAGACACCCGCTTGACCTGCAAGTCGTGCAAGTAGTAGTTCAGGAAGTGCTTGAGATAGGGAAGCTCTGCTGCATAGACGCGGGTGGTCACTGCGAAGGTTGGACCGTCGGTCTGCTTCCCATGTGCATCCTGACACTTCGATTTGTCCCAACTTCGCTTCCCAAAACACGCCTCTAGATATGAATGACCCTGGACAACCGCACAGGGTGGGAACCTGATGATGATGCACGAGAGCTGCAGTCTCTTCGGTCGGGGCAGCCGCACCCTTTGCCTCAGCAACTGCTCTCTTGCTTTGTTACGGTACTTGTGCGTGGAGCACACCATAAGGAGATGACATACATACATATTTACAATAGGGATGTGTCTTTGTATATCCTTATATTACACTATCACACGTTTTCTTGCGTCAAAGGCAAGAAGCTCTAAGAGCTTTGGGTTGAGCCTGCTCTGGGAGCGCGCCAAGGCCCTTCTTCAGGCCATGTGCACGCAGCTGCCTCTCGGCGCCCTGCTTTGGCAGGCGAGACCCGGCGGCAAGGACTTTTTCACTGATGCTGCCGGTGTCCAGGTCTAGTCCTGGAGTTGCCTTTCTGCTTTTCGCCTGAAGATAGATGGGATGCGAGCTAAAAGCCCTGTGCTGACACACCACACTAAGAGCTCAAGCTTTGGATCCGAGGGTCTCGCAAAGCAGCCGAGGGCTGGGGGATTCCCAGGCACTGCATACAAGCTGCAACCATCACGGCCAGTAAGCTTTCATAGGTCACCCGAAAATGGAAGTAGTGCGACGGATCTACGAACCAAGCGACAGCAGACGAAAAAAGGACCAGCCTTGGTGTGGTGCACCTCTCCCACTTTCGCTTTCTTGGAAGCACCTTTGCTCTTGATCTTCAAGAGTTCCTGAGCGACTCGATCAGATCCCCTGTCGACTCGATCTCCGAACGAAACGAAGGTTCAGTTTCCCTTTGCCCAAATCCGAAGGCAATGCGGTCTCCAAACCTCAAAGGAGAGAAAATAACTCGACGCTCATGACCAAGCTTCGAATCTTTTCCTCTTGCCCTTGTTGTGCTTGGCCTTTGCTAACGCTTTACCTTTGCCTGGATGCTTCAGGATCTCGAGTTGGCAGGTGGCATCCTGCAAGGAAGCGACACGAAGCTTTCTCAAACTATGCTTTCATCTCGGACTGAGTGTAGGGAAAGGTCGGGAAAACAACAACAGGACGTCGGAGGCGATCGGTCTGAGCACAAACAACTGAGTGATGCTCAGCAATACACAACCCGCTTATGCCACTTATGCCCTTCATGTGAGACGAGCGCATCCTCCGTGTCCGCCTCAGCCCAGACAGAGCCCAAGGCACCCAGCAGTAGGAAAAGGCAAAGCTTGCGCCAAGTGCCCATGGCGCATTAAAAGGGCACCCAAGCACCTCTGTGGATGTCAGGTTCGGTGCCGTGGGCTAGGGCCACGTGCGGCTGAGGACGTGCGAGCGATGACTGACACTTCCTGACTGCCTGTCCTATACCACAACTTCACTCTCAGGTTTGTTGAGTATAACAAACAATTAAACAACGACGATCTGCAGGATGTCTCGGGACTTGAAGTTTTCAATTCAGGGAGTTGCAACTCGACAAAGGCACCAACACATTTCGATTAGATCACCCTGGTCTGTTCAGCTTCACGACTGCGCGACGGCAGAGCAACACCAGCACCTAGGTTGAAATCGAAACACAGAGGCCACAATTGCAAGTAGAAACCCAAAGGGAGCAAGCAAGAACCCGAAGCGAAGAAATAACTGCGGCACAACTCGAGTTTGGATTGATCCAGGGGGCCCCTGCTTATACGTTTATACCTTTTGTAGCGAGATGGGCATATTTGGCGTCACAGCCCCACATGTGTGTCACTGCCCTTGGCCCTTGAATCTAACAGAATCTAACAGCCGAGCACACCGGGTAGATTCGAAAACCTTGAACCTCAGGGCGTTGTTGGCATCTCAGGGAGGGGGGTGAGAGTTGACAGCCCCCGCAGTCGCGTGGCCGTTGCCCTCGCACTCGCTACGTCGTGTAGGGGGGGGGCCTTCCCTGCGCAGAGTCTGCAGCTTCCGCTCGAAGGCAGCCGCACGGCGGGCTGCTGCTGCAAGTCCGCGAAAGACCAGATGATGTGAGATCTGCGGGCTGGCTCAAGTTGTCAGTTGCCAGTTTGACAAGTATAGTAGCAGCACTCTGAATCGTGAGGAAAACTGCGATATATTGCAATGACCCGCCTCAGCGACGTCACCACAGGCCTCCTCCGCATCGGCTTCCGCCTCTTTGGTGGCCTTGCACAATACTCGTAGCCACAAAGAAATCCGCTCTTTCTCCCCGATATACTCACCCAAACCCGAACCCTAAACCCTCGTCTCCGGAATGGATGACCACAAGGGTCCTAGGTTTAGACGCTCTCTTGACATGAAAACATCCATCCTTCCTTCCTTTCTTCCATCCATCCATCTCCGTTCATCCATTCGTCTATATGTCCATCGATCTAATTATGTACAACTCCTCGAGCAGATTCGGCAGAAACGGCCCGTCGAAGGCTCTCTGTGGTGTGTGTGCGCTATATGCATAGTGTATGTATGTATAACGACATGTCTGTTCCAACTTAGAGGTCAAATGAAAGTATAGCCACAGTGGCCTTGGACGCACAAACAACCCAGATCTGACCAAGATGATCCATACAAGCATTTCTCACTCTCGCAGATTGCGTCTAGAGTTTCATTAATTATAAGCTGCAGTTGGGCCCTGCGCCTCCGCCACATCCTCTTGCAGCTTGCCCCAAACCTGTGCCAAGTCCTTCGTCGGTGTCGCTACAGCCAAGTCTACGAAACCAATCAGCACGCCAGCTACTTTCAATGACGAGCCGAAGTTGCAGCCTGTCTCTTACACTAGAAATGCATCAATCTGTGATCTGATGCGGAACTCGTTTCTCGGCTCTCGCATGACCCGAGCAATTGCATGTGGTGTGTGCTGTGTGCAGCCTCGCAAGTCTTCCTTAAGCACATGCCTTGGGGGTACGCGCGCAAAGCCTCATGCGGAGCCCCAGTCGGCTCCTCCCAGGCGGCTGCACCTGCACCGCCTTCCTCGCGGGCAGCCTGGATGGCTGCCTCAGGGTCGGCAGCTTGGCTGTAGTTGGGTCGACCCGGCTTGCGGCAACCCTGCTAAATCTTATAAAGCGTCCTATATATGGCCTTACCCTGCGCATCTGCATCACCTCATGTCGCTTTCGGTGTCTCCGCCTCACAGGCCGCCCGCTGCTCTGCCGTGGCCTCCGAGAGGCCTCGGAGCGCGGCTCCGTCCCGGAGCGCATGGCCTGAAAGGGATGGCAACGGGAACTTGTGCCAGGCCACTATGCCGCAAGTGCTCTACACTCGCTCCGGACATGCGATTTCGTAAGCTCTGCATGTGTCCCGTGGTTCCACAACAGCTCCAAGCCGTCTTCGGGCTAGTTCTGCAATTTTCGGGACTTCTTAAGAACCTCACAAGCGAGCCCGTTTTGAGCTCTCGCAAGAGCCCTTACAGAACCCTAGTAATGCAAGCTCATAGAAAGAACCCCCCCCTCCCGGCCCCTCCCCCACTCACACTTGACGGGGATCCTGATCTACGAAACTTCTGGGCTCTGGACCGAGTGCGGTGGCTCCGGAGGCCTCGGTGCGCCGACGGCGCATGGCCTCGGTGCTCTCGGACTCTGAAGCAGATGGGTCCTGTGAGTCTGCTGAGCTTGAAGTGGAAGTCGAGATATGTCGGAAATCAGCTCAAACAACCCACATCAAGCCTACAGGGCCTAGGGTCGGGTTTCGTTCTTTGACAAGCACATTCGGTGTAAGCATTGGTCAGCAACATCAACCCCAGTCATTGATAGGGCTCGGTAAAACAATGAACGGTGCAAAGTGAACTAGGCTGAAAGGTGGGATGGCTGGGAACACGTTAACTGGACAAATCCCTCCTCTTTAGTGTAAGCCAAGCCGTCGGTGAACTGGATGTAAGCATCATGAAACGGACAAATGCAGGTGATTTCCAATAGGATTTGGTGTTTATGGGGTTGAGTCATCTAATCTTCACTGAAGCTTCACGTGCAGAACGGTTTGCTGCCTGTCAGACACCCTCTGTAGACTGTACATGTGAGAGAAGTCCTGCGAATCTCTACAGCAGTGTGCCGAACACCGGCCCAGTAGGCCCTAGGCTCACTAGGGAGACTGTCCGGATTTTGCCAATTGCTTGGCATCCTGGTAGATGGCATCGAGGTTTGGGGAACCCATGGCGCACCGATTCTCACTCATGTACATCGTGGTGTGCTCAACCTCCCAGCCTTCAGGGGTTGTTATCTTCGCCAGGATCTCATCCATCTTCGTGCCTTCGCGGCTAAGACTGGGCAGTAGACAGGGCCCTGGGGGCCCCGCCGTCTGCAGCAGGCCTTCTATTTCCTCCCAGCGAGTGGTGACCTTCGAAGACACACGCCTGCGGATGGGGTATTCGCTGAAGTCTCGCAAAGCGACCACATAGTCTAAATCGGTGCTCACATAGCCCAGGCTGACCTTACAGCCACCGTCCCCTCCAGCCAAGTCAAAGGTGCCACTGAAATGGAAGATTGCCAGAGGAACCTTTGGCTTCGGACGATGAAAGCCGAAATGTAACCAGTCGCTTGCTCGGCATGTCTCACGGGTGTTGGAAACCTCCCAGCCGCCAAGGCCCATGGCCAGGAGAGCTGGCGACTCCTCCCCCACTACCTTCAAGGCACCTGCGTACAGCTCCGGCAGCTTTTGGGACATCGTCGGGGGAAACGCAAGGATTCGCTTGGTTAACTCGAAGCTTTCGTTGCCCTTCGCAGCCAGGAAGCTTTCCGACAAGCTCCGCACTACGAGCTGAGGCGCACGCTTGCGGTCCAGCCCAGCATTCCCTTCGCTTGACTCCGGTGTTGGCATACTTGTGTAAACCTCAATGGTTCTCCCTGGTAGCCCGTATCTGATGTGGTTATTTCCCATGTCTCTCCTGGGCTTAAGGAAGCAGTTGCAGAGATCCTCGTCCCGTGCGAGGAGTTCCTCCAATGAGATCTTCTTCAGCTCCTCAAGGATCCAAAAGCCGCTGCCTGCTTGGAGACATTGAGGCCATAACTTCTTCAGACTCCGGCAGCAGCGTAAAGCCTTCAAAGCTGCAGGGCCACTGAGCAGTAGGAGAATGCGCGGCAACCACGTGGAAGAGAAACTCTCGATTCTCGACAACATGGGAACCGAAGGCACTGCCGCAAACCGTAATTCCATCGGCTCAGGCCATGATGGAGGGAGAAGGCAAGCTTTCGAGAAGCGCTCGAGAATCCATGGCAAGATGAAACATTAGCAGCATAAGGCTCTAGGTCCCCACAACTATACTTCGTACGTGTTTTGCTTTTCTGTACTTAAACTCGACGGTTCTGATATCTTGGACCCGTTATGTTTCTCAATTGCATCGTCCCGGAATTAGGCGCCGGCCGCCTTCTGCTTCGCAAGCTCCTGATGTCCAGGAACAAAATAGCGAGACGCTTGGGGGGAGTTCATGGCAGCCGAGTGTGTTGTGCAATGTACGTCTAAATCCGAAGTGAATGTACTCCAGTCCGTTATTCCCCAAGTTTCCTTTCCTCACAGCTTGAAACCACTTCGTAACGGCATCGTGATGCAACTCTGCACAAGATTTAGCTGAGTTGCCCACCTTCGATCTGGTGTGCTCTGACTATGTATGATTATGCTGGACCATGCAAGGCGTTAACCGCCGAAAGACTGTGAGAGGTTTTGTGCAAGGGTCCTCATCGAAGGTCGCGATGCGACGAGCAGCCTGCTGGTGCCCGTCCGACCAAGAAGTGACAGGGGCTAGGAAGGTAGAGCAAGTTGCAGGAGGTTGAGATCACATCTTGGGGTTCCGATCCTGTCTGACCCGCAACACCCATGCGGCAAGCAGCCGGCAGCAAAGGATACGAATCCACAGCGAAGTTCAAGAACGTCCATAAATTGAACCATCAAGGCTTGACGCCCAGGCAGGAACAGGCTCTCCTTGACAGTGCACCCAGGGAGCAAGAGCAAACAAGCGCGCAAACCATCACGTCATTCTAAGATTCATTTGGATACCGGGGATACCCGGCAAGGCACCACTCAAACATTTACGGTGCAATCATTTTTCCTGTGACACTTTGACCACGCAGAGCCGAGAGCAGCGTGTCATGGGGGAGCAGATCTGCAGCATGGCTACACCACAGAGGCCAACTAAGCTTCTAAATTCTACAGGTCTGTTTACTTAGTTCACCCAACCTCCGGCCTCCGGCACTTTAGGGTATGTAGGGAGGACCATATATACACTTGGTGCCAGACTCCCTCTTCACGGGTTGGGTAGCCAGAAACAGGCTAGCTAGACTCACATGTTGTTCATCACAACTTGAAGATTGGAAGTGAAACGTGGCCCACTGTGCAGAGAAATAATTCGACATTCGGTATCTTTGTGGCTCTAGTTCAGACAATAGTCGTGGGTCGCGTTGCACCTGACATGTACATTGCCGCTCCAGCTTACCGTTTTGTCAAACTGCTCTAATTTCTTCTGAGAAAGCTCTGGAGTCTACCGTACGTAGCTGCCAGATCATAGCAGATGTATCTTGTTCGCTCCGCGTGAGGTAAGCAGCAGCTGCAAGAACAAGACTGCAAGATACTGCAAGATTGTACTATCCAGTTCAACTGGAGCTGCTCTGCCCAAGGGACTTTTGCCCAAGGCCACTGTCCGATCCAAGATCTTTCAGAACCTTGTCCATGAACTTCTGTGTGACATTGGTGTAATTTGTGGCATGGCTACCTTACGTCAAGGACACACAGCAGAAAGCAGAAAAAGGATTCTCAGCGAACAATGGAATTTCGCATTGTCCCGTTTTGGTTGACAGGCTAGGTCATGCTTTGGAAAGCCAACGAGAGCGTTGCAATCGGAGCTGAAGCGAAAACTTCGAAGTCCGATAGCAACGGCACGAGGCCCTCCGTGATGGGATACCGAGCATGATTAGGTCGTTCACTTTCGGCCGCAGATCGGGGATGTTGAGCTTGTTGTGTCCACTTCCAAACCCAAACTCTGAGCTCCCTTTTGTGGCGACCCGAAGACCAAGAGCAGAACAAACCCCTTCGTGCCAAGGCGCGGAAGACCTTAAAATTCTGGTGCACGTCTGCCTGTGAAAGTTGCTGTCCTTCTGCCGGGTTGAAGAACATTCGGTCAAAGTCCTGACAAGTGGAGCATGACTTAGTCGGCATGAAATGTCAGCAACTCCATCCCTTGAACAGAACCGATCAAGGGGTCCTTCTCCAACATCTCGTGTAAGCAATCCGTGTTCTTTTCCAAGTCCTTCTGCAAGAACTCGAAAAGGTTCTTTTCCTGTAGCAGGCTCCAGCCACAGGAAGCTTACAAACAATGCTCCCCGAAAACTCCGAGTCTGGCTATGGTTTTTTCCTCCCTTGACACTCAGCTTGGGCAATCTTGGGCACCATTCACTGCTTATCTTCGTTGCGGCGGCAACCGCCAACATCCTGCAATGCCCTGCGCCTACAGGGTGGTGTCTGTCATATTGCTCTGCACCATGCTTATCGACTCAGTAAGCTGGAGGCTTCGGGTCCCACGCCAAGGGCACTAATCTGAACCTCAAGTTGGGGCCGCCAACACATGACATGTGTGAAGCAAAGGTGCGCTAGAGTCATCCAAGTAGTAGCCGTAGACGTATGTCCACCTGAGCAATTCTCTAGCCCGGCCAGCCCTGCTCGCAGACTTCACACAAAAGCCTGCTAAGAAGAAGGCACCATAACCAGAGGAAAGCACGGTCCTGCATGTTGGCCCCTAAGTCTGGCCTCTTCAACCCTTACCCTCAGCCTTGAGACTTTATGGCTCGGCCTTGCAGCATCGAAGACCTCACTAAGACAACAGCAGAGATCCGATTTTTCCGCAAAACTGCGGTAGGGGAGTCCCCAGCCGAGTGACTTGAGGACGCGCCGGCAGGCTCTCACTTGCCGAAGGGCCTCGCTTCGACGCTTCCAACCCTGACTGCACGACAAGTGTTGGACATGCAACGTTTGAGCCACCCCCTGAACGACTCCACTCCAAGATGCCCCGAGGTGAAGCATTCCTTTAAGATCTGAGAGCCAAAGGACATCGTAGAGAAACTGGAGCTCAATGATCTCGAAGCCATGGTCATCGTGAAGCTTCTGCACCTTCCCCTCGATGTCCTGGATCAGATCTCAACAGAGGGGTAGCAGACAGCAGCCCAAATCTCAGCGCTAAAAGCGTACTGAACCATGTTGTCTTCTGACGAACTGCCCGGGCAAAGGGTAACAAGGTCCCTGCAGCGGATCGGGCCTGCTCTTCGGTTATGGTGAGCTTCATGCCACGGTCGTGGTCCATAAATCGCTCAAAATAGAACCTACACGCGGACTTCAGGATTTTCGATGCTTCGTGCTGGTTATGGTCAGCTCGCAGAGACCCCAGCTTTGGGCACCGGCCCCCGCCTGGCCCCAGACATATTTGTGCAAAACCGAAACACACGACATACATCCATCCTGAATCCACCACATCTTCTTGTCAACATTACTCTCCGGATTATTGACTACACCCTGTACAATGTGCAGAGCACTGAGAACTTCCTGTTCTTATTCGCGGACAGCTTGCGGCAGAACTCTCTCAGGCCTGACAAACGGAACATCGACGCATTCTGGACTTGGGCTTGGGGTCTTGAAGATTTATGTCTCGATACTCGCCACCGGGCAGCATGTACTTGTCGAGGGCATGCTTGGCTTTCAGCCTGGACCGCTCCTGCATATCGGCTCCGACCCTGTTCTAAGGACCTTATAAAGCATAGACGGAGTCCTCTGCCTACATATGCAGGTTTACCGGTGCTAGCAGCACAGAGATGAGCTCCCGCAGTGCACTTGAATGTCCTCGTCGGCATGTTTTCCCTCCTTTGACTGCTTGTCGTAGATGTTGCACTGGTAATACCTCAGGCCGAAATGCGGACGACCCGACCGAGCAGCGCAGAAAACTCAAAGAGAGCCTAAGATCCGATGTCAGGATCCTTTAGGCGACTGGCTGCCAGACAGAAGAACATTTTTCCCCCAGCATCATCGGATCGCGCATGCCATCTGCTAGGGCCGCTAAGGTCGGCAAGGAAACGGTGGGCTGAACCTTGCAGTCCTGCTTTCCCTGAACACTCAACCAGCATTTCAATTGGCAGCAGCCCTCGACTCCCCAAACGGAGTTCTGTAAACCTTCCAAACAAAAAGAATCACCAACGCAGCGAACATCAACAGTAAGCTTGGACCGCGAGACCCTCCGGTGGACGTGCCATGAGTAGACCAATCGCCCAGGCAGAGCCAGCAGAATTCGTGGCCACAGCCGCCCGCCTGCACAGCGTATTATTCTGCGGTTTTCTGTGGCGTAGACGAGATCCCTTTGGGATAATCGCAAGCAGCTTCGGGAGTGCGCTACACTAGGCTTGAAGCTGGAGGCTTCGGTTGGCAGCATCCTCGGTTCTGCCAACGCGCGCGCCACTGCGCTCCCAGGCTGTCCGGTGCCTTCGAGCACACCATGTGGTTGCAGCCCTGGTTCTTCTCGATGGGCTTGTGGCCTCAGCGACTATATCTGAGAAACAGAAGGAACTTAAGAGTCGCAGCCGCAGTGAGGGTCAGAAGACGCGAGTCGTTGAGCTTTTGAGCTCTAGATACCCAAGTAGTTCAGCACATAACCATCTCCTAATCCACAACTCAAGGGTTAGATTTCGGATCGGAGCCCTTCCGCCCTTGGAGCATAGTCCCGCTGCCGCTGCCCTCCCTGCTCAGCACCCTGCACTTGGGGCACTTCTTTGTGTGCGCCCGAATCCAGCTGATGTTCTCTGACTCCGCAGAGTTCTTCACGTTCCACTGGTTGACGGTCTGGCAGCTGGCCTGGAGGTGGCGCAGGCACGAGTTGCATTCTGGACATCTATCCGTATCTGATGCACGGTGCTGCACGAGACCGTGACGATCATCATAGAGGCTTGCTGACAACATCACCACAAGCAGGCCAGGAGACTCTCCGACATGACAAGTGTGTATGTCACGGTTTCGGGCCCAAGTCCTGAGGTTCCAGTGCTGGACCTTCAGCTCCTACTTACACGTGCGCGCGGCTACATGAACCTGTCTCCGAACTCCCAGTTGCAAGGCGGTTTTTTTGCATCTAAAGTTATGAAAGGACCAAAAGGGCAACCACGAAGCGCTGCAGCTCACAGTGAACTTGAATTTGGGACAAGGTGCCGGCTTGTGAGCCTCTTCGCCACAACCCCAGCACCAAATGAAGCTGCAGTTGCACTGAACGTCAACAATCTCCTCAGCACTGCGTCAGACTCTGGGCTCTTCCCATAAGTTCCCACTGACGGCTTCGCCTGTGCCGGTCCCCCCAACCAAGGCTGCTTAGATTCGGGAATAGCTGCTTCCATGGTTTGTGTAAGTGGAGGGGCCTCTTCTTTGAAGTTTAGTCAGGCAAAATGATGTTCTCCACTCCCACCGTTGTAAGTCGTCCAGTCCGGCCAAGGGCAAGAGCGAGCAAGCAACGCAAAAGTCTCCAAGCAAATGAACTAGAAAAAAAGTTCAAGAATCCGCAGAACCTCCGGACCTGAGCCAAACCCCGTGACGCTGCAAGCAAGTCACAACGCCTGGATATTCACAGGCGTAGTGACAGCCTACTGGATTGGTACACCACTTCACAGCAGCGTTCTCGTCCACGTAGGTCCGTAAGCACCACTCCTGGCCGCTTGACACATGCAGCCAAAACCATGTGCCACGTTTGAACGAGTAATTACTTTCTCAGCTTCGGAATCCCTCGTGAAGCCGGGCTCCTGGTACTTCTTCTGCCGCTCTTCGTCGCAAAAGCGCCCGAAGAAGGATGTCGGAACTATCCGATTGCACTTGTGCTGCGGGCAACCTTGGGCGAGGGCTTCGGCTGGGTTTGCCTGCTGTGATCCCATGCTGATGAAGCCTCCAGTCTCTTTTCCAAGCTGTCAAGCGGAGAATCCCTGAGGTCTGAGGTCTTGGTATGCGGAATACCACAACATCCTGCCAGCACCATCTCAGGGCCTGCCAAAGCACGGTCGTTAGCGCAGCTCAGTGACGTGTCTGCACCGCAGACTTTCCGTCGTCCACCTGCGTTTGGAGATAGCCCCTCCAGCATTCTGCACCTGAGCGGCTCTACAAGATAGCTTTTCCATTTCCACTCTTCAGCTATCGAAAGTAGGAGGCGCGTAGTATGCTCGTCGTCTCGGCAGGGTTTTATCTGGGCAGATCTGCACCGAGGCGCAAAAGCCGTGCGCGCAGTCCAGAGCTATCAAGTCGTCGATGGCAGACATGCAGATGGAGCATGTCTTGGGGCCTGCGAAAGCAGGAAAGGAGAGTTGAAGACGGGTCAGAAGTCTAGCTGTGAATGCCCGATGCCACCAAGGCAACGCACCCCTTGCATAATTTGCAAGCTTGCGACGGCTGACATAACAGCAATGCCTACTATTGTAACCTGCGGGCCACCTGCACCTGCAAACCTGCTTGAATCCGACAACCAAGAGACACCGTGCGGCCTGTTTCCTGCCAATTCTGCATGACCACCCCAACACGACCATCTGTGGAAACAGCAACAGTCCAGCTGGCACCTGACTTTACGGAAGATGGTGCAGGCGACGGACAAGAGGTGCTCAATCCGCAACGATTTCGCACCTGCGCACTTGCGAAGCTAGGATTGGTGCTGGTGTTGTTTGGATTTGTTTGGTCACGTGAGGTATGCCATGCGTTCGCGCCCCTCACTAATTCTCTACATCAGTTGCCCAGGTCCGCGTGCAGCAACAACTTCAAGCGAAGTACACATAAGCGGCCCGTATCTGCAATTTTGCGACGTAGGCCAAATTCTGAATTGGGGAGTGGGGTGCCAACTTTCCATTGGCCTTCTGGTCATTGTCAAACCACGCCTCCTGCGACAGTTCAGCTGCTGTGGGACTCTTGGAAAGGCTGTCGATGGCTATGCAAGGCTTCAGGGAACTCGAGACATTTGGCTTCTTTCTGCCGGATCGTAAACGCCCTTCTGATAATTTGGGGCCGCATCTCCTCAAGCCATGCCCTTGAGCCCTGAAAGTGCAGGCGCGGGGTCCTGCAACCTTAGCAGGTCCCAGCGGTATTCTCGGAGAAGCACGAAGCCGTCCTGCTCTTCGGATACTACGGAGACTTGAGGGGATATAAGCAGGCCTGCTCGGCCCGACGAAAAACATCAGGCACTCAAACTGACAGCGACTGCTGTGGCCAACAGCATGCGGCTTGCTTCAATAACTTTGGTACAAGCGCTGCCCCGTTTTCTGGTGGGAGACGTGTTCAAAGCACACACTGCGTCAAGTTCCTGCTGCACAACCAAGAACTGCTACAATGGCAACAGCGGCTACCCGCCCTGAAAGCCCCTCCTCAGCGGACACTTGCAGGAGCTCCGAAGCCTTCGAAGCAAGCCGAGACAAAGAGAGTGGGAGAGAGCCGAAATGTTCGGCTCCTTGCAGAAAGACTGAGAGCGGTTCTACCAAGGCCATGTCGTGGTCTGTGGCCATGCAGAGGGCAAAGGTGGGAAGGGGGGATGCTCTTCACATGGCAGGACAGTGTGTGCTGGCAGCTAGCAAACAAGCCTGTGTACACAGCCAGCATAGAAAAAAAAAACATCCCACCCGCCGCCTCGCTAATGACACTCTTCTGTCGGAGTTCTATCTCTCCTGGAGCGCGCTGAAGGCTACGAGGCTCGGGTCATAGGTTTGTGTCCCTGCATCTGTGCGAAAGTGGCCAAAACCAGGGACGGCGAATGGTAAGACTTGCTAACAGATCTGCTCAAAACGGCCGGCTGCCCTTTCTCCGAGTGTACATGTTTCAACCGCACTCAGCTCCTCGGTTCATGATAGTATAAGGAGCTTTCCGCACTTCTGGCGGCTCGATGTGCATCTGATCGTCCTCCTCGAGCGACGTGCACTTACGGATAGGGGCAACTAGACTAGACCTGACCTCCCTGTGTGGAGCCTGACATCCGACATCCTGGAACAGGTTGCGGCTGCATGTGCTTCTTCTGCTCAAGAGGGCTTCAACATGCATGGTGTATCATGGAGTGGCACCGAGCCACGAAAAGGGCATGCGAGTAGGATGTGCTGCCTTCGGCCATACAACCACGCGTCCTCGTCATTGACGGACTGGATTTCCATATCATCCTGGTCCTCGTATTCAAAAGGATCCTCGGTGCACAAGAAAACTCGTACAAGTACGTGTCGTGCTCCAGTCGGCCATGAATGTGCAATTTCTTAGGCCAATCCCCACCCTGCCACTATCCGAACAACACGCATCCACAACGAGCTGAGGTACGGAGAGCAGGATCCGAGAAAGAGTTTTGCCACTTTGCCCCGATGTGTGATCGCAAGAAGAACTTAGACAAATCTGAGTTGCCGGTACTTGTACAAGCTAGTTATGACCAAAACTGCAACTTCCCCTAAGCCTTCTCCCTCCCGCTGGCCCTCGCGATTATCATTCTCCTGTATTCTTGAGAGACCCGCTGGAAGCATCACACGCCCCTCCCCCCACCCTGCCACCAAGGCGCAGAGTCGCCTGCTATCGATCCGTCATCGGAACCTGATTATGCGTAACGGATCACTCTTTGCTGCGAAAGACGATACGGATTCTTTGTAAGTCTTGATATAACCCTTAAGATTAAGGGAAGAGATGTCGTAGGCTTCGGGGTTGGAGTCACAGGTCACGGGAAGGGATGCGACATGGGCTTCGGTTGATTCACCTTTCGCGTTCAGATGTTGATGCAGCACATCTCAGGGTGCGCCTGCTCAGCTTACAAAGCTAGCAATGCAATTTAACGAGTACTCTGCGTGTGCGGGGCGCACGAAGGGCTGGCGAAACACTTGACACCCAATGCAATCCAACTCGTCCGGTTCCAATCACCCGGTTTTCCTGCTTGCAGCGGGCCTACGGACAGAGTCCAAGCTTTGCTGGACACTCTCGCAGTATGCTGCGCACCATCGTGATGTGATGGTCACAAAGCACGGAAACACGGAAAGTCTGGATCCCACATCGCAGGAAATCGAGACCCGGAATCGACTGCAAACTTTCTCCACGAAGGAATGTCACATCCTCGCCACCTTCCCTGGCGATTTACAGCGATCGGTTGGAGCTTAAAACCAAAAGAAAAGACACGATGGCTCAAGACATGTTCGAAGGCCTGAAACTTTATTCATAAGTACTTCAGTATGTGTGTATAGAGCCTGTACAGTATTGGGAATGTACAAGGAGCCCGGGAATGCGAACTTGAGGAACCGGGATGTGTTTTAGCAGCCCTCGCGTGCAGGCACTCTGCACTTCACCACACATGCACACTGGCTGGCGGCTGAGCCAGAGCCGTGGAAGATTGAGGCTTCTCCCTCGCAGTCAGTGCTGAATTAACTGCTTTTGTGGACCCTCCGGGTGCTCGAAAACGAAGAGGCGATCTCCCCGGAAGATTCGTCCTGGTCTCAGCACCTTTGCCAACACTCTCGAGGAGCCAGGGTTCCTGAGCCCGGAGCTTGGGGCTTCTGCCGGAACAGTCGGTGTTCAGTAAATCTCAATGTGCCTGTCAACCGTCAAAGGAGGCGCCAAGGCTGCGCCAAACATCCCAGAATCTGAGCTGAAGGGGCTCTGCGGAGCCGTTAATCTGCCCTTCTTTCAGCCGTGGCACTTCGTTGGGCTGATCCGCGCCTTCGCCTGCCAAGGGCCGTATCTCGGATCCCCAAGCAGTGAACCGAGTAATCGGCACACTCCAACTTCAACTCTATGCCTGGCAAGACTGTAAGGGTAGATTATCAAAGTAAAAAGCAGGGAGCAATCCCACCTGGCCTCAGGCTGTGGAAAGTTGGGGTCTTGCTTCTTGCAAGGGCCCTTGAGATAGGTGATCTCCAAAAGCACCTTCGGTCCGTTCTGGGGATTCCTGGCAAACTAAGATCGCTCTTGGGGACGATAAGTGACGATAAGGGCCTGAACACGGACGTAGTATCTGTAGTTCCGGAGGGAACCTTGAAGTCTTCCCATTGGGCTTGAATTGCCAACCGACTCAAGTGCAGGCGCACCTTGAGCGGATGCAAAACACAGTATAAGAAGAGCACATGAAGCACTTCTAATCCAGCGAAGTCGCCTCCTTCCCGATCTGCACCCTGACCCCCGTCGTCATCAGCATCCAGTCCACGCCGCTGACGAGAATCTGCTCACCGCTGGCGCCGGGGAAGAAGCTGGCGCCTTCGGAGTTCACGGCCTCCAGGACCTGCCGAGGGTCCAAGCGAAAAAAAGACTGGGTCTTCATATTGATAGTTGTCGGCCTCCTGACTCCAAAGCATCACGGCCCGATCGAAGCCTTGGTAGCACGCCGGCAAGCAACTCTGTTGAACTAGTGATCTCCAATGCATTGCTAAACTGACCGCCCATGGTGTTGTTACTGGCTGTCGAAGCCCACATAGTGACTTAGTCGGAGTGAGAAGCCGGCGTGTCCACCCCAAACAGCGATGAAGGGTGCAGTCTGGAAGTCTCCCGGAAGGCCCATTGGAGTGACCAGGGCCTCCTGCCAAAACATTCTGCATCAGAGTACTGCATCTATTCGATGTCTGTCTCTTGATTTTGCCACACCCGCTTTCTACCTCTTACAGTAACTAAACAGGCTCCAGGGCAAGCCCTGGTCTCACGAGTTTATGCGACCTAATTCCAGGGCAAGCCCTGGCAATGGGAGGCTCAGCCCTCTTGTCCTGCACACTTCGCTTCGGCAGGCCCCGTCCGATACAAATGTGTTCGCAGCAGCCGCAGGCCAAGGCTTCAGTGACATCAGGCAATTTGCGACCAGGCGCTGGCAGGGACATTGGCAGGCGAAGCTTGTCCAAGGCCTCGTTCACAAGGGAAAAAATGCTTCGGGGGTGTCCGGGCTACGCAATCGCACTATATGCGGTAATCAAGCAATCAATCAATCAGCTCAATCAATCAATCGATCTCTTTCGCCAGGGCTTGAGGGACGTGTCAAGTTCCCTGGCCGCTATGGGGCTTGCCTATGATCCATATCCGTCTCTTTCTCCCCTTCTTGCTTGCTGCAGGCTTAAGGAGGGTATCGCGCTCCCCCCTCTCTCAGAGAGGGGCCTATACGTCTCGCGTCCAGCGCAAGCAAGGCCGGCGTGAAACGTCACTCCGTTTTTAGCCTCTGACAAATTTAAACCGGCCGTAACTCCTGTAAGCCGTGCGTCCCTCAACCTCTCTCTCTCTCTCTCTCTCTCTCGCTGTCTCTGTCTCTGTCTCTGTCTCTGTCTCTGTCTCCGTCTCTGTCTCTCTCTCTCTCTCTCTCTCTCTCTCTCTCTCTCTCTCTCTCTCTCTCTCTCTCTCTCTCTCTCTCTCTCTCTCTCTATATATATATATGTACATATTCATACATATCAGTATATATGTGTACCGCTTTACATAATCATTTATGTGTACATCTGTATGTGTGTATATACATATATATATATATATATATAAGCTGAGTATAATAAGTCTGCATTACTTCGGAATGCGATTTCCTCACCTGGCCTGGTAAAACCAGAGCAGCGTCCAGCGAACGTACGGGAAAAGGCCGTTCACAAATCGCGGCGGCAGCCATGGGAACGGATTTGTGTACGGCATAATCGCTGATCAGGAAGCGGAAAGGCAACCGAAGTGCCTTGAGAAACGGCAACGTAAAGAAACGGTCGGGGGTGGTTCAGTGGAGTCCAGAAATCCAGGGACAAATGCAAGGATGCTTCCAGTGCACTGCCATCACTGCATGTCGGGCACTGTCCGAACGATGACTCCAATGCTGGCTTCATCTGTCCCTAAAGATGACTCAAACCATGAGCCCATCACATGTTCGTTTTTGAATATAAGAGGGCTGCAGAAACAGAGCCTAGGCAGGATAGATTCAAATGGCATCTGGCATGGGCCTGATTACATGCAGCTCCAAAAGATCGAAGCAGTCTGGAGAAACACGCTCAGATGAACGTCGACTCCATTGCATACGCCTGCAACAACTTGTGCCCAGCGCTTGGTCCCGAGCCATCCATACTGCACCGATCGACCAGCAGCGGCTGTGCGTGAGCTGGGCGATCGCGAGAAAATTGTCCCCTGTCGCGTGGCACGAGATTAGCTCAGTAGTGCTTTCCCTCATAAAAGTCAGCCTCACACTGGATGACCAGACTCTTGGGGACTGTGTAGAACATGAGAGATACAGGAGACTTATGCACGACGGTAACCATGCACACCATGTCAGATCACATCCTCCCAGAACTCACCCCAACAGCTCTCTGGAAAGCAAGCCTCCTGCCAGCACTGCCCAGGCGCTACAAGCACAGGGCCTTGGAAGTTCGGAGTTGGATCGCTTAGCCGCTTGGCCGAGACTTCGAAACACAGCTCCAAGTGAATTCACATGGGTGTGCCCACGTCAATGTCGCTAACACTACTGCCCACATGCTTTGATAATCACCGGACACCTGCAGGCGGATGTGGGTCAGAACTGCTGTCCCGATGTATGCATGTGTATATGTACTTATACATGCATGGCATACAGACACACAGCTACACATGCTCACATACATGCAGGCCTACACGCAGGCATAGATTCACACATACATACATACGTACGTACATGCATAAATACGTACATGCACACATATTTAGACACAGGCAGTGGCAACCAAACAGACAGCGAGGCAGACGGACGTGCATATATGCATGCATGCATGCATGCAGGCGTCAGTATTTCCAACCGACAGACAGGTTTGCACCCAAGCTGTCAACACGCCCCAAAGTGCTTTGCAATCACGGTGACTCACGTAGTTTGGGCATCAACTTTACTAAGTTCCCCCACCTAAAGTGGCTCTCCTGTTGCTGTACAGATATCTAGAAGCTTCGCAAGTCCAACGAAGCCTCTGCCTCCAAGACTGTGCTGAATTCCCTGGCCTACGGAAGTTAAGCTTCAAGGTGGACGAACCAGCTTACACAGGCTTAGTTCTATACTCTAGGTTCATTAGGGAATACACCTAGTGCCGAATGCTAAGCGCGCGGCGTTCACTGCCAAGTTCCTATAAAATACCAGACCACTCGAGTGCACTGTGTCTTGAAACTGCACAGTGCTCGAGCCAAAATCACCGACAGCATCAATTCATGAGTGTAGCATGCAGTGGACACCATGGGGCCTCCAACCCTCACCCCTGGCAAAGCAATGAGTGACACAATGCTTTCAAAAAGAGATCAGGAGCCACTACATTGGCTTTGCTGCACAGCCTGAGCCAGGGCGTCTGAGTGAAGAAAAAGCAGCTCTTGAAAATAACCCGATCATATCGTCGTAGCCTCCTGCAAAGCAGCCCTTCGAGCATCGCCATCATCCTCCACGAGGCGCCTGGCAGGCCATGCTTTGCTGCTGCATTTCATGAAGCATGAGCCCATCACTGTCCATCAGGAATACTGCAACTATTCCCGGCAAGGCCCGGCATGTTGACATAGGGGATCTATGGGGATCTTGTGAGAGCGTATTGTAGCTGAAACTGCACTTCAGGGGAGCATGGGTTATAGTTCCATAGACGGGGCCCACTAGCGGTCAAGAGGGAGCGTCTGTCCTCGCACGACCGCGCTTGCGAAGGCAATTTAATCAGAGCAGCGCGAGATCCAGCACATGCGCATACAACTAATTACGCAGTAATCAGCAACAGTGCTCGTCCGGGTCGTACTTTCAGCATGCTTGTCGCAAAAACACTGGCCGCAAACAGACCCTCCAAATTGGCCGGCCCGAGGGATACAAAGCAGGGACTGCGCTGCAAACTGGAACCTGATTCAGTCTCCATGTCGCCGGCAAACTGAATCACCTTACATGACGATATGACACAAGAGCCTGCATATTCCCCCTGGAGGCTCACAAGTGGAGTGTTCGACACGCTGCTTCCCTGTGACACAAACCATCAATGAAGCAGCCAATAAACCAGCCAGCACATGACATCGAAACACGGTACAAAACATAAAGCGCGATGTCTTTGCAGGCATCGACCTTCATAGATATGGGTGCGCGCATGCTCATCTGACAGCTAGTGGCATTCGTTTACACTGTCCTGCTCTACTCTTCCCGATACAAGAGATATGCATCTATAATGTGTATCTTTGCATATGTGCGTACGTGTGCATGTATGTATGTATAAACACCTTTATGATTTATGATTAGCTAGGACTACTCTAACTTGAACTTACGTATATAGACACATATTGCATGTTACGAAGCCAACAAGCGATCACCCGGCCCTGCTGAACAGACCGACTGCCGAACAAAAGCTCCTTTGTTCGCACCATGCGGCGCGTCCGGTCAAGGATCCTCACACTTACGGCTAGTTATGGACATCTCATCTCATTAAGTCATGTGAAGCAACACGTCTGTGGATGGCTTGTGCCTGCCATCCACAAATAGCAAGAACAAGCACCCAAAGCGGAACTAGGAACGCTCTGGGACTTGCTCCATGCATTTCTGAGTGTGCCCCAGCATCTTCCATGACATGACCAGAAATACATAGAGGGACACCAGGACGAGTGAGCAAGAAGAGATACTGCGACAAAGATGTGATGCATTCGGGAGGCCATGTGAGCCAAATCCGAGCATTTAACATGCGGCATGCTGGAGATAGGACTTTTCCTCTCCTGGAAATCAGGTCGGTTCTGTGAGCCCTCTGCTCAGTTCACTTTCACCTTGCCCTGCAAGGTTTGCCCTCCTTGCGAAGGTAGAGGCCCTGCACGACCTGGACAAGGCCAGCCGTTTCTGGAACTGCAAGGCTAGCTTTAGCTTGGGAGTTTATATGGAGTGTCCCAGAATAGCAACTCCTTCGGAGCATCTTGCACCTCTTGCCCAGCTCGCCCTTGCCCACCTGCCGAACACGCTTGCATCCGGCGGTGTTCTCCGGGCACTGGAAGTGCCGCTCGATGTGGCCCTGCCACGACCTTCCCAGCGGTACGACGACCCGTAGCTTCACAAACGGTTCTGCTTGGGGCTGTCACATCCACATGCTTAGATACATCATACGTCCGAAATCCAAAAGTCTCCGCCGAGCCAAGGAGCAATCGCTCATCGGAGTCCTCGCGAGACATGGAGTCTCAGTACCCTTGCGAATCGCTCAGCCTCGAGCAGTCGAGCCCTCGAATCCCTGAAGCTCTCACACCGCCCCCCCCTTCGGCCCTAAGTCCTGGGCCACGCACTGCCGAGGGGCGCCTGCGCCGAGCCCCGGCTTCGGCGCGCAAACCCGGAAGAGGGAGCAGCCGGCCTGACGGAAGACTCCACAACATGGCTGCCAAATGCAGGGGCCTTGTCAATTAGAATAAGGCTTTGGGGTACACTAGATTATGCACATAATACAGTAAGAAACCTCCACAACCCTACACTAACAGTAGTCTGCTGGGCTGCTCTGGGCTCGGGGGAGCGCCGGCTCTTAGCTTCGATGGCCTCGGCAGCGCAAACGTCGCCTGCCGCCAAGCCGGTGTCAAACTCGATCTCCTCGGGCTTTCTGTTTGAGCGACATATCATGAGGAGCCGGGGGGTGAATGCCACCAGCGACGAAACTTTGGACGGGATTCGTCTAGTGACTGACCGCCCAGTTTACAAAGCCATCGAAGAACACTTCTCTAGAACGCCGGATGCAAAACACCGTAGGCAAAGGCCCTCTCTCCAGCGCATTGCCCGCAGCCGTGGTGAGCACCGTGGCTGCACGCCGCGTGTTGCCTCAGTAGACAGCCCGGAGGCTGGTATACAGTCACGTTTTATTCAACTAAAGACACCCTACGCAACCACCAGTCTGACCCAAGCCTGGATCCCCGCTTCTTTTGACTCTATAGTGGCTCTTGGCTCAAAGTAAAGGGCGAGGAACCCAGCTCGAAGGACACTGCGTCGCCGGCGCTGCAGTCAGCAGAGCAGGGCTTGGTCGGATCGTCACAGTTGCTACTCCTGCTCTCCACCTGCGGGAGCATGGCGTGAAGACTCATCCAGACGCACATCTATAACGTCACACGGACTGTCAAGAGATCTACATTTCCGGTCACTCATTGTCGAACATATCTCACGTGTGTATGCATGCCTACAAGTCTACCGGCTTCCCACTCAGTATAGATTAGATGATTAGATGCCGTCAGCAACGAGAGCTTCCCATGCCGGAAATTTACGCACCGGCAGAGTCGAATGCAGAAGGCCTGGTCCAGGTATTTTGCGATTTTCTTGGGGATCTTGTCATGCTGCGCGAGGTTCGAGGACATGTCCACCTGCAAAGCTCCGGATCGGGAGTCAGCAGCTTCAAACTGCAAGCGGACCACGATACGTCACCTCAGCCCAAAACCTTGCCAGCACTCGGACCCTTTTTGAGCCTCGTCGAAGGGTGCTTGAGGCGGCAGATCCTGTCCGGCAGCTGATTCTTTGGGGTCTGTAACTGCCCTCAGCACTTCTGTCGTCTGTCATGCCAGGCTTTCGCACGTTCTCTCAAGCTTCCCAACTGACAAGTCGCGAAACTTGCAGGAAAGATTCGCAGGGCCAAGTCCCAAGGTGAAAACTTCCCGGGGTCCTCCGGCCGAAGCTGGTCTGCTGGCGCCATGAGCCCTGAAGCATCCACCACCTGCCAAGAGTTCCCGTCTTTCACCTCCGGTGCTTAGCAATCCATGTAGCCAAGGCCCACTGGAACTTTGTCATGCCTCTCCTGTGGCCAAATGACCCACGACTTCCCAAGAACTGAATCCGGAATCCAAAACGAGTGGACTCCAAGAAATCTGGTAAGAACGCATAACCCGCGGCCCCACAGTGACCTCCGGCTCCCAGTAGCTGCCATGTGGGAAGGTCGGGTCGGCACCTTGCTCACTCACATAATCGCGTCTGACTCGCACACCGTGCGCGACTACATCATAGTATCATGGTGACAGTGCAAGTGTCGTACATGACATGGTCGCGGCTGCATATACATATGGGTATGATACGATATGGCTTGACATGACATGTCACGCATGCTCGTACGTATGTCTGTGTCTGTCTGTCTGATGTAGAGAAACGGACAGCGAGATGACTCTAGTCGAAAGCAAGCGATAGCAATGTGATGCACATCATCTCACGAACCTAGCCCAACAGGCCTCAGTGGTTTGCACGCTTGCTAATCAGCTAATCATTGCTTCCCATCCGACTGCATCCACGCAACATCCCATGCGTAACTCGCACATGATAGCACCACAGACAACACTAGAAGAGTGAACAAGTACAAGAAACCTAGATTCTTGATTTTTGATGCCGGGGTCAAACACCATAGAACACTGAACAGTGAGTAAGTACGAACAATTGAGCTTCGTGATACCAGAATGAAAGCACGGGCGCCGGCGACCGTGAAGCCAGAGCTGTTCGTAGCTTGGGTCTTCACATAGCGGAAGACACCTTCGTCTGAGTGCAGCTTGTTAGGCTTTCAAGGAGCAGGATTAACGGAAGTGAATGGTCTGACAGGCATCACATCGTCTGGGGCTTAAGTATGCATCATGTTTGGCGAGGCTTCTAACAAAATTCAAAACAGCTGCTTGCCGCTACACGGACTAGAGCCGGAGACTCCGGAGTCCTCTCCTAGCTGGACTGCTCGGGTGCGACATCAACGCCTCTAATCTCACGCACCCAACACACAGTAGCCAAACTGACAGCCAATCGCCTCATGGGCAAATTCTGGTTCATCCAAACACACACACACACACACACAAACACAGGCTTGTAAATTAATTGTCCGGCTTCCACACGAGCAAAGACCTGCTGCAGCAAAGCATCGGCCGTCTGCTTTCTCTGCAGCACCGCAGTCGCAGTGTGCGACGCCTTTGAAGTCTGCGGGGTGCATCACCTGAACAGAAGGCTCGACAGTGGGGATGTTTTCCGGGCCCCTGGGTGTGTTTCATGTCGTTCAGGCAGGAAGGCAATGGCCTGTTGCCGTGGTTGGAATCCCTGCGGACCACTCGCTGCTCGTAAGCCCAGACACGCCAGCAATCAGAATCGCTTGTACATGTCATGTCCTCGCCTGAGACAAGGGGAGGTTCAGCTGCTTTGCCACCTCAGCAGCCCAAAGCTCCTCCTCCTGTGTCAGCTTCTCCTGATTGCGGTTTCCAGATTAAAGCATCTGCGATGAAAGTTTTTCGGGGTTCAGGGAACTGCACAACCTTGGGCCATCTCGGGGTTTGCGAGTGTTGCGGCGGCTGTGGCACATACCGGGGTAGCCAGACAGGTCTCGGCTGGTAGCAGTAACGACCAGCTTCTCCGTGCGGCGCATAATCGCAGATCCGCTGGAACCCACGACTCCACGAGTCGCATGCCATAGGATGCAGACGCTTTGTGAATGCATTGAAACATATTCCGGGGTTGTAGGTATACCTGCAACAATCAAGCTCTGCCGAGGTTCTGCCTCCCTAATCCCCGCCCCTATCGGACCACATGATGGCCCCGCAGACCTGAATAAAGGTTCTCATCCCAGGTAAGAAGTCATCAACTTACAGCATGTAATGAATTAGTTACTCAGGTATATATATATATATATTTATTTATTTATATTTATATTTATGTTTATATTTATATTTATATACATACACATAATATAAAATCTTGTTTTCAGACTGCGTAGCTTGCAAGAAACAAACCGGATCCTCCTTGGGCGCATCACAGTGGCAGATGTCTTTTGCGGAGGCCGGGAAGGCGTCCGGGTACAAGTAGGGAGGCACCTGAAAAGGCCAGAGAATCAACATGAAGAACCGTCGGATTGTATGCGGGCATTTATGCAAAAAAAGGTGGACATGGACATAGGCACCCAAACCTGGAAAACTCCACCGAAAACCGTCGCAGCCCCAGAGATTCTGCAACGCCATGGGGCGTAAAGTGCGGGTCTCCGGGCCCCTCCCTGACGAGGGATGCCCGCAGCGGCGACGGCACCAGGTGCCTTGAAGAAGCTGGGTATCTACGCGCATTTTGTTGCAGGGGTATATTATATCTTCGGAACGAGACAACCTAAGACACGTAATCTAGCTTGAGGTGCAGGCGTATATACCGTATACACGGGAATCTGAAGGGTGCGTTTGCTTCGCTTGTTTGTCGCTTGAATCATCACTTGGCTTCACGATCATACATACGGTACGCAGTGCACAACTTTGAAGACTGGCCACAGTCTGTTTGAGGGTACGAAGCGGCAAAATACTTCGAAACTGCTTCCGTCTTGCTGTTTGCCCCTTGTCCGTTGATCCAAAAATATTTGCAGTTCCCAGCACTGCCACAGCGTCCAGCGGCGCCACGGGCTCCAAATCATCGATGAACGGGCTGTGAGCCTTCACCTTGCTTGAGCTCTTCGGGCTGCCGCAAGTGAACTCAAGGAACCTCACTCCGAAATCCTGACCAGTATGGCGAAGTTGCCCAGGGACAACGCGGAAAATCCTAAATAAGCCGTAAACCCCACCCCAACACCCAACACCCTCATCCAAAACAGGAATCAGACTCTGGCCTCACCGATCTGTGTCTGTGCTCCGGAGCGTAGGTGCCTGGAGTGCTCCTCCTGAGAACCCGGCAGCTCCGTGTAAAAAGACTGACTGTCTCTCTCTCTCTCTCTCTCTCTCTCTCTCTCTCTCTCTAGACAGATAGAGAGATCCATCGATATATAGGTGGATAGATAGACAAACAGCAGCGGACATATATCAACAAACATATACATACATACATATATATATATATATGGATATGTATGTATAGATACAGATATGATTCGAGTACCCGCCCCCCCAGGACCAACGTCCCTGTTCTGTTGCGGATGGAGGCCGAACACCACATTCCGTATCCGCTGTTGCTGCTTACGGCCTACACGCGTCAAATCACAATACTAAGAACAGGTTCCAGCTTCATAACTAGATTCCCTGTCGTTTTAGCTGCTTTCATGCCATGTGACCTACATATGCGACATTTACCGGTGAATTTGTTGCTATCTAATATTCGACCAGTAACTACAATGCGTGTGCTGTTGCTTCTGTTGGTGGATATGCATGAATATTTAGTTTTCGAATAGCATTCGTTGAATATGTCACGGTGTTTGGCCTCGTAAAAACTGCACGTGGATTAGTTATGCGATGCGTGTGTTTATGAGTTACCGGTACAGGACTTACACTTACCGATACATGTGATACTTAAGTTACAGCTAATATGAAGTTAATTTGAAGTTAATATCGGCGACGTACTTGTTGAGTAGACGCGTCGCCTAATCTTCAAGTATGCTCAATGTACAAACGAAAACATGCTGAACAACATGTATGACTCAGTTTGTACTGGAATAGTTGGTCGTTGCAGCAATACAAACGAGACTCAACACCATGCAGAAGTTGAGTCCCAATTCGTTCTTAGATAGTACCTACTGCCTGTTTCGTTTATGCAGAGACAAACGCAACACCAACCTGCGAACCGAGGGTTCGTCAGTGACTAGATCCTGACATGTTATATCAATAAGCAGCTTCAAGCATGCATGTCCGAATGTGGCTTCCGTACTACAGTGAAAAAATCATAAGAAGTGAACTACAGATTCTGCCAGATATCAAAGACATATTGCTTACTTAAGGCAAGCGTTGAACTACACACTGGTTAACAGCCAGCTATATTGCTTTAATACATCGCAAGTCGCAAGTTTTGCGATAGACTATGGGTGGACAACGGCGTATTCTCAAGCAGATCTGAAGCTTGTAGTACTGACATGTCGCTTACTGTTTGTGCTAACTCCCAACATCGCATGCTAGATTAGATGGGCATAATCTCTATTAGCTTCTCGTTTCTATTGCAATGGGAGCTAGCCGCCATTGTGGCATAGCTGCAGGTCAACACAATACTTGAACAAATATGTGCATAAACCTCAGCTATGGGGTAATCTGTATGTAGCCGTGAAACACGTGAGATTTTAAGCACATGTCAGCCCAAGAGTAGATTTTTGCTTAACGAAAAACTTTTACACACAAGCCACAGGCTCGTCAAACTCCAAAGCCGACGCCTCAGCCCAGGAGTAGATTTTTGTTTAACGAAAAGCTTTACAAACAAGCCACAGGTTAGCCAAATACCAACCAAAGCCGTAACAGAACAAGTACAGTTTAGAGGCCATAAACATGTCATTGACCAGTGCCATTTAAAGAGTATTGAACTTGTACAAGGCTATGAGTGGGCTGTGAAGCTTACATCACATGATGATGAACAAACGGTACGTTCAGTTAAACATCCAATACATAGGAACGGGTTAATTTGCTCGAACACTCACCCATTACACATGAGATTCTTTAGCATGTACTTGCGTGCAATGTCCATGACCCATATAGTACACAGTGTGAAACTGAGATTTGAGATACATAAATGTGAGATGTTGGATAAGCTGTGAGCGAACGTCAAGTGCTCCACACTTCCTAGGCGAATGCAGATCTACTAATCCCTCTCGGCAATCCAGCCACTAGGCATTTGGAACTTGTATGACTCAATACTTAGACCAAAGTCCAAATTCCACAACAACAAAACATCCCAGCACGATAAAGTTATGGTGTCTGACAGCCCTGCCTGAGTACGCGCCAGAGAGGGAGAAGACAGTTTGGGAACATATTCTGGGAATGCAATGAAATTGGAAATTGAAAAACTCGCAGGCATTCCAAAACCTTCGGAAACCAAGTCGTGGATTTCCGGAATTCAAAAGTTGCAAAAGTCTGAGGAGACAAGTTTTGGAAATGGTGGAACTCCCAAATTCCAAAACTTGGTTCCGCATGTGTTGGAACTTTTGGAATTTTCGGAAGCGTCGAAATTTCACATAAGAGGTTGGTCCTGGCAGGGGTTAGCAAAGAGATAGATAGAGAGAGAGAGAGAGAGAGAGAGAGAGAGAGAGAGAGAGAGAGAGACAGAGAGAGAGAGCGAGAGCGCCAGGGAGGAAGGGAGGGACAAGGAGGGGGCGTGAGAGAGAGGGCGCGAGCATGTAGGATCAGAATTCAAGAAAAAAGCATGGCCGCATTACGCTCTCGCAACTGGGGGTTTGACTTTCGTTTCGTTTGGAACATGTCTCACGAATTCGCCACCGGCAAGCTAAGTGATCTGAGGCCCTCGAATGGTTAAGGCCTTCTTGTGCTCCTATGACCTCTGTAGTGATCGGGCTGTGCGCTGGCAGCATAAGACTTTAAGAGCACTGTCTGAACAATAAGGAAACCCTTTTTCCTGGTAATCAATTTTCATGAGGCAAAAGGGCAAGAGTTACTACTCAGGAACCTAGAGCAGAGGACCTTGGGCGTCTCTAGGTTATGAAAAGCTGAGACCCCCAAGACAAGCTGATAGACCCTCCTGCTGACAGAGAAGATCCTCCTCCAGTGCCCCCTGCCCCCCCACTTAAGTACAACAGGGCCGGGGCGCTGCAGAAGCCAGGGCCGCCAGGGCCGAAAGTGCCAGGGCCACAAGGGCGCGACTCGCGGCGCGCCGCTCCATTCTCCTCAGAGGAGCGGGGAGCGGAGTGCGGAGAGCGGAGCCTTGCGGAGCGAGTCTCAAGTTCCAGATTTGTCGTGGATGCTCTTGTCAGCTTTGCCGCCCAGCTGTGGAATTTCAAGCTAGTGCAGCACCTGCATTGAAACCACTACAACGAAACGTGCCCCGACCGGGTGGCCATGCGACCGAAGCTGCAACGGCGCCCATCGTCTGCTTAGCCCCTATAGCAAGTATACAGCTTCCGAGCACTTCCAGGACAAGGACATATAACGAGCCCAGCCATCACACGTGGTCGTGGATGCCTGCATGCGCCGCGAACACTCCCGGTGCCTGATATATGTTGTCCCCTCTATAAAACACTGCCAAGACTCTCTGGATAAGGCCGCCCAGCGGCAGGCCAAAGCTACATGCTTGGAAAGCGGCGCGGCGGCAGCAATGAGACAATCAACACTTGTAGCACCAAAACTCGCATTGCAAGAGGCGGCCGGTGATTCACTCATGGCAAGCCTTCAAGCAGCGCAGCTCCTACGCCTGCGAGGACGACTACCCGCATTAATCTATCTATTTATCTAGCCACAAGAAGGTTGCAGGCTCGTTCGAGATCTTGCGGCATCTCTTCCCCATGCCCCGCAAGCGCCTGCCTCGAGCTGCCTCCTGCCATGTCACCACCTGCGGCCTCCCGCAGAGTCGCCGGCAGAGTTGCTTCTTGAAGCTATCAACAACCACCACCACCACCACCACAACAACAACAACAACTGAAGCTTGAAGCGATCCTCTTTGATCACTCAAACTTTGAAGCTCGAAGACTGGCAGCATGCGGAAGCCTCGTCCACGAGCCCCAGCGCCTCGCTCAGACCACCTCAGAGTCCACGGCTCAGAAGCTTGGGAAGCTAATGGTCCTGCACAGAGGATGCAGCCGGCAATTACTTTGATGCTGACTTGGAGGTACCGCTCCTCTTTGCAGCATCTGCATCTAAATTGTGGTCGGAAGCGATTTACACACCGTACAGAAAAAATGCACATCTGCAGGCTTCATGATGTGGAGTCAGGATGGAAAGCAGTGTCCGAGGAATGGCGGGCAGGCTTGATTATGGCAAGGTCGGAGTTTTTGAGGTAAATCCTGCAATCCCTACCAGGCTACCAGTACTACCCTATACCATAGACTAAACCTTCAGAGCCCTTCTCTCCAGTCCAAGCTCCGGGCTGCCAGCTTCTCCGGTCACGACTTTCGCAGACTCACGGGCTTCCTTTCAGTGGGCGAATCTGATGGCCACGTCTCGCCGTCTCACCTATCCCCCGTCTTCTCTATAGATGTATGGATGATGATGAAGGAATGTGTGCGCGCCATCAGGCTACATCCCGCAGCACAACCTGCCTTCTCCGCTTTGGCCATGTCTTTCCTCGATACGCAGCTTTGTGGGTTTCTTCACGCACGGACACAGGGGTTTACAGCTCCTGCCTTCCTATCTATGGACCGTCGATGTGCAGGGTCCGCAGGGCGAAAAATGCAGGTATTCTTATGCTCAAGATATGCCAGGTGCTGCCACGGAGGGCCTTTATTGGCCTTCTTCATGGCTTGGGTGGTACAAGTATCGAAGTATAGAAGCTAAATTCAGCAAACGGTGCCTGGGTCCCTCCCTGGCCCAACTCTGATAGCCGCTACATGGCTGTGGTTACGACCTTGTATCCAACTACCTAGAGCCCCCAAAGTAGTTCCTTTTTGGGGTCCATATAAAAAATTCTATAAGGTAATCCCAAAAAGGAACTACTTTGGCCTCTGGGTAAACCGAAGCAAACTCCCAAGGGCACTGTGCAGCTTAAGCGCGACATCGCCGCCCAGGCAGCTCCCAACTCGCTCCAGGCCTTCCGAGGGCCAAAGCGCCCCCCGATTCGAAAAGGGGCGGGGGAAGTGGAAGGGGCTGTCTTGGGATCTTTGATGCTCGGTTTAAAATTGCATGAAACTGATCACTATGCCGCGAGACCCTGTCTGAAACCGCAAGTGAGTCTTCTTCTGGTGCCGTTCCGCTGGTCCCTGGTCCGTGTTAGTTTAGGTAGGCTCCGCAGCTAACGCAGCGGACTCCCAAAAAGGAGGAAGAGTACTCGGTTCCCGCCGGACAACAACAGTAGTTGCCGCACGTCTTCATTCCGAACCCGCATCGGGTCCAGGTGTCGGAGCCTTCGATGACGGTGCGGTCCTCGCAGATGTTCCCGGTGCAGAAGCTTGGGTCTACGCCACGCCGGAATCGAAGCTGGACCGCCCCCTTCTTAACGAGTTGTGCGACAAGGTCCTTTGTCTCCGTCAGAGACATCTGGCTGGTACTCTCCCCACCAACCTCCGTGAGCATAGCTCCGGAGAGGGAGCTTTCAAACGGCGAACTGGCACCCACGACGACAGCTCCACATTGCACCTGAGGGCGAATGCGCTTGGCAAGGAAAGTTGTTCGACTCTCCTACGCTCCAAGTGATGCTGAAACAAGTGCAAGATAGAATGTGATGATGGGGGTGACGGTGACTGATGCTGATGATGAGGAGGAATAGCAGGACGATGAGGTGATGCTGACGATGCCGACACATCGGCGGCTGTTGTGGTGGTATGGTCGCGGCAGCTGTGGTGGTGGTTTCGATGCGCTCTGCCAGAAGGGAATGGAAGGTAGTATGGGGCATTCCCGGCCTCAAAGGTGCCGAGGCGGTCTGTGAGATCCAAGGCCGCGAGCTCCTTTGCCGTGAAGTTCATCTGGAAGCTCTCCGGTGCTTCCTCGCACATGACACTGGGCCGTGCGTCTTTTTGCGGGGCACAAGGCTTTCGGGCTTTTGGATGCACGCATACTCTCGTGCAAGCTTACCGCCCTGACCTGGCTGTGGCCAGGCGTGTCGATGGCGTTGCCCCACTCGTCCACAGCGCGGGGAATCGTCATCGCCGTCCTCGGCCCGGTGTCCCGGACGACACGTGTACAGATGGAGTACTGAGCCCCTCAGCATGTCTGCACTGATTCTGTGACATGTATCTCTGTGCCTTTCTCAAAGCCGTGCCAGCTGAGGGTACATCGTAACAAGCTGGGGACACGACGGGCAGCCTTCCTCGCCGTCGTAGCCCGTCGTGTAGCTCTCGCCCTCAGGAAACCGGAGTTTCAGAACCAGAGACCCCTTCGTCCGTTCCGGCCCCCGCCCCCCCACCCGGCCTTGTAGTCGAGCTCTTCGAAGATGTATTGTGTGTATTGGCTTGTCAACTTCTTAAGGTTCGCACCGAAGATCTTACCTTCCGACGGGTCGTAGACACCAACTTTCAGGAAGTTCCAAAGCTTTAGACTCAAGGGAACGTGGGAGAAGCCGTTGTTGAGGAATGGCAGAAAGCACTGCACCACCACTTCATCCTTGCCCAAGTTCGTGGGGCCATTCTGTAGGTGATCCAGTTGCAAGCGCTTGATGCCCAATTTCTGCAGATTGTCCAAGTAAGCCTGCCACTTATCCTGGTTGGAAGGATCGCTTGCAAAGTAACCGATCAAGTCCTGCAGCCACGCCTCGGTGCGTGTGCTGGGCTTCCCAACCTGATGAGTTGCAAGGCACTCGAACATGCGCGTACGCCACTGCAGTGTCCAGCATTCATTGCGCCGGCCATTCCACCACTTCTTCACACCAGCATTCACCTTGTCCAAGAAGACCTGCAACACTTCTCTCTGGATGCAAGAACCAACAGAACAGCTTATGGCTGAAACCACAAGTCCTACCCAGCAGCGACCCCGCTTCGGCCTCCGTTGTTCCTGGATCCTTCATGACTTGAGCCTGGCATGTCGCCTCGGCCGAGCAAGAGCCTGGTTGGCTCACAATGCTCTCCTGGCAGCAATGACCTGGCAGCTCGATGCAATCGGACTCCACGGCCTCAGGCCACTTCCAAACGCAGGTTCCGTTGTCGTCGCTCTTCGCAGGGGAGCCGCAGCACTTGTGCACCTCCGGCTGCACGGCGACAAAGCCCAGCGACTTCTTGCACTCCTCTGTCTCCGGGATGTCATCCACGCCGTGCCAGATGTCACAGTAAGCATCCAGCGTCGCCTGATCGGCGCCGAAGGAGCCCCGCATTACACGGATCGAGAACTTTCCTGGGATGTCCGGCAAGTTGCAATGCAGCAGCTCTTCAAGCTGGGGTGTTGGCCAGTAAGGCTTGTAGGATCCCGAGCCGTTGTCGAAGACCATTTCGTACTCATCATCCTCGCTCCAAAGCTCCACGTCATGTGCATGCTCCGGGTTCTTGTTCACGATCACCACCTCGCCTGCATAGCGCAGCTCCTTGCGTGATCCAGCGTGCATGTTGTGCTTGCTGAGCTGGTCGAACTTCATGTTCTTCGACAGCAGCCGTCCCAAGGGAATCTTCAAAGTGTCGAGCATGCCGCCAGTGGCGATCTCCAAGCGTGTGTCCGTCACGGCGTAAGTGAACCTCTGGCGGCCGCGGTACTTCACCTGCCCATCGGCCTGCATCACGGCCCGTCGGCCCAGATCCATCTCTTTGAGGAGGTCCATGCCTGTGTTCACGGTGGCTGTGGTCGTTACGTGCCCGGGTAAATTCAGCAGAAGCCTCATTAGGCTGCCGCCCAAATCCATCCAAAGGACTGAGTGAGCAGCTTCTAACGTGTTGTTGTCATCCTGGTACAGCAGCGAGTGTTCTGCAGCAGTGAAGGCACGTTTCTGGTAGCTGAGATCATATGTACGGAAGACCAGTGGGTGCTCCGACATGTCGAAAATGGAGCCAATGTGGTGCAACCCCAGTGTGTATGCACGGAAAACCGCTGTGCCTGCGCCGCTCAGCTGGTGCTTAGCAAAGGGTAGACTGCGAGGGGACGGAAAGGCAGAAATGCCGGGAGCCAGCATGCGATCTCGGAAGCCACACGTGCCGTTGAGGATGTCCAGGGTGTCCACCACCTCTCCCGGGCCTCCATCAGAACCCTCCATGGTGCCCCGAGACAGGGCATCCTGGCGATCCCACACCATCATGGAAAGGTCCGCCTGGTCTTTGTCACTTGGCAGCTTGAAGAAATTGCAGTTCGGGCATCGGATGCCTTCCTCTTCGCCTGTCATGTAGTTCCAAGCAGTCCCGATCATCACCTGGCTATTGAACTGGAGCTCGCCGTAGCGGTGTGCAAAGAGCTTGTGCCTTACAGGATGCATTGCATGAAGAAGCGGACGACCCCGACGGAAAACCGACGACGACGAGGAGCAGGAGATGAGAGAACTGTTCTGACATTTTGTACATAAGTCAAGTGATGTTTATAGACATTTATGATCGCGTGGGTGACTCATGAAGATGCGACTGAAGAACAGGATGACAACCTGCAACGGGTGCAGACCAAGCGACGGACGTAGTTACGTAGTTAGCTGTACGGTTAGCTAGAGATCTTCCCAGGAGTTTAGAAGTAGAAGTAGTGGCAGCCAAGCTGCCAGCCCCTCAAGAAGGAGAAGACCTGCTGCTCGGAGACTTCAGAGGACAGGCGACTCTCGCGCCAAATGGATTTGGGCACGAAGGAGGGGTTCTCGGCCTTGGCTTCGTGGAGCTCCTCCTTGGTCATGGTCTGGGCCGAGTTCATCGTCGTCTTGGAGTTTTTTACGTCCTCGTACGGGATGCGAAGCACGAAGACGGCCCCCAGATTCAGACGGGAATCAGGTCTCTTGGGGTCTCGGACCTCGTGCAAGTCCACGGCCAACATAGGCTCCTGTTCACCGAAGTCCAAGATCAGCTGAGAGTGTTGAACTCCCACGGCTCCCATGGGGCTGGTGATCTCGAACATGGACCTCACCATGCGTTCCGGGCTCCCCAGCGGAAGCACGGGCGACTTTCCGCCACCCAACTGGTCGTCGTACACAAAGTCCCCAGACACCAGCTGTGCCAGGATGAGCGCCACGGCCACGAGTCGGCAACCCATTGTAAGAGATATGAAGGCAATGCAGGGGAGTGGTTTCCCCGGAGTTGTCAGACGCACAGATTTCTGAGCACAGAATTGGCTACAATGTCCGGGCAAATCAAAAGCGCGCACCGTCACTAACTGGCACGCTGCGTGCACACGAAGTCCCAACACAGGCATGGCACCGCTGTGCACAAGACCTTCCGGAAACCTGCAAGCTAAGCTCTCGCGTATGGCCTCCTTCGTGTCGCCCTCGGCAGATGCAGCCAAGGCCTTCCCGCTTGCAGATCGGCTAATCATTGCCATGATGCTGGTCTTAGGGACACGTGCACGCATGCGGGTCTACAACTTCTCGGAATTGCTGATTTGGTGATGGCTTATAGGCGCTTGAGATGCGCGTCCGAACTCCCCCTGCCTCACACTGCGCACAGGCTTCGGCCTCGCGAGCGGTGAGACGAGAAGAGAAGAGAACTAACTCCCCCCCCCCGCAGCAGTTCACTACACGACGTGAATATGCGCGCAAGTCCTAACAGGTGGCACGTGAGATGGCCCCAACATTTATGCACACATACGTTACATCCGCCCCATGTAAAGCTGACGCTGCTACCCGGCGTTTTCTGCCGGCGAATCTCGCCCTCGGCCTGCTCCTTCGCCAGCTTCTTCAGAGTTTGCTCGTCTGCAAGAGTCCTGCACGCCTCGAGGGGGTCCACCTGAAATCTGCACCATGCTCCCCACTCACACTCCGAGCGACGAGAGCTCTCACAGGGATGAAAACCTTTCGAGCCACGCAGTGTGTGGAGAACTGGCTCCAAGAAACTCCAGAGGCTTGACTGTAGGTCTTCTACTTCGCCGAAACTTGGCAGCAATCCCCTCAAACCTGCTTGGCTACCTTCGGATCTGTATTAGAGCAGCCCGCCCGAAACCAAAAAACAACAGGAGCGCCCAAGAGGTGTATCTCAAGTCCCTGCTCTGCCTGGTCGGGAGATGCGCCCTTCTGCAAAGCCTTCCTTCGCTTCTTCATCTGCCTAGGTGGGCCCGATTGGAGATTTAAGCTTGCCAGTAGATTCGTTGCTTGCAATGGAGATTGAGAACGCCTTACGGGGCTTCTCCTGCTGAGCAGTATAAAGACCTTGCATGGGCACTATGTTGAATGCTTGTTGTGGGAGGGTTGGGAAGTTCAGGCTCGGAATCAAGTTGGGGTGTTGTGGAGATCCAGCATCCTTGGCAACCTTGTCCCTCTAACTTAAAGAATACAGAACCAGGCCCCAAAAAATCAGTCGGGGCCTCAACTTGAGCCCAACGTGCGTTCGGGCCGAGGGCTCGAACCGGTGCCTAGAAAAAGGCAAATGTCACAAAGGCCGTGGCGATCGCTGCTTCTGAAGCTCTTCGTCAAAGGCTGCAGCACCTGGCTCAGCTTCGGTAGAATTCCAGTCAGTCGGCGTTCACCCCAGAATGGACTTCGGAGACTCCTGGTCCTTTTCCTCATCTGGCCCATCCTCTCTGAGTGCCCGGGCGTCGGGTTGCCTCAGCCAGCATCGCCATCTGCTCCTGGCTGTCAACCTCCACGGACATCTCGCATCATGCGAGCATCAAGATGGGTGCAGATTCCACTCAGCAGCTCACAGCACGAATTCGGAATTCTGGAGTTTTGCCCGTCAAGACGGACCTCGAGCTTTCCCGTCTTCACCTTCGCTGCGATGGCGGCCCAGGTGCTGGTCTTGGGAAGCGCCTCCAGCTGTTCTTGGAATTGGCTCCCCTCTATTTTTGCCGAGATTAGAGAGAGGAAGTCGCTGAAAGGCATCTTTTTGGCTTGTGAATGTGCCTGAGCCCTCAGCCAGCCTCGGCACTTGTCTCGGGAGCCAGCTCAGCCACATCCGCCCTGGCGGCATCCAGGGCCTCGCGCTCCAGAGACAGCCGTTTAATTCAAGTGCTGTCGCAACTGTCGGGTCGGGTGCTGCTCCTGAGAACTCCCGGCCACGCGTAGAAGAAGCCCAGGGGCCCAGGGGTCCTTTCATCCCCTTACCCGGCCGCCTCGACCAGCTGAGCCCAGTCGTTAGCCTCGCTGTCAGTCATCTTGCCCTCTGCCATGAACCTTAGGCAGAGGCAATGGGATTTCGGACATGGCTGTGAAGTTGTGAAGGAATGGGAGAAACAAGTGTGTACACGCGGCTCCGGAAAAGCATGGGGGTTGGATCTGGAGCACTGTACCAGGAGCGGACATGTTGGTGGTCCTCCTGTGCTGCAAGCCGTCTGCATTGCAGCGGCTTTGATGATGCAAATCTTGTGCCCAGGATTGTGCATGCTCAGCCTGCAAACTCGACACTTCCCTCCAAACTTCTTCTTGTCTACTCTTAAGCCTTAAGCTCCCAGCCCGTCTATCCAGAGGTGTTGACTTCTCAGGAACAGCAGTTCTTAAGAAAGGAAACTGGCCTACATTACTGTAGCCGCTGTGCCATAGCTATTCTGTTTTCACCTGAGCTCCCCGGCTTCTGGCACTCTTCCAGAGCAGCGGCTCTCTCAGACTCGAGGGCCTGCAAAGAGCTCCAAAGGGCTGTGAGTGCTACTGAGCCAAGGACGAACCACAAAAAACAACACCAATGAGCCTTCATCAAAGCCTACCAGTACAGTCAAGCCCACTGAAATTCAGCAGCCGTTCGATTCTACTGGCCTCGTACGCCTCCTTGTCCTGCGCTTGCAAGAGCTGTGTCAGGAACTCGTGGAAACTTGTAAACGGGTCATACTCACCCACCTGACTCACTTCTCCGACGATATGCCTCGCTTCTCTGCTTCGGGCATGTGTTGTCTGAGTTTGTTCTTCCGCCTTTCCGACCGACCCATAACCGTCTGCACGCAGACGGGCAGTCTCCAAACTCGAGGCCACGCACCCTGTCTGTGGCGCCTGCAACTTCGCACTCACGGTCCCAACTATTACAAGTACAATTCTCGTTTGTCATGACCCCGGTCCGTACGACAGCTGTTATTCCTTCTGACTAGCATGCAGCATGCGCCATTGCAGACACATACTCATTCTACGAACAGATTGTTTTTCTAAGTCGCAGTCGAACTAGTCCCAAACCCAGGTCCTCCAGGAGCCTTCCAAGCTCCAGGGCAGCGGCTTGGCTCCCTTTGCCCTGTCGTCCAGTGGGGGTTATGGGACTTCATTGACGAGAGGTCTGTTCGTAGATACCTTAATACAGTGTATAGTACGTTGTCTAGTATAGCATAGCATAGTATGGTAGAATATGGTATCAGTGGCATGAACTCTTAAAGCCTTATTAAGCTCCACGGGCACCATCCGGAACCGCTTCAGAGCTTGCCCCACCCTTCGACTTGTCGCCTTGGCCCTCTTCTGCAGCTTCTGCTTCTGCTTCTGAAGTTCCTGACCACCCGCCACCCCCGCACGAAGAATGTGGCTTGCGTCTGGAACGACACTTCTCGGTCTACACAGCTCCCTCCAACAACCGTCTGAAACCAGCTTTCCGACATCGTGCATCACCCACTTCTGGCTAAGACCTACTTTGCAGTCAGAAGAGAGAACTCCAGGAGATGAAAGACACAGACAAGCCAGCTTGCATATCCGCAACACACAGCCCTCAACCCTGGATCCCTTGAGCGTGACCTTCAGCCTTTTTGAAGGTGCGATGTTCAAAGCTGATCCGATGCCATAGGGCAACCAATTGGACTTCGACGAGCTAGTTAGAGTACACCTGCCCTTCCAGCTCGGCTCAAGTGAAAAGGCCTAGCTGCACCGCTCGGATTCTGGAACATGACCTTACTTCCCCTCCCAAAGATGCCTCATCGAACGCTGCAGCACGGCGAGCTGCCTTCATTACTTGCTACGTGCCACAAGACGCTCTGCGACACCTTCCACTCATGTGCTGCCATGACTGCAACCCCCCCAAGACATGTCCTGAAAAGACAGCACGATGCAATCTCGGCATCTCGGCGTCTTAAGATTGGGTCCTCAACAGTACTAGGATGGCATCTTTGCTAGTGTGCGATACTACACAAGCTACAGAACCCCATGTTCAGACATCGCTAAGTTTTTCACCACGCGCCTCTGCCAGCGCAGCCCGCCGCTCGGCATCCGTGTCTTCCAGCGACTGGCACACAAAGAATAAGCACTTGGCAGACTGGAGGTTTTTTCTCCCTCCTACCTAGCAAGGACAGCTTTGGAGTGTATGCGGCAGCTGAGATCGTAATTACTCGTTATCGGAACTTCTTTTCCGTACCACTTGATGTCTGTTTTTCCCAGTTGCCTGCGCTGTACCATGGCAATGCCGCCAGATCCGTGACGTTGGACAGAACTCAAAAATCACTCGCACGTCTCGAGGACTTTGCGGCACTGCAACTAAGACTCAGTTAGTAAATCCTGCGAACCTTCCGCGGGGCTCAGCGACATCGAAACAAAATTCAGTCACTTTGCGGACCTTCTCGCGGGGTTGCATAAACGATTGTGTCCGCAAGCACCAGGGCTTTTGAACTACAGTCAAGCCCTGCATCGCGCCTTGGCGACTTTGGTACCACCCAACGTTGCGGTCAAAGCTGACTGAGCCTCCTCGCGGACACGACAGAATCACTGAGTTTCTGGAGATATGTTTGGGATCGTTGTTCTGTCCTTGGAGGGGCGCCTGGGTGTCAAGATTTAACAGTGTCTGAAGGCGGTATACCGATGGAAGCCTTCGAATGGCGGCAGGGAGCAACATAAATGAACCAAGGCCCAAACAGCAAACCTAGCCAGTCGAGTTATCCTCTGTCCTAGCAGCTTAGCAACGGATTTAAGAGTTGCCAAGGCAATCTGGGCTTTCCGCCGAAGCCAACCTATCTTATGTGCTGAGATGAGCTGAGTGAAGAGTCTGATGCCACCGGTTCCTGCGATGCCGACTGCACGTCTGCTGAGAGATGCTTCCATGCTTCCTCCAAGGCATCGCAGGCCTCACGGGCAAAGAAAGGAGCTGGGTCTGGGGATTACGGGTAGCCAATCTCAGCTAGTCTCTTAGACAACATGCGCTGTACAACCTCTCAGCTCTCAGTTCTCCAAAAACCCTCCATCCGAGGCGCCGAATCCCAGGCTTCGTCGCCGGCACCGTCCTCCCGCAGACCCGGCAGGGCGGCAAACTCTGCGGCCACCTGGCGCCGAAGCTTTTGACTCAGTGAGACATCCCCCCACCCCCCTTGCCCAGCAGCATCTTGAAGACGGAAAGGCTCCGTAAGGTTCTACCCTGCCTTGTCCTTGAGCCCAGCGAGCGCGTCTCGCTCCTCCAGCAGTGCTCCAGCAGTCAGGAGCGACCTTGCCAGGTTGCCACCAGAACACCTGGACCTGAAGAACTATGAAGGGACGATCGCCAGTGCCCTCTGCTGTGCAGCTGAAGCGGCGAGTCTCCATCGGATTGCTTTCGGCGACGAGCCTGTAGCCGTAGCCTACACGCAGGGGCAACGGAACGGGTGACGGTGGGTCGTCACCGGAGAAAGTTTCCAGAACCCGATGGCCTTTGGGCATCCAATTCTTCCTGGAACGTGCTCGCACGCCGAGCCGCCTCAGCCAGCATCGCCTGCCGGAAGCGGCGTTGGGCCCGAGAGGTGATTGGCTCGTGATCGTCCAGTTAGCTCTGGAATCGTGGCTCAAACGTTCAAACTTTGTACACACATAATACTGCGGAAAACAGGCTGTCGGACATTATCTCTGGCGGGCTCGAAGCTGAGTTGAATTGTGAGGTCATAGGACACGCGCACACACAGAGAACTGTTCAGGGAACTGCAGATTCAGCCACTCGCCCAATCTGACCTGCTGACAACAAAACCACGTCGCGCACTTGAACACTTTGCGTGCCCTCTTGCTCATCATCTTGCCGTAATCCTCAAAGCCTTCACCGACCAACATTTCCCAGATAGTCGACAGGGCCTCCCGATCGCCAGCATCTACGGAGAGCTTGGCACGGGCCATCCTTAGTTCTTGAGCTGATCGGGTGCACTTGGGGAGAAGCATTGTCTATAGTCACTATAGTCTATAGATTCTGGACAGTGTGGATTGCGGCCTGTCATCATGACCAGCTACATGGCATTCTTCTTCCTAGACATTCGCGCTACAAGTTATGACGTCTGGTGACAAACTTGTGCATGAGTCCACATCAAGCCAGGAAACAGCTCTCGCAGAGGGTTGTCGTCGCTCTTCGTGCCGTCCTTTTCAGCGGCTTGCTCAGACTGCAGGGTTTACGAGATCTCATCCAAACTTCTGAGCATGCAAATGGAAAGTCTGACGAATCCGACAAAACGCCGATGCTTCAAATGAAGAATGAAGGGAATTCCCCCTTGCAGCCGTCGGATGGAGACGGTCGTCTGTGCTGAATAATCTAAAAGCTGTGGAGACTGGAGAGTACGAATTCGTGATTGTACATACACACGCACGCACACACACACACACACAATGGGCACAAACATGCATGCATGCATACGGACATGTGAACATAAGTACTACGAGCCTTTAAAGGCAATCTACAACTCGCTGCCTCTCCCATCGCCTCGCGAGCGCCATCCTGCGAGACGCGGCAGGACCCCAACGATGCAGGAGCTGTGTCAGTACAGCGTAGCACTGGGAGTCACGAAGCTTGCAAAACGACCATCATGTTAAAATAACCCAAATATGAAAAGAGTATGTTTTCAATAGGATTTGCAAATATGACAACAATATGGTTTGACAAACGGATATGAACACAATATGAAAAATATGAAAAAATATAGCGACAAAATGGAAAATGTGGAAAAGAAATATACTTCATGTATATAAAACATATGAAACACATATGAACGAAAATATGTGTTCGACCCGTCGCGGCCAAAAAGCCAGAGCCCGAGCCAACCCAAATTGATTTTCATATTGTTTTCCTGCTTGCTTAAATAAACTTATTAGGCAGCGAATATGACAAGAATATGAATCGACTGCCGGCACCGGCCACCCAAAACCATATTTGTTTCCCATTTTGCAATATTGGCAAACCATATTGTTTTCGTATCGTTTTCATTAAAATATGTATTTCGCAAGACTTCCAAAGTCTCAGGTGTAGCAAGTGTATGCGTACGTTTTTCCTACACACAAGCATATCTAGTGTGTGTCTCGGTATGTGGGTCCATATGTATATATATATATATATACACACACACACCTAGTATTATGCATGTGCTTCTGGTTGCAATCTCTATGCCGCCGTTGAACGTATGGTCATTTTTGCGACCTCACAGTAATGAACAAGAAGCGCTATGAATAAAAAGCAAGAAGAAGATGAAATCATAGAGATAATCATCACTCATCTGGCTGCAACTGCTCTCAGCAAAAGATATCTGAAACAATGAGTAGCAAGGTGGCGCTAGGCTCGAGACTAGGACGAAATTTCATCGACTGGGCTGTCAGGCTGCTTGCAACCAGCAGCGCGGATCCTCGACTGGAGCTGAAGCGGGCTCCCTCAATCCAAAATTAAGACAGGCTCCCTTAAACGGGAAGCCCAGCACCTCCAGGGCCGCCGCTTTCTCGGCTGCTGCTTCCAAAGATCGCGCGAGGCGCAACCTGCGCACAGAACGGGCTGTGTGGAGATCATCCGCGAGTGAAAGCGCAGATGACATAAGAGGAGACGTCCCGAGGTGTGCCCCGCTATGTCCAGCCCAGCCCCCAGTCGGCCACACTGCTCGGCCTCTCGTCTTGTCGGCACTGCCAGGCTTCGGCTTCCTGGCAGCTTGGGATCAAGTCTGCGGTAGGGTGCCGGGGGCACTGCTATCGCATGAGGACTGCAGCAACCCTCGAGATTGCATATGCAGGATGCGGGAATCTGTTCCTTCACGCTGCAGACTCAATGCACCTTCATGCTATCGTTGCTTCACGCACACCTTGTGTCTTTCACATGAGCTTCGAGGACCTGTCGCAATGCCATCGGCAGGTTCGCCGTGGCGCCGCCGGCGAGGAGGCGGCCAACCTGCAAGACTGACGCCTTCCTCTTTGGTTCATCTCACCGTCTGCCTGTTCAGCTTTTTGGTGGTTGAGCAGAAGTTAGAGCTGCTGCATGTGAACCTACACACACATATGTATATAATACACATGGGACATTTCAAGACTGAAACATAGAAACAGACAAGGCTCGAGAAGTTGCAAAGACGGGCTATCGAAGGAAGAACAGTTTGCCCAACACAACTAAGTACAAGAAATGCGTCACGGAAGACCTTGGTTCGGCAAATAGTTGCCGAGCTATCGATGTTCAACACAGTTCACCAGCCCAGAGCGTGTCGATACTCGAGGACTACAACAGCATCTTTGAGGGTCTTACACACACACACACTCGCAGGAGGCAGAATGACAGATTGCCAACGTGACAGTGAGTGACTGTGACTTGCAGGATCCCCAAAGCATCCCTGTCAGCGCTGGTGCAACTGCACAAAGCCGTGCCCCGAAGCGCTACATAGCCACATCCGGAACACGCACTCCCTGACTGTCTCAAAGCAGATGAACAGCTCCGCAAAACCTGTATGCCCAAATCATTTCGAGTCAGGCACCTGATCCAGGGCCACCTGCTTCTCCTGAGCCCACAACAGGGTAGCGTGTGGATTTGGATTTATGGGCTGCCACACCTGCAGCCAAGTCACGTCCCACGTAGAATCTTCAGCTGTTGCCATTGCCATGGCCTCCTGCAGCCTCAAGTGCTTGTAGGCTTTGCGGGGCGGTCCGAACCCAAAGGATGCAAGGTAGGTGGAAGATGCATGTCTCAACAGCCCAGGGGCGTGTGAAGGGCAGCCGCTCGCGAAGCAGGCGTGGTGCCCACCGGAGTGCCAACGGCCACTTCCTGAGCAAGACGCTTTCGGGCTTGCTTCTACGGGGCTGCCAGTTCGATTCCCCAGGACGATAGCAGCTTGCTTGTCTACTGCCTGTACGTCTCTGCGCCAGTCTTACACGTGTGGTGTAGGTTGCTTTTGTCTGGTGCATGTCTTCGACAGTCATGACATGCAGCAGCTTGTTGGGCTTCGGAAGCTTTTCCTAAAGACAACGGACAGGACGGCGGTCGAAATAAGGGAATCAACAAACATCCTAAATTCACGATCACACTTCTGAACAGTAAGAGCCCAAGCCCAATCTCTGAGGTGGCTGCAGAAAGGTTGTTGGCACCCTTACCTCGGCAGGAGCAGAGGGCGGAGACACGATTGGCTGGCATAGAAAAACCCATATACATGATGTGGTTCCACAAGCATACTATAGACATCTGCGCATATCTGTACTTGTACATATAATGCAGATGAACACACACATGCATGTATGTGTACGTATATTGCGCACTACATATATATATATATATATATATATGTATATATATATATATATACACACACACATGCTTGTCTGTGTGCGCTTTTGGATTATTTGGCCATGAACTTATGGTATTGTCTGTCTGTGGTTTTATAGCTCTATGTACGCATGTATTGGTTTATGATTGAATGTATACGTGCAGACTGATGTTTGAAGTTGAAATCTATAGTTATCTAGTTGTTGCTTTACTCATATATATATATATATATAGATGTACGTATATGTATTTGTATGGCAAACATAAATGGCTCTATATACATACATACCTACATGCATACATGCATGCATCCATCCATGATTGCATACATGTATGTTACACGCGTACATGAATAATTACAGGCTTACAGAGCACGAGAGAGGGAGAGCAATGTGTGCATGTGTGTGTTTTTGCACATAATGACATAATAATGCTTGCGCATGTGCACGAACACACATGCATGCAAGGGAGCATGTGAAGAGAGACGCGTTCAACCTTTGCTGACGCAGACGCAGCCCGGTGCATGTATGATGGCAGCTATACAATCTTCCGCCCTATCATCGGGCAGGTTGTGCAAGGCATGGTGCACAGGAATGCCACTGGTGCAAAAGATCGGCCAGGTAGAGCTTTTCATTTTTAGGGCATGTCGGTTGATGAGGGCAAACTCAGCAGACACTGGGAGGGTCTGGTGTGAACCTTGAAGGTTGCGGGATCATGTCATGTGTATGCGTGCCGGAGCAAGCTAGATGGCTCTCTTGTGACTGCTGAGCTCCTCATGGCGACACAGACTAACGCCAACAGCCTGGTTTACTGAAGTTCTCTGGACGTGCTACAAGAAGGATGCACCAACCACTGCAAGGGCGTTCGATTCTTACTAGGTCCCAGATCTCTGCCAACCTCTGCCTCGCCAAGGCTTTCCCCACCATGCCAAGGAGCTGAAGGTTCCTCTGACTGGGGAGCCTTCGCAGCCAGCCATGGGCGACGAGGCCACACGGCGCGCCAAAGCCTGCAGCCGACAAAAAGACACTTCGTTACATCTCCGTCTGCTCAAAAATCTATCTGTTTGGCTTGGGCATGCTTGGGCCCTACATGGACAACCATAACCCACACCATCCCGCTGTTATGTACACATATGTGCGTGTGTGCAGATAGATGTCTAGGTCATATACCCAAGGTATAAATATAAGTACCACATGAGCTTGTACACACATATGTACAGATTTATATCGACGCCGTTCATAGGTAAGCGCATACATGACAGTCATGCGTGCGTACAATTGCGTGCACACCGACCATGTTGTTGAGCCTTTGGTTTCTTACTTGGACAGCCAGGTTACTTTGATCTTTGCCTGGGCCGCTTGCGTCGAATTCTGCCCAGAGACTCGAATACAAACGGGCGCAGATCTTGCGCCGTATAATCAATCATCTATGATTACACATATGTACTGTTTACTGGCGGTCGGCCCATAATATGCACGTGTGCAGGTATGATTTGGTCTGCTGAGATGGCAATTACATATGCCTACCACAATGAACTATGTACCTCGCATCTGTTATGCAGCCCGCTTCTCTTGACAGATATTACCCTCTTTGCCCTACATTGAAGAGGCTTGCAGATTGCAGAGCTCTTGGGGATCTCGCAATTCACATACCTATGCGAGAGCAGATGTACCCTCGCCACGACATACATATTCAACCGATGCCACATGAAACATATTCAGTTTGGAAAACACTGACATGAAGAGAAGTCGAAGTTGGCTATGGCGGAGGTTACAATTTACAAGCTAAAACCAAAGCACTCCGAGATGAAGTCTAGAGTCGAAACTACAGCGAGACCTTTCTACCGACATTTAGACGACGTGACCCTGGCATACCAGCCTCGACCGGGAGCAACACGCCGCCCTCAGGGGCTGGTGCCACGCTGGCATTCTTCCCTGTCAGTGAAGCGTTCGATCAAGCTCTGATTCTACATGTCCGAACAATAGTTATGAGGAACAGCTTAGAGGGTATCTGTGTTGCAGATTCTGGGCGGTTGGATTCATGAACCCAGGCAGCTCTGCACTCCGTCTGTAGGTTCTGCGCCTTCCTTCCCATCCAAGTGCTTGTCAAGCGGCCCATGACGTTCAAACAGCGGCCGGGCCAGTCTTTCTCGGAGACAGCCCGCTTCAGGTCCTCTTGCTCCTCAGATGCGAGACGTATGAAGGCAAGCGCGGCTCCAATTTCCGGTTCGATCGCAGCAAGCACGGCGACGACCTTTTAAACATTCGGATTTGCATCTATCTATGAACACAACATGTCAAGATATATTATGTCCTATAGTACTACCTCCGTGGCCGATCGGCCTGGCCAAGTCCAGTTACCATGGCGAACCTGTGGTTTTGCAACAGGCCGATTTCTGAACATCACTTTGATACTACCTCTGTGGCCGTGGCGGCCCACTCCTTAGAAAAACTGCATCGTAGAAGTACTGCTCCGGTAAAACCTTTTACAGAATGGCAGTCCTCGTCCTCGCGGCGTTTCTGGCAGCAGCAAAGGTAGCGAAGCCAAAGGCAGCGCTGCCTGCTCGTCAGGATGTGGGATACGAAGCTACGACGCCCGGGATCCGGCTACAGGCAAGCCTTGGGCATCACTATCGTGCTCCCTGCAAAAGCCCTGTGGTGACCCGGCCTGTGGAATGCTGAAGTGAGCGCCGCGGATGCCATGGCTGCACCGATCACGGCCATGATCAAGAAGAGCACCGACAGAGGGGACCCTGGCACCATGGACAGTCGGAACATGACATGGTGCGCTCTGATCGTCCACAAGGCTTCTCGCAAAACCAGGCAGAGCTGGTGGCTGGGAAGGCTTTCGAATTCCTCAGGGAAGGTTTTGCCCTCAGTCAGACCCGGCCTTCTTGAAGCGTGGTGCCAGCACTGAACTGGGGAGCGGCCTGCCACTGCTGTTCGTCTCACTGGTGGCTGAGTTTGGGCTTCCGCGGCTGCTACCAGACCTGCCCTCAACAAAAATCCTCGTCGTTTTTGACTGTGGGCAAGCCTGTGATGTGCATCACTCACTTTGTCGTTGGCATTTGCGCTGGCACTTGCCTCTACGACCCATTGCAATGCGTGGTGCAGCAACGCTGTGGCCAGTGAGTCCAACACTCCACCGCAGCTTAAACTCCGCAGACGCCACTTCGAATGCTTCTGCAACAGGCACCTGGCCGCCGCCCACGGGGGAAGTGCACATGGCATCGTGCAAACGCCAATCCTCGAGATCACGCAGGGAAGCGTCTATACGCTTTGGGCCAGTGAAACGGAAAAGGACGACGCCCTCCTTTGTGAGTATCATAAGTATCTCCAGCCAAGGTGCGGAGCAGTGTCTGAGGGGGAAGAAAGGTGCCTGAGCTTCAAGAAACCATTGGCATGGTGTCTACCAGCATGCATTGAACCGCCGGGCTTACCATGAATCCAGAGGAGCTGTCAACTTTAGGACGGGATCTCTCTCTCTCTCTGCCGTGTATTCTGCTATTCAAGACCAGATGCAGCCTCCGGATCGGACTGACACCAAGCTTCCACTGCCTCCCCACAGGTGAGCTCGGTGTCATTCGTGGTGTTGTCCTGTCATTCTTTTCAACACTAAGGTGTCCTCCCTCGAAGTTCTGAGATGTTTTGAGGGTTACAAGTAGCGCTGCAAAGGGGCCCGGATGTTCTAAGGTTGCTGGAGTTGCATTGCAGGACCTGCTCTTTCGAGGAAGGGTTTGAAAAGGAGAACCAAGGCTTTCCGTCATGGCGCTGTGTTGGCCGTCAGGGACAATCGGCGAGCATCCCGATCCGATCTTAAGCGAGGTCCAGTGAAGCACCCGCTCAGCTCCGATCACTAGTCTAACACAGTCACGGATCGCAGGGAAAGATCCATTCCGACACTTGCAAGACGCCAACGGCAGAGTACATGAGAGCAGCAGGGCAGACGCAGTAATTCCGGTCTACCTCCACTATTCTGTTCTCGACATGTTGCACACTTCTGACTCTGCGCGTGCAACTTGCTGTGATACAAGTGCCTCTGCAGTGCAGCTAGGTGGAGTAGGGTACAGGGCTAATGAGGCTCCTGTAGTGGGGACAATATTGAGTCTGCAAACTGCTAGTGGGGCCAGGTCCTCCTCGTCCAGGGTGTAAGTTGTGGACTCACCGCCCTGTCAGAACCGTGCAGCCGTCAGGTCCAAGCAGCTAGCAGCAGCCACTACTGGTTGAAGTAAGCATTTAAAACAGACACCCCTTGCATGACCTTCCAGCTGCCTGAAAACACAAGTCTCACATCATTGACTTTAACCACGTATCCCTTCTCATTCCGGAGCCGGTGTATGTGTACGTATGTGCGCAGGTATGTACGCATGTGTGATGTGCATGCATTTAGTTTGTATTCATATATATATATATATACATATATATATATACATATATATATATATATATATATATTAATTATACACACTCTTATTTAACTATTGACTGATCTATGTATGTTGATTTTGTATACCCAAACATACATTTACATACGCACATGCATAAATAGTCCGTATATGACACTGCCGAAGACTGTTCCCCTGATGCCAGTGCCCTGCCTGAGTCATGGTCGTACTCGGGGCCGTGCCCGTGAGGTGACGGGAGCTGGTATAGTTCGTGTGCGCATGCTCTGTGGTGGTGTTGGCCTGGAGCCAAAATTTTGAAACCCTACAGTAAGAACATCATCGTGATTGTGGGTCGTGGAATTTGGCCTACAGTCCTAGATGAACAGATCCGTTGTGTCCCTTTGTCAGACAGGTTTTGGGCCGTTTCCACTCCTCGAGCATACGTACTTGATTGGTCGGGCCCGCTAGCAACTCTACCCACTCTCTTTTCCCGCTTTCCCAGAGTAAGCCCTTCCCCCTAAGATTAAAGGCCCCCCCAAAAAATTAAAACTGGATTTCGGAGGTTTAGTTCTTACATTAGGGGGGGGGTTCGGTTCGGTGCCTCCACGTACCCAAAGCCCCAAACCCTAAAGCTTTAGCCCTGAGCCCTAAACCCTTCAACCCTAAAGCTCTGGTGCCATTGTGGAGTTGTGGATACACTGGAGCATAGAGTGCGTGATTGCCCGGCTACTTTCTCGGTCCGCCAACACTCGGATTGGAAGGATATTTGTACACAGCCTGATCACATGTTACTAACAGGTCTTTTCCCAAAGTTGAAAGATCACAACAAATACCTACAAGCTCTTGATGCCATTCAACATCCTTCTGTTTTGGAGCCACCTGTTCAAGCGGAACGCTTCAATTTGTTTACAGATGGGTCAGCGATCAACAACAGGTTTCCTTTCTTGAGACTTTGTGGATGGGCTGTCACTTGTGCTCATGATGCAGGTCCTCGTAATACAACTCTGTGTGCTGGGCTATTGCCGGGTAGAAGACAAACGGCAGTAAATGCAGCAATAGCCTCTGCCCCTTCGGCGAATATCTATACGGACAATCAAGCTGTTGCGAAGATTGCACCCACCACGGTAGAGACTTGATTCGCACATGCTCGAGATTGCTCTCGTCCAAGCCGAGAGGTGCTATATCTGTATTCTGGATCAAAGCCCACAGGCCGATTATATCGGCTTGCAACAACCATGATTTATGGCTTATTCATCACAACGCTGCTGCTGACGATGCTGCTAAACAACCCTTGCTATGTATTCCACCGCCATTGCTTTCGCTCCATACTCAACTGGCCTCAACACTGGAAGCTGATTTAGTACTTAAGACCAAGATATGTCGCCATCTCCGCTTGATCATGGATGAGTACCCCTGATGCTGTAAAGGATTCCACTAGTTTTTTGAGCCTTCGGCTCTTGGTCCGCCTAATGAGGTGGTATAGTCATATAGTCACGTCGCCAACCCCCGGACTTTGCCATGCCAAGTTGTGAACCTAAAGCTCTGGTGTCTTTAGTACTGCTGTCATCTTTGGCTCTATAAAGCCCTGAGCCCTAAACTTTAAGCCCTAAAGCCCCAAGCCCTAAAGCTTCAGCCCTGAGCCCTAAACCCTTAAGCCCTGAAGCTACTGTCTTTAGTACAGCTGTAATCTTTGGCTCTATAAAGCTCATACAATCCTAGCCCCCCCCCCAATATTTTTAATTGACTTTCAATTGTGGGCCCGAAACCGGCGCAATTCCGGGGGCCGGGAGTTTTTGTGTTAGGGGGGGTTTAATGTTAGGGGTACTCAGGCTAAAGCTGCAACCTGCAACAGCAGCGCCCTCTTATGTCGACTGGACATGCAGCATCGGCCGCACAGAAGGCTATGCAACTGCCCACATTGCGGTAGGGAAGGTGCAAAACCCTACATCGCTTTTACTTGCAGGCAAGGTGCGCTGTCCAGGTTGTCCTTGGTGTGAGTGCTGAGATCTCCGATCTTTTCTGGAGGACGGCTGGTCAAGCTCTTTACATCGGACAAAGACGGACTGCATAAACACTTGATGCCAGCAAGTCCGAGTATGGGCGAATCTGTGCTGAGTCGCCGTGGTGCTTGTGCCGGTCCAGGTTGCTGTGCCTTCCATGCGCAACTTGGTACTTCAGTCAAGCTACAGGCTCTCCTGGGCTGATCTCTACTGGCCTGTGACAGTAGTCGCCTCGGCCACGGTCGTGATCGGCGCTTCCACCTGCGACAGCGGGTCAGCACATGTCGTCGTATCCTCAAGCCGAGGTGACCGAGGACGCGGCCATCTTCGTGGTCTGAGTTCTGGTGGCGCTGCTGGACCTTGGGCCGAATTTCGCAGGCGACTGGACATAAAGCTGGAAGGAGCTCGTCTAGGTGCAACGGGGCGGCCAAGTGGTTGTCGTGGCCGACAGCGTCCTGCCATGTCACCGGGCTCTGCAGTGCCTGGCCTCAAACTCCACATCCACAGGCGCGGGCTGTTCGGCCATTCTGTCGTTTCAACATGCATGCTGCCGGAAAGGCAGGGCAGGCCCCACTTCCCCGTTGTACAGCCCTGTAGTAACTGGCAGTAACTGTAGTTATAGGGTCGATCCGTCCCCAAGCTCTTGGCATGGGATTGAACTCCGCAGTCCTGGTAGTGGTCAGCGTCTTGGTCGTCGCTGGCGTTGCCCACTCCGTGCTGCTGAGAGTGGTAGTAGCAGTCGCTGTGGCTGCTGGCAGCGTTGCAGTTGTGGTCGCGGTGGTGCTCATGGCTGTGGTCGCCATTTCGGGTGGGTTGGTGGCACTCAGCGTGGTGCTGCCAGTGCTGGTAGCGGTTGCGGTGTCGGTTACCGAAGTCTCTGTCGTGCTCACTGTGCTGGTGACAGTAGCAGTTACAGAAGTGTCTGTGACTGTCACAACAGTGGTTGACGAAGTCTCGCCCGACCATGTTTTAGTACTGCTTGTGGCCGTGTTCGATGTTGCGCTCGAACTTTGTGTCGAGCTGCTGCTTGAGGTGCGCGTTGTTGTTGCTGAAGTGCTAGTGTCTGTCTGGGTTGTCGTGTCGGTCTTCGACGAGGACACCGTGGTCGTGCTTCCCGTCTGAGTAGATGTGTCCGTGCCAGTTGCCTTGAAAGAGCAAATATGTTCCAAGGCATCACTCGCAGCCCTTCGCAGGTCCCACCGTCTCAGGAAATGCCTTATGGCCATCGCCCGGTCACGAAACCACTGGAACTCAACAAGATACCTTCGGAACTTGATTAGCTGCAGGAGTCTCGACTGAATCAGCCTTCAGCTTACGAGAGAGTTGCTGGTCGTTTGCCAAAAAGCCCAACTCTGACAACAGCTCGGCACAACTCGGACAATCGAGGCGGCCACTGTCACCGAGCTTGTCACGGTCGTGGTCGACTCGGTGAGGGTGCTCGACCACGTCTGCGATCCTGGCGCAGAACGAAAAGTCTTTTGCATTGACGACTGTTGTCACGATCTTCGGTGCCAGCCTTTTTTTCAAAAAAGACGTAAGACATTGTGCGAGCATTACAGTGGTCGGTGATGGATGGTGCAGCAGGCCGGGTCAATGAGACCATGTTGAGCTCGTGCCGGTGACGATCTGGAGTCTGGGGGTGTTACAGGAGGGTCACACAGGGTGTCACAAATATGGTGGGCCTACAAGCCTTATACATAAGTTTCACAGCATCTACTCGCAAAGGAGTACAGTGCGTCCTGTTGTCGAAGATGTCGCTGTCTCGGACACACTCGTGGTTGCAGACTTGGTAGTCGTGAGGGTCTCACCTCAGTAGCTCTACTTCTTGGACGTCAACGATTTTGTCGGCCTCTTAGCCAGGTACTTTCCGTTGTCGTAGTGGAGCTCGTCTCGTTTGTCTCATTCCTGGCAGCCACAAGTACCAGAATTATCAGAAAGCCAGGCGTAAGCCAGGCATCTTCCCAGCTCGAGCCACAATGGCCACAACATTTCTATCCAAGCTCCTTCACCCCTCGATCTACCAGACATCAGTAGTGCATTTACGTCGTCCGCTCCAAATCTGATCGTCCCAAGCTTCTTCCACTCGGGGATCGTAATGTTGATCTCCGTCAAGTTGGATCCGGCGGCAAAGGTTTCGAACAGCTTCCTGAGTTCGGTGCGCCATGCTGTAATCACACCTTTACATAGGTGTCTCCGTGCAATGGCGCATTGCCCGCGGAGATTGGAGCCAAGAATATGATGGGAAGTGTCCGGAAGTTTGTGTAGACAAGCCTCCCCAGGTTTGTCAGGGTGCCGTTCGGGTGAATGAGGCCAGCATCGCCGTTCCTCGGTGGGAGTGGATTTGCCTGAAACATCTTTTCCGATCGAGGATTTTTGGAGTAAGAGCGTGAATATACATACACCACCTTACAATACGTTGCAATGCATCGTGCCATATCATACTAGTATCACACCCCATGACGTTCACGCTCACATGAGATGCTGATGTGTGTAGACATGCATATCAACTTGTATATGTAAATGAATATATATATATATATACACACACACACATATATATATATATATACAGGTGTATATATATACACATAATTACATATGACTATTATCTAAACAGCTATGTTAATAAGTATGTACACATGCACAAATATATGACTTTCGTTCATGGCCCGAAGGGAAGGCGCTTCATCCATGCAGGAGCGCCCTGCCCTGGAAGTCTCTCTGTCTTGCCAAGGTGCTCTCCATCCACCTGGCTTCAGGCCAAACTCTGCTGGGAGGTCCGAGAGTTCACAAGAGACACAGGGAGGACAACTGAATGTCCGGAGCACCGGGATTCAATGCACGTGCTTGGGCGGCTCAAGATGCAATGCAGATGCCAAGGATGCAATAACGGAACTTAAGTGGCGATTCCGAGCCAAAGCCACGATCGGATGGGCCCACTCATCCTTGAAGTAGCTGAACCAAGCATACCTCGGAGCAACGAAGGAGAGATCATCGAGAGCGTTGAGAACAAAATACGCCGCCGAGGGATGCGACATGATGCGGGAGGGTCTCGCAGGCATCGCAGGATGAAAAAAGGTTCTAAGTTGGCGACGGCCTCGTGCAACGGCAATGTGTTTGGATAGCCAAATGAACATTCCCTAGATGGAGATCCTAGACTTTCTGACAAAGACCGGTGCCCGCCCATGCAAAACAGCAGCGAGGAGTTCAATCAAAGGCGCATCGCCACATCCTCATCAGCTTCGAGGAGGGGGATCGCCTTGGGCCGGGGTCGTGTCCCCTTCGGGAGCTGCAAAGAATTCGTGTGATGTGAGGCCAAGCGCTCCGAAGCTCGCAACTTGCGTTCAGCACGGGCAACACTTAGCAGGATGGAATGCCCTGCCAGCCTCCTTCATGTAGGCCATTTGGCCCTGCAGACAAGCCGAAGGGAAGAGTGTAGTGGGACTCAGAAACCGGCTCCCTAGAACCTGGTCGCATCTCCAGAGACCTCAATGTGACTCAAGATCCTTTTTGTGTAGCAGCACTGTCATCATCACATTACATCCGCCACAAACCAACGAAGTTGAACTCCGGCAGAACGCACCAGCCTCTGCCGATAGCCGCTCCGGGGAGTGTGGGTCAGAGCAAGCAATCTCCGTGACCCACATCGGCTTGCCTCAGCAGGCAGAATTCTCACTTGTGTTTGGGGGGCTACCTACCCTCGGCCAGTTCATAAAACAGTCCTTCTGGATGGACCTATGTGCACTGACCATTGACACAAATTCGCCCAGCGGCCAAATACGCGGTAGCGGTCCAAGTGATACCTAAGCTGCTTGGAATTAACACACCAATAAAAGTCGCAAGCATCGCAAGCCGAATCATTGTCATTGGGGGCCCCTGGTCACCCCACATTGCCAGCATATGTATACATGCATGACATGTGTATCGATACGTGTATATATATACATTTGTGCATAGAAAAACCACTTACTAACTGAATAGGTATACATACACATACATGCATACATACATGCATACAAACATGCGTACGTACTCTCATACGTACATCTTACACGACATGACCTGACGTGATATACATGCTTGCATGCATGCATACACACATGTTGAGGGGTCCGAGGAACTTCAAGCCGTTGGCATAGCAGCTGAAGACGTGGAGGCCGATCGCATCAACCTCGCAGTCTCACCGATGAGTCAGGGCAGTCTTCGAGCTGCTGGCGGCCCTCCATGGGATTGATCCAGGGAAGCAAATATGTCCCGACAACACCAGCATAGAATTCGGATGATGCAAGCAGCAGACATGAAACTTGACCAAACCCAGAAATAAGCGGCTAGTGATCTGCAACCATACATAATACTATTCGATGTATTCAACAAGCACAGACGGGCCTAGGACGCGTACCCGCACGAAGGATTGCCACGAACAGAACCATCCTCCAATTCCTCCTCCTGCTGCTGCAGACTCCTGAAACTACTACTGATACTGCTGCCACTACCACTGCTGTTGCTGCTGCTTCTTTTAATTCTAATACTTACTACTACTACAACTACAACTACAACTACAACTACAACTACTACTGCTACTGCTACTGCTACTGCTACTGCTACTGCTACTACTACTACTACTACTACTACTACTACCACTACTACCACTACTACCACTACCACTACCACTACCACTACCACTACCACTACCACTACTACTACTACTACTACTACTACTACTACTACTACTACTACTACTACTACTACTACTACTACCACTACCACTATCAGCCACCCCCCCCCCCCCTACCCACTACCTCGTGTTACATACGCTTGCAACACGCATCCGTTTTACTCGGTATTTACAGCACTTTTCGAGCCTCAAGAATCACCTCCGAGTTTTGAAACTCCGGGATCGTTGTCTGGACTTTTTGTTTTGGGGGGGGTGGGAGGGTGCGGGAAGAATGATGACGACATTGTTACGCCGACACCCCGGACATCATCTCCGGAAGAGCCATTTTACTCAGTATTTACGGTGCTTTCGCGACGTCTGATATCTTATATAGTCGCCAAGCCTACCTCTGGACTTTGCTACGTTGTCTTCTGCCTTTGCGAGGGCTTTCAGCGAAAAACTCGAAATTGGGTGGTGGGAAAGCTTTTTTTACTCGGTCTTTAAAAGTACTATGTTCATGTCACACTCCAGTACTAACAACGCGTTCTCAAACTCCAGCATCCGATTCTGGACTTGCTTTTGGCGGGGGGTGGGGGGGTGGTGCGGGAAGAATGCTTCAGCGAAAACTCGAAAATGGGTGGTCATGACTGTTCCAGGCTGCCTGTACGTTATCAGCCCCCCCCCACCCCCCGCCCCGCCCCCCACCAAAGCAATGCATGGTAGTTGGTAGGGGGGGCCGCCTACTACTACTACTACTACTACTACCACTACTACTACTACTACTACTACTACTACTACTACTACTACTACTGCTACTGCTACTGCTACTGCTACTGCTACTACTACTACTACTACTACTACTACTACTGCTACTGCTACTGCTACTGCTACTGCTACGACGACTACTACTACAACTACTCCTACTACTACTACTACTGCTGCTGCTACTACTACTACTACTACTACTGCTACTATTACTGACTACGACCACGGCTACGATTAATCGAATTTTTTTGTTCATGTCCAAAGCCGGCTAGATGCCTTTATGTTCAGACGGCCAGGTGCCAAAATAACAGAACTTTTGTTTCTATCTATTTCTACTACCACTACCAGTACCATCACCACCGCGAACCAAGACGACGACTACTACAAATTCACTGCTGCTGCTACTCCGACTCCGGCTCCCACTGCTGCTCATACCCCTCATGCCCTGCTGCTATTTTCTGCTGCTGCTACGACGAAACGACTTCCATGGTAAGTGTGGCATAATCGCTGGCAGTGCCGCTTTCACTCGTTGTTGGCTTCTGTAGTTGCCATCTCCTATCTAAGACTTCGTTCGGGGCCTTGCAGCCCTCACAGTGGTAGAAGAATTGGTAGAGCCAGTCGATCGGATCCTCGGTGCTTGCTTGCTTAAGCGCCCTGTGTCTAGAGATCATCGGCTGGCGCATCACCGATCTAAGCCATCTACAGCCAAGATGTCACCACGTGCGTCCTTCTCTACACCCACGACTGTCATCGCAAACAGCCAAACACCCCAAACCGTGAAACCCTGACGCTGAGGGTGGCTCGAAGGACCAATGGTAGTTCATGGATGGCGAGACCTCGGCACTGATTCAACGGCTTCCGGCCTTCGACCTCCCTTTGAGTTAGCCTACGAAAGCTTCGCAGCCTTGGGCCGAGAAACCACCGAAGCACAATCTGGGCTGCTTCTTCTGCCAGTTGTGCTAATGCTCGTTGCTCCGTGACGCTGTGGTTGTCTCCTGCTTCTCTTTTCTGTCTCCTGCTTCCCGTGGCTGCCCTTGCGATGCTGGAAATTCAGGAATCAAAATACGTATTCTCCCAATGGTCAGCGACGAGCACAGATCGGCCTTCAAGGTCGAAGATGAGAGCACGTGGTTGTGGATACCATACTGCAACTGTAAGGCGAATAGAAATGCTGGAAGACTGTGGGCCCTGCACTCGTGCAACTTCTTTCAGGCTAGTACCAGCAGCATGGAACTGCATTGACTCTGCTCATTCTCGTTCAACAGCTTTTATGAAGAAGACAAAGAAAACGGTGAAGAGACTCTTAGGCAGCTGCAATCGTGGTGATGTTGTTCAACTCCGCGATCCTCTCCACATCCTTCCAGTAGTATGCGGCCTGAGATCATAAGTGCCGCGGCGAGTAGCCGATTCGTAGTGCAACTGGAATAGCCTGACCGGGGTGACGTGGCCTGCTCAGTCGGCCTAGGCCAGTAAGCTTCTCTGCCCAACCCCGAATCTAAGGCCAGCGCCCAGTACGGATGGAGATTGGCCCTGCAGTGGCAAGCTTGCCCCACAGGGTCTTGGAGCCGGGTTGCTGAGTGCTGCCGGGAATAAACCACGATGAATGTATGAGCTCAGGTTCCTGGGTTCGTCATGCTTTTTTCCCGAGCCACGCCAGATAGACTTGGGAAAGTTGTGGAAACCCGAATGCCATGTAAATATGTGTGTGTGTGCTTGTAAGAACACATGATCATATGCATGTCATGTACTTGCATATGAGTAATAAGAATATGTAACCAAACAGGGCTTCCCGGCTGCTCGGGGAAGTTCGGCTCGTTGAAGCCGAGCAAAGCCCGGCTGCCCTCCGGCATGCCATTCGCCTTGCCAGGGGTGGAGCTTCTGGTAGTTTCGGGAGGGGGTCTTCGGGATCTGGAACGAGGGCTGTCACACGGACTTTCCATTTCACCGCTTGGTGGCAGTTCGAGGCTCCAGGTTTGAGGGCTGTTGAGATTGTGAAGCTTCGTTCAAGGCGGTTGTTACCAGTAAGTGGGGTCAGAAATGCAAGGCTCAAACGTGCTTCCAAAAGCCGTCTGCGCTAGTTTGCAAAGTTTACAATGGCGACTCGATCTGTCGGCAAGTGTGCAGCAGTGTAGCTTATCGTGCAAGCCACGAGGAATCTCCTGTCATGGCGCTCCATCGAACCACTCGGAAGCATCATTTACAGCAGGAAAGCAAGGCGTCAGTTGAAGCCGAGAAACAGGTCCAACTTCCGGATCAGGCATTGAGGTTCCGTCTTTAATGAGCAAGGAAAAGCAAGTTTCTCTTCTCGGGGCCACAACCACTTGTTTTTGTTTGGCCTTGTTGACGAGTGTGCGCTTCCTGTTGCCGTCTACTGACGCAGATAGACTTGTTTCCGCCCAATATCCACGGCAGACCCAAGCACACGGCCTCTGCAGCAGCAATGGTGCCTTGCGTCATGCGCAGTACGTAGTACTGGCTTGACCGGTCACCAACGAGTCGTTCAATCACGCTTGGACACCCTGATGTCTCCAAATTTGAGGAGGCCTCTGAAACAGCCTGCGATGCCTGCCCCTCCTGTTTCACCCTGCAGTACGTGGCAACTGTCGCTGTCTGCCCCATGTTTCGGAGGTCACACCAGGATTTGAAACTTCAGCTGGAGAGTCGTGACTTGGAAATATACGCCAAGCTGCCATCGCCCCAAATCATGGGGTAGAACTCGATACCCGCTGCGTTCCACACATCCAGGCTGGGGCCACCTGGCTCTCGCGAATTCCCAAATTCCCAGCCCATACCTCTGCTTGGTCAACCGGTACCTGAAGGCTTCTTTTCCTGCAGGCCTTGGAGCTTGTAATCCCAGGTGGCGCCCCAGGAGATGATGTGAGAAAGCCCAGACAGCATCTCCTGCCGTCAATAGCTGCACCGTGGATGTTCAGATATGGCTTTCTGAAAGTCCGCTTCGAACCGTGCTGGGAAGGGCCTGGAAAGCCGCAAGCTCTCTGGTGACTACAAGTAACACGAAGTGAGCATACTGCGCAAGCAACCGACCAATCTCATGACTTCATCTTGCCTACAGGCGAAGCTTCCAAGCCTCCTGCGGACCGGCGGACATTTCCCTCCAAACTCACCGGAGGTACCTCGAAACCCTGCAGCTTCCCGTTGCGAAACCCGAATGCCCCGAAGCTTTGGGGAGGAGGCGGCTCCGCGGTCAGCATGTGGTTCTCAATGGCAATACCACGCCTGAGCAGAAGCACCGAATGAGACGATCGGTTTGAAGATTCAGGGCTTCGGGGCCATGGCTTCGCAGAGCGCTCCGTGTTGCCGTCCTCGCGGTACTTCCTCAGCGGACCCACATGCTGTTCGATTCAAGGTGTGACATTCGGGACATCTGCATCCACGAAAGGGCACGCATCTCCCCCGAAATCCAACTCAGTAGCGTGTCATGGTTTGTTGCAATTGTCAATGCTCCGTGGTCTCCGGAGCAAGGCCATGGAATTGCAGTCACATGTCCACAAATCAAAAAAACTGAGAGGCAAGGTGCTCCCACGGCCAGCAATCGGCGCAAATGTCGTTCTCCAACGCCGCCTGCATGGATTGCACAGCTCGATGCTGTTTCCGGTTCGCTGTCGGCCATGTATAGCCGAAGCTCGAGCATGCGACACTACGGCTCGCCTGCCGCAGCTTCTGAGTTGTGGTTCTCAGATCTCGAGGAAGCACGGTGAACACTTTGCGAGCACAGGGTTAGTCTGAGTCAAAAAGAAGACTTGCTCGCTTGGAGACTGCCCGTGAGTCGCTTCATTCCTACAAGTTACGATTGGTTGCGCCGTGCTACACCAGCCGTGTTCTAAAACCTAAAAACCCTGCACACTTAGACTCTGTGCGGCATGGCGTGTCCCAGCGCACCTTGACGCGAGCCTCCTGCTCAGTGAGGAGTCCTCCCTGGGGCGTCTGAAGAAAAACGATCCTCAGGATGCAGGGCAGCAGTGTAGTTTCCTACTTCGCAGATATCTATTTGGCAAATGCAACGTACTGGGCTAAACGATTACTCTACACTCCTACAGGCTGAGCATGATGCAAACGAGCTTCCGCTCGCCGCATGTGGACGGCTCACCATCGAACTTCGCATCCTCGAACCAAACCTGCTTTCAAGATCTTCCCAGCGCAACCGTCCACATGTGCACAGGCTTTTGAAAAAATGTTGGGACCTGCTCTCCTAAGCCAAGACTGAACCATCAGGATGTGCATGATACTTGGCTTTTGCCGAACACAGCCGTCGTTCAGTCCCTTCGACAGAGCCATGCAGAGCCCTTGTTTGTTTACGCTTCCCGAGGAGCCAGAAAATCTCCGAAGGCGCATCAGAGCTCTGTGGAGCTTCCCCTGCTCTGTAACCGAACCAAGCTTTCAGTGCCAGCTCCCCTAGCGGCACTTGAGCCTCTTCGCAACTGTTGCTCCGCACCCGGAGAACGGAAGCCTTGAGCGCACCGCGAGCTTGAAAATCTCAGAGGAAAGCGCAAAGTGCCATTTGGCTCCACACAGCCGGACAAGACATTACAAAAACCTTTTGGGGCTTGTTGGGTCCAGAGGCTACCTGAAAGCAAACATCAAGCGAATGTTGTATTTGCATTGGATTGATTCGGTGTTCGTACAGGTGCGGGCGCGGGAAAAACTAGGATACAAAGCGTCTTCCTCATCCAGACTCTACTCGGTTCCCTGCTAAGCCCAGTATCTGGGCCACAAACCTACTCACATCACTCAGCTCCTGGCTGCAATAACCAAGTTCAAGAGGCTCAAAGCAGTCCTCCCAACGATGCAATGACAGGCTGCCTTCGTGCCGGGCACAAACTGCCTACTAGGTGAAGAGCTGCAGGCTCTGTAGCTTGGGGGCAAGGTGCTTTGCTTGTCACCGCCGGCCGACACTTTGCGATTTGGTGACGAGTATATTGCCAGTCGCACAACATGTGTAGTTGTAAATCCTTGGTATCTGTCCGAATGGCTCGCCATATTGTGTCCTGGCCATCTTGTTGACTGACAGCTCTGCGAGAGTCTTGAAACCTGGCAAGCTTCATTGGAGGCTGTGTCACTGTAACGAGATACAGGAAGGTCTTTTGGAATCCTTCAAGGGTCTTCTTTGCTGAAGTCTGCAGCTGGCACTTGGGATGGTGGCTACAAAGAGGCTTGGTGGTTCGGTCTGTCGACCCCTGTCACGCCGCTGGCTATGATTTCTTGAAGTGCGTGCATGTGGAGTCCGGCCGCCCTTGCCGCAAAGCAGAAAAAGAAGAACCTACCGAACCCCGAAATCCCCAGCCTGCGACGAAGATAACAGTTGTGGCACGGAGCCAGCGAGAGTGTGACCACGGGAGTGTGACGAGACCTCAGCTGCGGTCCAGTCCAGTGACTTCCAGCCAAAGCAGCGCTGGCCGTTGGCCCTGGCCTTCAAGCCGATGTCCCTCTCCCGAAGGACCAGAAGAGCCCTCCCTGTTCCCTCGCACTGCCAAGCCGCTGGTGCTCGATCGCGCTCTGGCGAGGAGGACCCTCAACTTCTAGGCACTGTTTGAGCCGGTTAGAGCGGCACGGGATGGTTGGTGGGGGGCCGGCCTCCTGTGATGGCTGAGTTGAAATTCTGCTACCACGGGGACGGACCCTCGCATCACACCTTCAGAACGTAAGTTTCCCGTGTGTCAGCATAGCTTCGTCTGCTGACACGCATGGAACAACGAGATTGATCAAGTTGCGGCTGCTTGGTGAGAGGAGATCGAAAGACTTCTTGATTACCGTACGGGTCAGAACGGGCACAGCTTATCGAACTTCTCTCTGCTTCTTTTCATCTCCCCGCCAGGCGCACCCTCATCGCCGTGCATTCTGCCGGTGGCGCAATGCGGCGGCCTGCAAGCACTGCAAACAGGCCAGGGTGCTTCAATTGTGTGCAAGGCTGAGAAGCTTGGAATTGCATGAGCATTTTCCGTCTCCGCGGAGCTGTCAGCGCACTGCAACTTTGAAAAGGGTGACTTAGCTTCACTCTTCGTCAAAGAAGTCGTCGACCAAATCATAGTGATCATAAAAGTCATCATACTCTTCGGGCTCGTTGTGGCCCATGTACTCGAAAGCATCGATCTCGCCATCAAAGTCCGAGATTGAGTCCGGTGCATCAGAATCGAAGAAGATGTAGATGCAACGGCCAGCTCCTTCACCTCTAGACTCGTGGCGGATGCCAAGCTCATCGCAAAGGACATGGATCACTTTCCTATCGGCTGCACTGAGAGATGAAGGAAAGGAAAAAGGTTGCCTTCTGGACTTGGCGTCTTGTAGACGTCGGCGCCAAGCAGCAATCTCTGTCTGACCCTCCATGCTCCGAGAAACATGTGTGCCCAGCCCTGCTTGACAACAGAGGCTGCGTGCGGCAAGCCAATTCTTCACTGCGCTGCTAGCGCTGCTTGCTCGGTTCGGCCCTGAGGCGGAGGCTCGCAAGTCCCCACTGCCATGTGCAAAGGTACACTGAGCGCCGTACCTGCAAGAGCCTCGTTCGAAGAATTCACAAAGCACAGTCTTGTAATTGGCTGGGTGCCGCTGGACCGTCGATGTCGAACTGGCGCTGGCTGCCTGCAGTTCCCCAGCTCCGTGGGCATAGGAGCAAGCGGATCCTTTCGAGCAGCGTCCCATTTGGTGGTAACGGCAGAGAACGGTCTTGAAGCTAGAGCCGCTAAGGCTAGGGCCACCAGGTCTGTGCAGATCCACACTCGGACCTGCACTCCTGAAGCTTGGCATCTGCCTCGCTCCTAGCAGAGATCTCAGCTGGGCAACTTCTGCCTCCAAGGCTTTGACTCTGCCTTCCTGAGCGACGGATACCCAGGTCTTGCCCGATGTCTGACTCTGAGCCGATCTCTGGCGTCCCAGTCGACTGGCAAAAGAGGCCATGCCCTCATCCTCAATGCCCTGCAGAACCTGCGCGAGCTGGTGGTCTTCGGCCATTCGTGCCTGCCGTGCGGCTTCGACCTCGTTCTCATCCTCAGAATCGGAGGTTGAATCCTGCACTTGCAAAGGAGTGTGGCGGCAGAAAGGGCAAGGCGAACGACCCGCAAAGCCTGCTCGCTTCAAGATCTCTGTGCTGCACTCTGAGCACACACGCTGCTTGCAACAGCTCGCCTTCTGTCTGATGTGGTGTGTCACCTGATAGGTGTTTGCACAGATAGGGCAAGGATCGGGCAATGTCATGCTCCGGCGGCTGGGCTGAGCGACGACAGGCGCCGCTTGCTGATGTCCTGCTGAGACACGGGTTGCACACCCACCGCTTCCGGAGCATGCACTTGCTTGCCGTGTTCTGCAAGGTTGTGGTGGAGATTGTTGGGCTCGTGGCGCAGCCGCACTTTTCGCGGCAGGCCCACTGCCAGGCAAGATCCTGCTGCTGGGGTGCATGGCACGGGGATTCGATTGTGGGTGTGCCTCTGAAGCCTGGGTTGCATACCCACCTGCAGATCCCCCCGTTCTGCCATGTTGCTCCAGAGATTGTGCGCTTTGTGGTGAAGCCGAACTTTTTGCAGCTGGCATGCCGAAGGAGCGCATGCTGAAGTTCTGGCCAGAGTCAGCAGCAGCCAAAGCCGAAGCTGCCAGTGGCCTCGCCGAGAACTCCTCTGCGAGCTCTCGTTCTGCCTTTCTTGCTGTCGCGAGCCGCTGGGCTTCGGCCACAAGTCCTTCACTGCCAGGCAAAGCTGCGATCAATGCCTTTGCCTCTGAGATGCCAATTGGGAGATAGCTGTTAGTTGAAGTCTGGGCGACATAGTCGTGGCGCACGAAGATAGCACAGCCGAAAACATGCAGTTGCTTATTGTTCAGCATGCGGTTTGCAACAATGTTCTCCGGGAAGGGCGGCAGGCTCTTGCTCGGGCGTACAGCCAGCAAGAACCCTCTCGCTGGATTGCGGAGCTGCAGAACCATGACGCTGACGCCAGGCACATCGCTCAAGCGCACGCTCGGCGGCATCACCTCGCCCGGCACCCCGAAGTGGCCAAAGCTCAACTGCTGGGCTAGTCGCTCTCCACATTCTGCAATCCCGGTGGCACCTTTCACGGCCAGGCTACGCAGAGGAATCCGCAGCGAGAAGACAGAACCATCGGGCCGAAGGCAGGCGGCTTCCACCTGCGCTTGCGTCGGCGGCATTCGCCACTACAGTATCTCGTCGAGAACTGTACAAAGGGGAAGCCAGCCAGATGATTCCGCCTGATGAAAAAACCTCCTTAAGCCGAAGAGGAGACAGGCAGCATGTTCATGGCACTCCTTCAAACGGTATCGGTTGCATCAGACCCCTCGGATGCTGCAGCACACAGCACTACGCCTTGTTACCGGCGGCGATGTGACAGATTGCCTAATCTGAAAGCAAGAATCTGTCTGAAATCCCATGTTGCTGTTTTCCCGGGTCTCTTCTCGTCTTCATCACTCCAAAGTGAGAATGGAATCTTAAAAACCAAAGGCTGATTCACATGCACAATATTCTGGGCCAGCGGCTCCAGGATGACCCGCATGCCTGCAAACGTGAGCCTCGCACCACCACAGACAACAAGCACCGCCCAAAGTATGGCAACAGGTGGCAACACATCATTGTGAAACTCGCCGATGCATCTGGGGCCCAGGCAAAGTCCAGATATCGTGAAAACAAGGTTTGTGTCAAAGGGCACGGTGTTGCAAACATGCTTCGGCCGCAGGCTCCACACATGTACACCCCCGCAACCACAATGTGCATGATTGCTTCGTCAACCAGATAGTCACAGAAGCCGCAACCAAAGCAGTGCGCGATGGAACAGCAACAAGGTTGACCTTGTTCAACAGCCAACTTCAGGCCATGCATGCTGAAAAGCGTCTCACCTTTTCCGATGCGATAGCCCACACCCGCCTGTACATGTAGCCGGGCCGTGTTACCTTTCTGTCCTAGGCGGCCTTGCCAGCGATCCATGCTGCGCAGCAACCTAAGGCCTAAGGCCTATAGCCTAGCTCTTTGAACGGCCCTTGCAGCTGGAGAGGCCAAACTCCGAGTTGACTTCTTCGTTGATATCAACTTTGTGTAGTTGCCGCCGCATATGCAGATGTGGTACTTTTTCTTCTGCCCTAGCCACGATCTGAAAACTGTTCTGATCCCTGACCAACTGCAAGCCGTGTGACTCGCACATGCACGCGAACACCGGCGAGGAAGGAATACTCCACTCTGTATCTGAGGCTAGTGTAACTGTGTCGGAGCACTATGCGACTGTACCTTGGCAAAGGAGGGCATGGCTAATGTCACTGAGAGACTCCATGGACAAGCTCTGCAGTCTGCAGTACTGTACTATGTCTGCCATGCATGCACCAGCGAATCCGTGCACTGGACTCCAGAGCGCTCAGTGCCGCGGGAACTGGAAGCGTTCCAGGCGCTGGCACACCTTCGGCGGTTTGGCGGAACTTTGATGTCCAGAGACTGGGAGGCCCAAATACACATTCAATCGCAGGAGCATTGCTTCAGGTTGCTTGGAGTCTGTGTGCATGCAGAATTGCCATTGTGATCGCACAGCAGTGCGCGATGAAGGGGGGCCTGATGGCAAGGACTCCAATTGAGCAGTTTTTCGCTTAGACCTTGCCTATTATAGCTCAGCACGTGTGAGCCGACACTGATGCGAATGCCGTGTGCTATCGAGGGGCCCTCAGGCACAATCTGCTCGACTTCGCAACGGTTCTTTGAATTTAAGTTGGCTACACTCGCAAACCTATGTCCAAGCATGCTTCGGCATGCCCCGTGCGCATGAATTCGGCATCAGCGCATCTTTTGCTGTTCATCCCAGAAGTCGCACTCTTCGGCACGGTAGTGCTCCACCTCTTGGCTGACGCCAGCATCAAAGCGCATGGCATTGCCACGTTTGGGGTCGTAAGGATACCAATCCGGCAGCGGCACCATCAGGCGGCTATCCTCCTGAGACTCACGTGCATCTGCGATATTCTCTGTGGTATTCCCTTCATACCAAATGAAGTTCGTGTAGGCTCCCTGGAGACGATCCGTCAGCATAGCCCCCTGCACGACTTTCCCATCCACATCGATCTTCGAGGGATTCTCAAAGAGGAAGGCGAGGTCAGATCCATGCCCGGCACCAGGGCAAGGATAGCAGCTGCCCCCAACTGGTTTTTGCATCCATGGCTTCGGAGGCCTTCCTCAGGGCCGTCATTTGCTTTTTGTTGAATACCTGTGGCACCAGCCAACTATACCAGAAAGCTTGGCCTCCGTGTTCGTGGAATCGGTGGACGACCCGCCGCATGATGCACGTAAAGTCTTTGTCTGCGCCCATCACACGAGCCGCCCAGTAAGCGGCACTCCACTGATTTGGGAATATGCTCAGCGCATAATCTCTGAAGATCGAAAGAGGATACAGTCGCATCGCCTTCTCGGCTGTAGCCGGCGACATCTGTGTCTCAAGATATTTTCGGAGCTTGTGATCATCTGCATTCGGACCCAAATCCACGAGCTTGTCGCCCAGAGTGTTGCCGATGATGATTGGCACGGAAAAATCCACGACAGGGCTTCCTGTCTTGATGGCTTCGTAGGGACTTACAGTCATTTCGACACCATCCACAACAGGGCCATACCATTGCCCACTGCCACAGTTCATAGTCTCCTCTGCAGACTTTCCGAGCAAGCATCGGCGGTCAGTCTTGGCGCAGCCAAGGCAGCGGCAAACGGAGGCAAAGGCAGACTCTGCAGCTGACATTGGCAAGGCTGCCCAATCGGTAAAACCACCTGACATGATGATGGCGCGTGAGAAATGCCCTTTGGATCTTGATGCCACCAAGTGAACCGAGATAGATGCAGCACCTGCAGACCAGCCCATCACCGTGATCCTCGCCGGATCACCACCGAAGGCACGGATATGCTTCTGAACCCAGGCCAACGCCAGCCTCTGGTCCTGTATCCCAAAATTACCCGTCGAGTTATCTCTGGCACGCAAGGATTCTGATCCTGAAAAGCCAAAGACGCCCAAACGATAGTTGGTGCTTACAACCACCACCTTGTGGTTCCAGACAAGTTCGGCCGCATCGTCTGGAGCAGTGTCACTTCCAGCCCCCAGGGTGTAGCCGCCACCATGAAACCAAACAAGCACAGGGTTTGGCTTGTCCCCAACCCCCCAAGTTGGGGTGTACACGTTAAGGTACAAGCAATCCTCGCTTACACCTTCCTGTCTATAGCCGCTCGGATGCATGCAGGCGGGTCGAAACTGCCTTGCAACCAGAGTCTGGGGCTTCCAAGCAGCTGCCAGCTCTGGTGGTTGAAATCGCTGAGCAACTCCGAAGGGGATGCCCTGGAATACACGGGCGCTTGGATACAAGGTGCCCTCAACCATGCCCAGCTCTGGAATGTCAACATAGGTGGGCGCAACACGGAACTACGGCGAACAGACCCTTGCCAAGAGAAGGAAGGCAAAAACTCCAGCGCAAAGGATAACCATCCACTGGATTTCTGACTTGATGGAACCCTGCTTATACAAGTTGTTCGAAGCCGCCTCCCTCGTAGTCGACGCAAATCTACCCGCCTTTTCCACGACAGCATCCAGCTGCGAGGACGCGGTGCGGATGAGTCTGGCTGCGGTTTGGGTAAGACCCCCTTTTCTATCTTTGCTATCCTGCCGTGGCAGCAATCCCTCAGAAGCCATGGCGCGCCGGAACCGGAAGTCGGGACTTGCGGGCTTTGGCTTCCGAAAGCCACCAAACTATAACTCAGAAAGAGACATGTGCCACCCCCCTAATTGCCATGCCAGGTGAGGAATGTAGTAAAACGTTGGATGACAAACGATAAACTCATGTGGCCCGCGCATATGGCACAGTGGATTCCGGCTCGGGGTGCTCGTCTTGAGTCGACAGTATACGGTACCGAATCATCCGTGGTCAGACCCCTGCCTATTCAGATCACAGTACATGCTTCAAGCATCCGGGGCCTCTTGCATCCATCGTGGCGAGTGTTCGTAGCTTTGCCAGAACCTAGGCCCGAATGACTCCCGCTGCCTCTTCATAGGCCTTTCTTCACAGCGCCCGCGCGAATATGGTACTTCATAGGAGGTATCATAAGTTACAAGGCTTGCAACAGGTTCGCGTGCAGTGTCTCAGAGTTCACGAGAACAGGATCCGGCCATGCACCTCGCACCCTCATGTCATGCACCATCTGGAATCCGAGGCGCACTTTCAGCAGCATGTCGCACTCCAGATGATGGAACGGTGAGCAGTCACCCCGACACCAGACATCCACTTCTGAATTTCAGCAAGAAGCTTGATGAACCAGTGAACACGGCCGTGATCGATGCGAGGCAGAACGTGGCTGTCCGGCGGAATCGCGTTACGTTCCTCGACCAGGAGAATGTTCCGTGAGATGCAGTCTGAACCCTTTGCCCCATAAGCTTTTCCATGCTCTTTCGATAACTTACCTCAGATCTCGGCGCGATTATGTTCAACTAAGTTCGGCTTCCCTGGTGCGGGGCGCGGCGGGCAACTGGCTTGGTGTACTCAGCAGAGACATGCAAGCATCTGAAGGGGCCCTCGGCCAGGTAACAGAACAACTCAAAGACCCGACTCATGTGCCAGACCCGTTCGGCCCCACCCCGCCTCCAAAAGACGACAGATCTCCTGCAGGCACTGCTGCCAGTGGCCCGCAGAGGCATTGATCTCGGGATCGCATAAGTCTTTGGCATTCTCGGCCGTGATGCGTGTCTCATCAAAGTCGCACATCCCAGCCTCAGCGACGAAGGGCTCCGGTCTCAGCGGACCATTGACCATGGCATGGCATGGCATCCTGAAGAGGGCTCCCGCCTTCTCTGTGGGGAAGATGTACCAAGCCCAGCAGCTCTCCTGGCCCGGAGACAGGATTTGAGAACATGGCCGGAGGACCGGGAAGCGCAGAACGGCTTAACTTCTGGCTTCCGACGATAAGTAAGTGCATACTCGATCTGGGAGGCAGGCCTGCGAAACAATCTGCCGTCTGAACCCCAGCACAAGACTTTCATGAGAATCTGGAGCCAAGCGAACCCAGCGCTCTACCTGATATGCCTTCAAGTGACCACAACTAGATCCATGCGCATACATGAGTACGATGTATACATCTGCATGCACGTATGTAAGCATGTATGTGTGTATGTCATGTCCTTGGCGCCATCATCCAGCTCGCGCAAAATCTTTTGCATGTGCTTCTCCTCCGGCACTGCTTTGGCTTCGTTGTGGTTCGAGCTTGACTGAGGCTTTTTCATGTACGCATAAACCCATCCGTCCATGCATGCATGCATGCATGCATGCATGCAATCATGGATGCACCGATTCCCACTCTCAGCTGCTTGGAATAGACACAAACCCGCAAAACGACCGGCTCTCATCGTTTGCTTCAACCCCTGCTTCTGCCCCAATTAAGCTGTTGAGGGGGTTCACTGGCCTGGCATTGGAGAAGCGCTTGAAAAGCCCGCCTCCGAATGTTGGTCAATGTGGACAGCTCGGGTTTTTGACAGGCTTTTGCAAACGACTTAACTGACTATCTCCCTTCTTCCTTTCAGCTTCCGTTGGCAAATCCATGCTCCTGCGTGCCGGTGAATTCAGTCTAGCAGATGCTACATACAAATCTAGGTCAAATACAAGTGTAAAATCTGAACCCGCCTGTCGCTGGAGCTGCCGGAAGTTGCGGTCATCTTGCCTCGGCTGTCGTAAGGGATCATCACGGCTGGATGTGCGACTTCCTCGTGCGCAACATTTCGAGCTGGCTGCCGCAGCAGCATTGTCGGATTCAAGATCCGTTTCGGACGGGCTTGGGATGCCACGCACTTGACATGGCCGTTTTCTTCGCGTGCAGTCCTGAGACTTGTCGCGTGATTGCGTACGTATATGAAAAAACGGCGGTGATGAGTTGCAGGAAGCTCACAGCGCAAAAAGTGTGACCTGAGGAACGCCTGCGCCTGCGCATCGTGCATGCAATATGGATTCGCTCCCCTCCGACTCCTCCTCCTCCCCCTCCCATACCGTCCTTCCGTGCAGAGCATACACACCATTTGTCGAAGGAATTATATTCTGAACTATCACAGCTCCGAATACTAATCAGATATGACAAGTCATGCAAGGATGCAAACCATGCAAACACGCAAAAATCAGCTACTGCCCAGACATGACCGCATGCTCTCTGCGTAATCAAGCCCGGAGCCAAATCGGCTTCCCGGCGCTTCGCGGCTCGGCGACACAGACCTGGCCTGCCGACCCAGGGCCCAAAACGAAGTCCCGGCCCTGACGTAGACTGACTCACTATCCGATATAAGGAGCATCGAGAAGCGCAAACTCAGATTAGGTGCACACTAGGTCGACTTTCCGCGGCTTGGTTCGGCTCTCTACGGCTTACGGCTGTGCCGCATGGGCTGAAGAACGCAGGCGCGGCCTTGGCCTTCGGCACTTTTGCCGCTTTGGGCTTGGGCATGATCTTCTCCGGGGACTCGACGGCAGCCATGGGGCAGCGTAGGAAAATGTCCGAAGAGGTTTGGAATTCATGGTCATAGCCCCAAGCGCATGTAAATGCTGCGAGCCCTTTCCTGGTAGGGGTCAATAATGTCAACTAGCTCCATGAGCTCTAAGAGGAAAGTTCTACCATAGCGCTCTCACAGGCAACCCAGGCAGCTAGTGCACCTGGCCAAGACACCGCCACATGCATGCACCCCATGATCACATGCACCAGTCTCCAAATCCGTACATCAACTCCACGGCATTCGATTTTTTCTGGGCAGTTTTTGGTCAAAACGCCCAGTAGAATTCTCATGTGTAGTTGTTGCCTTCGCAACTGCTTAGTCGCAATGCAGTTCTTCGCAACGTTGCAGACATGGGCGACAGCGCTGTCACGGTCAACCCAGCCAGCACGGCTGTACCATCCTTCTTTTGGAAGCTAGTGCACCTGCCCTAGACACCACCACATCCATGATAACATGCACCAGTCCCAAGCCCCAAACCAGATCCATAGATCAACTCCACGGCATTTGCTGTTCTTTTGATTTTTTCGTCAAACGACCCGTAAGGTTTACCTCAGCTGCTGGCTTCGGCAAACAGCTCCACTAGACTGTGGCCACTCTCATTTGCACGGGTTGCAACAGCAAGAACTGCTACAGGTGTTTGTGGGGTGTTGTCCCTTCCACTCTATGAAGCCACGGCTTAGTTGTTAAATCGATGAGTTTACCCGTTGCTGCTGGAACGCCTTGGGTGGGATACTAGATCGCCCTCACATATCCAAAGTCCCGGAGGGAAACGACAAGTAGTCTGAAGCGAATTCGTTACAGGGTTCCTTTAAACTTTTTCTCCCAGCTAGCAGCATCACTACGGTCACTGAGCCGAATTCCAAGCCGGGTGCTCGAATTACTAGTAGTGCTTGCGATCGGTGCTGGAGTCGGACAGGGTGGAAGGTCTCTCCAGAACCCTCCAAGCGGAAAGCTCAAGGGATACGATACTGAGAGATTTCAGGTTCAGGGATTGCAGGAACGCTGGCTCGGCGGTTCATACGTGCAGCTGTGCAGATTAAGCAAACACTCCGACAGCCAGGAATCCGACCAGGACGTAGCTATTTGTAACCCTGTAACCCTCCCCTCACCATAACGATGACTGCTCGACTTGCTTCCCTCGACCGTAGTGTCGCAACCTGTTGCAATAACTGCTTTTCTTCATACATATTATACGAGTACAGACATGCCCTTCGTGCTATGCTGTGCTGCACGCTTTGTCCAACATTATGGCCTTAAATGTTTTGTCTTGGCAGCTGTATCTCCTGCAGTCTCTGCCGCTGCCGCTGTGTTTGTGGGCACTGGACAACCACACTGTGATTTAGCCATGATTAAACCGCAGTTCGCTGAGAAGCATAGCTTGACACCAAGAAGTGGGGTTAAGTTGCAGCAATTCTCAAAAGTGAGGGGAAGAACGAGCAACAGGCACAATGGGAAACGACTATCAACCGCCGCAGGTCATCTCTTACTGGTCAGGTTGCATATATTTCTGAAGCATGCACATCCTGTAGGTCAACCGCTGCGGAATTCCTGGTCAAATTCTTGCTAATTAAGGCCCACGAAGTGCAGGCTAATGTGCATAAGATCATGGATCATTTGTAGGCATCTGGAGGCAGGAATCCAATTCTGTTTCCAACAGCTGCGATTGAAATTCGTGGGCAGGCAGGTGAAGAACCGCCGTCTCTCACCCGACGGAACACCTCGATCGATCACACGTTGTGACCACACTTTGCAAGTCTCGCGGACGAAAACGTTGTTCACGTAGGGGTACCGGCATGTCGATGTCTCAGCACTGTCCTGTTTCGCTGCGACGCAGACCGGCAAGTCAACTGGTGCGGTTTGCCCCTGCTGGGCCCCCGGGCTGTGAGGGAGCCTCCACCTGGCTTTGTGTTTCGGGACTGCGAGAGCTCAACCCCGCACAGCCGAATGAATTCACTGGAGTATTGTAAAACATAGATCATCTCTGCACTTTGAAAAACCATGACACACATGGCTTCCTCTACACTGTCTTCACACTTCTGGGCCTTTACTTTACACCGCCATCCGCAAACCCTAAACGCCAAAACCCCAAAAGCCCCAAAAGCTGAGCTCCTCTTCCTCTTGCTCTACAGCCCCCTTTAATGCGACCTTCCACAGGCGCTCCCAAAGCCTCGCAGTGGCCTCAGAGCGGACCGCGGACCGTTGCTACAGGGGTTCTGTGCACATATTACGTCCATAAAGATAGATAGATATAGATATATATATATATATATATATGGATAGATAGATAGATCGACAGATAGACAGATGTATATCTATATGCACACAGGGATCTATCCAAATAATTCTAGATATGTACCTGCTTATATGTGTGTGTATATTATGTAGATAAAGATGAACAAATAGACCGATGGATAGATCTCTGTCTACTCTTTGGACAGTGTGGGCCTCCCGGGGCCTGCATGGGGTGTTATGAGGGGCTGGGTACAATAAACGGACGAGCTCTTGTAAGCTGCCTGGGATTTCGACACGAGGATTTCGCATTGTAGCAGGTGGGCCAAGAAAGTCTCCAGCATGATTTTCGCGGAAGTGCAGATTTTTCTCTGCTCCCAACACATGGGCGTGTCGGTGCTGCCTTCGGGATATGGGTGTTCCATGCCCTTAAGGGAACAAGGAAAATCCACCTGGGCTCGCTCGACCGTGGAGCGGCAGTTCTCCGCTGACCTCCGTCCCACATGTTAACTTAGACTCATATAGTCACTATAGTCTATAGGCTCTTCCCATAAACGCAAGACCATATCCCGCCCAAGCGGATTTAGCGTCAGCGCGACGTGACCCCTTTGGCGGCTTACTCAAGAGAGCTTAAGATGCTTTTTTGCCCTTACATCTCACAAGTCTTCCTCCTCATCGTCGTCCTTACCTGGAGGCGCCTCCTGGCATGCAGCTGAAAAACTCTGTCACAAGCCTGATGCCAGTTGCATGTCAGGACACCGTATCATGTCCACATCAAGCGGAAAGAAGTAAACAGAACACCACAAGAGCTCCTTGGCAGTGCAGAGGTGGGCTTTCCGGAAGCACAGCCAATGCTCCGTGAGCGCGCCGTACATGCGGCCCTGAGCCAGGGCGGATGAGCTTGCAGAAGCTTCACTCAACTGGATGAAAACCCAAGACCCGTAGATTTCAGGCTCCGAGTGACTGAGACCGGCCCCGGCCCAGCCTCGTGGCGAGCCGCCTTGTCGACAAGGTCTTCTTGGAGGGTCCTGTCCCGGCGAGCGGCGGGCCCGGGCACAGGCAGGGCTCCAAGAATGGCTCTTCAGGGTTTGGCATGCGGCCCGATTCCGAGCCCCTAGTCCCTCTGCATGCCTTCGCTTCTGCCTGAAGGGTTACAGAATAGGGCAACTCCCGAAACGTCTCCCGCTTCCAGCCGCTGCCTCAGGAGCGTGGCACAGAGCTCCTTAGATGCTGCTCGGGGTTCCTTTGCAAGCCCAGGTAGGCTCCACCAAAATCGGATGATCAGCTGGGACTCCGTCAGGTTGCCCTTCGCTGCCTCACTGGTCCCCAAAAGCTGGAAGTGCTCGCTCCTGAGGCTGGTGGAATCTGGTGGAACTAGTTCATCCATCTATTCCGGAGCAGCTGAAAGAAGACAACCCGGAGCGTCAGCGGAAGTTCGGCTCAGGGAAACTGAAAAAAGAAGGTGACTCCAGCAGCTGCTTCCAGGGGGCGTGAGAGAGTTCGACTTGCCACCACGAACGTCATTGAAGTCTTGGTAGCTGGGCGGCGACCTTGGGAAAAACGGGGGCGACTGCCCAAAACAGACATTTTGCCGTTGAAGCTGTTCGGAGCTTTCTCAGATCAGCTGCTGCCCGGACGGAGGCACCCACAGCACCACCTCGGGGATGCAGGCACCCCCACAAGCCCGTCAACGGGACCGAGACTCAGCGACTCAGCGCTCAGAGGTCTGACATGGCAGGCTCTTGGGACCGGCAAGACAGAGTCGATATCGAGGAGGCGAGGCTCAAGCAGCACCCGGCCTGTTTTGGGAAGCGCTTTTGGGCGCAAGCGCCACCGTCGGCAGCACCGCTGCCAGCCAGGGCCTGCGTCACAGAGCTCGCTGGGCAGCTCTATTGATGAAGTAACTCGACCTTCGATGAAATGTCATGCCATGATGCTGATCGTAGTTACCTCCGCCTCCCAGTTCCCAAGTTCCCATCTGCACTTGAAAGCATATTACAGGGAAAGGCTCTTTTTCAAGCTTGGGATCGGAGGCCGTGATCAGACAAGCACTGCGCAGCACCAGTTGAACGGCTGAGTTCCCACTCACAAGACTGTTTTGCACGTGGCGACTCCAAAATCCGAAATGCCTGAACACATCATCCACGCTGCTCGGTCTGAGTGCGGGAAGTCGGGAAGCCTCCTCCGCTAGGAGCCTTCTCTGCTTTGCCTTGACACGCCTGGATCAGGCATTGAGCCTATGCAAGGAGAAAGCACCAGACATTCCGCACAATTTGGGAAAGGACACAGCTTTATCGGTCGGTGACTGCTCAGTCTTCGTTGCAATCACCCCGACATTGCAACGCCGACTTCGAGGCAAACTGAAGCTTATCAATTCCTCAAGCATGTCATTCCCGGCAAACATCTCAGGATGGGAGGGTGTGACACACTGTCTGCTTCAGGGTGCTGCAGGACGTGGCCAGAGGACGCACCTTACGAAGGAACCCTAACGCACACTGTGCAAACACCATCACGAACCTATACTCTACCTGCACAAACGGCGAAAGCACAACACAAACAGGTTGAGAGATATATGTACGAGTACCAAAATACAAAGACTGAAGAAACTTTCCGAGTCTGAACTGAACTCTCGACGAGAGGAGATTAACTATGCCAGCAGATCCCCGAAATTGCCCCAGCTGAGAGCCCTGGCTTTGGCATCTTCTCCAGTAGAGCCGCCCGCAGCGCTTTGGCCGCCCAGAGGCCTCGCTGTTAATTCTTGTGGTGCTTTCACGGCGAAGACAGTTAGCTTCAAACCCAAAGCTGTTGCGAGGCTTCTGAGTGCATCGCTTTGGCTGGAGTAGGGCGGCGAGCAACCCTGAACCCCAACTCCCAAATCCTCTCAACTAAAACACAGCAGAGCCACAGGCACTACACGATAATGGCCCTGGCGCAGGCAGGGCAGCCTCTGCGGCCTTCGGCAGGTTCTGGACGGAACTTGGACATATCAGAAAAGGGGGCCGGCATAAGTGTAATGAGAGCTTCTGTCAGTCTCCTAGCACACCTGTGGCAGCGCCGCAGGGCAACCGCGTCTCGAAATATAACCCGATGCAATCACGGATACTTGCAAAATCTCAAACGCATAACCGCAGAGTGTTCTGGCTTATGTATATATATATATATATATATAAGCGTGTACCCCCACACACGGTGGTTGGACCGACCGCATTTGAGGAATCGGGGTCTTGGTGACCTGCCACTCCGAAGGCTACGGTCTCGAGGTTGCATCTCAAGGCCGGCTACGAAGAGTGTGCACACAACTTCCTCAGCACTCCCTTTCGTTCAGAAGACGAGTAAAGCTGTGACAACGCCGCAGCGCCAAGTAGATGCCTGTGTTTGCAGGTCAAGCGTTCGCCAGGCCTCGAACCAATGGTGAGTCTGCCGGTGCACCAACCCCCCCACCCCGAGTGGGGTATTTCATTTGCTCCGAAACACCATCTCCTGCCTCGTCAACTGTGCCTCAACTATCTATGGATTTGCCAGAGTTAAGCCAGTGCCGCCGGTTCGAGAATGTGCAGGGGCAGCAACACAAAGAACACGAATTCCAACTTGTTGAGTTTCGCCCACCTGAGCATACAGTGTATTAAGAAAGCTAAGTACGTACTTGCACCTTATGAATCCACGGAGCAGCTGATCGGCTCTTCCTAAATTACTAGCATTGACCTGTTCATGGCAATCTTCCAGCAACACATGATTTGGGCTAAACGGTCCAAGTCGCTGCTGCGTCTGCGGCCAAGACTAGCGAAAGAGCGACGGTTCGCAGCATGGCGTCAACACCCTGTCAACAATGCCAACAGCAAGAGCAAATGGATTGCACCTTATGAGCCCCGGTCTGGCACAGACTTTGCAGCTCACGGGATGCAATCGGGAGGAGAGGGCTTAAGTTAAGTGAGTTTAGTGCGTTTTGAACTTCTTTAGTCAGGTGGTTTGTTCGGCTTCGGGCTTCGGGATTGGAGCTTGGCCGTCCGCCCTGAAACAGGTCCCAAGCCTAAGCCCACTACTTCAGTGGCAGACTCTACGATTCTACAAGTGTGGATTCACGTTGTGGGTTTCCTGCTTGAGATAAGGGGCGGGATTCCACTTACGCGAGGCCTCGAAGCCTTAAACTCGAGCCAAAAGGGGGCCGGTGTGAAAGAAGAAACTCTTCATCACCCCCGCGACGTCCAGGGTCTCTATGGTTTCGAGCGGATATTCATGTTCATGGGGCATTAAGTGCGTTGTCCTAGCCAGGATAGCCTCATTGTGGTCAGCCAGCTTTGAAGGAAGATCGGTACTTTGTCTGTCGAGTTTAAACTTCAAGGTAGCAAAGATCTGACAAACATCTTCCACTAGTCACTAGCCCCATATGGTGTGACTCCTAAACACTTTTCCCAACCCTATGCTCGAGCTTGATATCCAGGCACGACATCACCGAGTTCCAAGATCTCCTGGAGCTGGGCAGCTTTCCCAAAATCCACAGCCATGACCTTCCAGTCAAACTTCGCTTCTTTTCCAGTGTCACAGAAGCGAAGCTGCTCTCGAAGCAATGAATGGGGCGCTCCCAGAAAAATCGTTTCTGGGAGCCCACGATAAGAAAGCTGAACCTGGAAACTCGCACTGCTCAGCAAAGTCCATCTATTGCGAGCTTGGAGAACTCCCTGCAACATCCCACCGATAGATGCTCGGTGCAACTCGGGACGACCTCCGAAGCTCTCTCAAAGCCGACCCGACTTCCCATATGCCATGCTAGGCCATAATGCTATGCAAACACAATATCATCAAACGAGTATCGCCATCTGCGCTCTCGATGCCGGAAAATGGAGCACGGCGGAGTCTTTCCGCGCACGACTGGCGCCACAAAAGTGACATTGTGAAACTATTCCTCAGGATAGCTAAGGCTAAGACCTTGGCAGCAACTGGGGCTTCTTGTAGGCTCCCCAACATGATGATCAACTTCTCTATACCAGTCAAGAACCTCATTCCGTGAACCTTTGTTCTTTCCTTGCAGCTGAGCCGAACCCTGCCTCAATTTTTAACAAGACAAAGCCGAATTCTAGCGCCTACAGCATCGAACACCAGCATCCGCAAATGGACCCAAAAGAAACAAACCTAACAGACATCGAGATAGGTCCCGAAACACAAAAAGTCGCTATATACACCTGTGTTCATAAATTCAACCTTCGAAGGGAGCGCCTCTGCATCAAACCTCCTGCGCCAGATCCTCGGTCTCCCCGAGGGCGGCGAGCGGGTCCTCCTCGCCGTGTCGTGCGGCAGGCGTCGAGGCAGCTTCCGGCAGCTGACAAGGAGCCAACCGGCCGTTCAAGTACTCTGTTACAGTACTTAGACCCAACATCTGACAGCTCAGGCAAGCTCCTAAGACAGAAGCGGAATTTGAATGCTGCCAGCTGGGAAACCTCATCCGGATCTTTCACCGACTCGATGCTGTTCCAAGCCGAGAGCCGGCGCTGCTTCTCCTGCGACCGAGCCTCACGAGTCTCGAAACGCTACATGAAATGTCACAGACGAGTCTTCATCAGCAACTACCAGACCATAGCAAACAACTTGGCCAGGTGGACGGCTTCACCCCGAACAAGTCAAGGCCACAGGCTATACACTGTGCCGTCATCACTGCATAACTATATGTTTTACAGGGGTGGTCTCTGCTGCGTTCGGCTCGGCTCATGCACAAAAGCCAGGGGCACCGTGCGTTCAACATTCAACACATCGCTCCCCCGTACAAATGCTTGGACACTTAAATGAAGATCGCGCCTCGTCTTTGAAGGAATAGAACCGGGAGATCTTTCCAGAATCTCGGTGCTGATCACCTGCATCGGGAGTCCAGGTCGAAGGATGCTCCAAGGTGTTCCAACCGTATGTGCGTGTTCAACTATATGTGAATCCGAGGGAATGCGAGAGAGAGAAAGAGAGAGAGAGAGACAGAGAGTTAGACTTAGTTAGAGTTTGGGATGGTGCGTACGTACATGTGCATATGAGCATGTCTGTATATATATATATATACACATGTGTGTGCCGGTGTCTCTGTGTGTTCGTGCATATACATATAAGCTCTGCCGAACCTCGCTTGTGCGACTCAAGCTCTGCTTCCTCGTGGCTTTCCTCTGCGAGGCTTTGGTCCTGGACTCGGCTTGGGGCTTGTTTCGGTTTGGAGAACTCTTCTGAGTTAGATGGGTGCGAAAAGAGGGTGAACTGGACAGCGTGCACGTTGTCGGAGAGTGTGCAGCAGCATGGGGCCGTGTCTAATGAAAGTAGTGCTGCCATCCAAGTGGGCATCTCGCTCTGAGACTCGGTACTGAGACCCGAAACCTTCGGGTCAAATAAATCAATGCTTTGTCGAATAACTCCAAGGTAAGACCAAGGCGGGAAAGTTGGCACTGAACACCCACTTCTTGAAGCTTCCACTGTCATCACATACCCTTGCAATGCTTCTTGCGTCACATCTCTGTTGCACAAGCAGTGGCAATGCTTCAACCGTCTAACTTCACCGTGTCAATTCCCCTCAGCTCGGACTACGCGACTGAGAAAGGTCTTGATGCAGCTCCCGAGGCACACGTCCAATCCTACTTTCATCCGAACCTGCTCAATTCCTGATTGACAAACAAGGCGCCGCGATAAGCGAGAGAAAATGCCGGACGTCGGCAGGAGCTGGCAATCGATACCTGGCAAAACTTGGGTTCTTGCCATGGAAGGAACTCAAGCTCATGATGCACGACGAAACCAGAACACCAATTTCTTACATCTTGATGGATCTCTATGGTAACTCAAACTCAAGTCCTTAACCAGAACACAGACATCAACTCTTCGCCTCCAACAACCTTAGCCGGAGGAAGCAGCCCACAAGCACCGAAACTCTGCTCGACATCCCCCAAAGAACCTCTGCGAGAGTGCGAATGACGGCCGCCATGAGCGTTCTATGCAGCCGGCCCCGGCCTGGTCCTAGTAATCCTCGCGCTAAAAAGCTTTGTGTTGTTGATGGGAGGCCAAAAAGGGGGTTTAAGATTCTTGGGGTAGGGATTCCTTAATATGAACCCTATTATGGGAACCCTACTGGCCCTACTAAACCTGCATAGGCTAAAACCCCTGTTGGCCCCACTATAGGAGTTTTGCAAAAAGGCCACACTGCATGTTCCTGACCCCGAAGGCCTTGCGGTGGTCTCGCCGGGGCCGACCTTGACTGTGTAGGCGTGGCTCGGCGCCTCTTGGAACATTGACCTTCGATGCGGCACAGTTGGAAGCAACATAAGGAGACTAGTTGTTGTGACCTGGCATGGTAACCTTCCGCGCAGGGCGGGGTAGCCAGAGGGTACGTAGAACTTGTATGGCCATAAGGAATTCGGTCCTTTTTCGCCATCAACTCCATGTTGTCAGGACGGTCATCATTCTGAGATGAAGCCGCAGAACTGACAAAGACAGGGTTAAGGGTTCGACGCACAAGAACAGCTCTTCTCTCACACAACCAGCAATGTGAGGGATGTCATGTCTATGACGACTACACGCATGACGAAGATGATAAAGATGTCCTAACCCGTGATTCAGCGACACTGGAACTGGGACTACGCCGCAGGTGAGACTTTGGCATGCCTCAATCGGCAGCTGTACTTTAGGGGCTTTCCAACCTCTGGATGCTATGAAAATAGCATTTAAGGCTGAATTTGGCCTAAATCACCCCAGCATAGAAGAAGCATGTGGTAGCCGTTGGCTGCGGACATGCTGAACATGGGAAAACACAACATTGCTCTCTCAGCCGCCCTATGAGACATACCCGCGATCTCTCGGACGCCTCCGTCCAAAGGCCTTTGGCCGCCAAAGAGGCAGACGAGACTGAAGAAAATGATCCTGAAACCATCACTCTCGAAGTATGTGTGGTGTCCCGGAGTGTTCGGAATGTGTTGAAGAGGGACAGCGATTCGTAAAGTGATGGTAGTGGCCCGCAATGGGGGAGAAATGGAAGCTACCACCAAACCCCAATCCAATCCAAAGGCAATGTCAATCAGTATGACATTGGAAACTTTGCTTGGCGGACACAAGAAGCCGGCCGGGCTTCCAATCCGATGCTTGACGGGCCATAATTAAACCTTATGAAAGGGTCCCATAGTAAGGGTAACTCGGTACTGCAAGGGTCCTACCAATACTTCAACGGGTCCTATAAAGGGTATTATTGGCACCAATACTTCAACGCACAATCAGTGAACATCACTTCAAGCGTGGATGCCCGCCAGGGTCAAAGACCGACGGCCGTTACCAGCCAGTCCCCTTGCAGTGGTTTGCTGGCTACTGCAGGATCCTGACCATTCCACTCGAAGATACCTTGCAACCTCCCACATGCCGAAATTATGCCGAAATTACACAAGTGCATCACAAGTGCCATCCAAAGCCCAAGCCCTAGTGAAACGAGGTAAGAAAAGAGACTTGTAGCAAAGCCGGAAGTAGCGCTCAACGAGCCAATCTGCAAGTGTCCCGTTGATGTGCCAGAAAGGAATCGCCTTGTGTGCAAATCTACACCCGCTCTGGTCCAATTACCCAAAGCTCCCACCAAAATGCATTGATGGCCAGGAGCCAGTTGAACAAAAAGGCATATCACCGCACTGCGCACAAAGGTCACGGATTTTGCTCAGATGACGAAGCCTCCGCCACGGCAAACACCTGCAGAAGAGTCGGAAAAAACGGTTGCCTCGCTTGAACAATCTTGAGGCTTGGTCTTAACAGCACCTCAAAACCTCCATCGCAAACAAAAGAGAGACTTGTCGCTGGAACTTCTTTCGAAGCCCTTCGAGAATGGCTCTTCAGCTTTTGGAAGATTGGCTGACTGGCCTTCCCGAAGCCATGGCTCTCCCTTGAGATGCCGGCAGCCCTGAACAAGGACTCGAAATTCCTGAGCCGGCTTGGAGCAGCAGCATCACCGTCACAAACAAAATCGTCGTAGCAGCTAGCAGCTCCAGATTTACTATCATCATCATCATCATTATGAAGAACAGATATCATCAGTTATCATGATAGCATCTATTGCCTCCACCACGTGTAGCTTCCTGTTCCTCCTTGTTCTGATTGGCATGACCAGTGGTGTACTCATCATCTCTTGATCACTTGTGTCCAAATGCGTGCTAGGAGTCTTGGTATTGGCGCGTGCAGCCTTGGGTGAGGTATTTGCCAGCACCTGGCACGGTACCAGTGAAGGCACAAAGCCAGTTTGTCTACGGAGCTTTGTGACCTCTTCCACACAGAACGCGCTTTCGAACCGAGCTTCCGACCAAAACGACCGGCATCGAAATCTACACAAAACGACACTGGATCTATTTGGACTCCAGCCTGCGCCAACAAGAGCTCGACTTTCGTTTCCATGCGGAACATGTCGATGGCCTCCATGGACACAGCTGCCAGGGTTTGCGGTTTCCAGATCTGCAGTTGCATATCTCCGTCAGAAGATGCGGTAAGCTGGCTCTAAGCGCCCGGGGCGCTACTAAATCACATTAAGAAAACAGCTCGACTCAATGATCACAACCCTTCTCCACTGGTCATTCTAGGCTCCATCATTCCAAGGAAGCCTTGGCAGGCCCTTTCAATCTTCTGGCATTCTCGAGGAACCTTGCTGGAGGAATCATGGGGCTGGGACTTCTCGTGGTGTGCATGGTACGTCGGCCAAAGTAGCCCTACTGCTGTCCTGGTTGTGGCTGCTGGTGAGCTGAGGACTCGAGGGTCGATGGCTGAAGTACTGCTGCAAGTGGCCGAAGCTTTGCTGCGGCCGAGAAGCTCGTCAATTGATATTTCACCGTCTCCATCATCAAGCATTTCGAAAAGACCCAAAAGGTCGTGGTACTCTAACCTCGGCATAATTTCCACTCTGCCCCCAAAGAAGAAAACGGTTGTGAAGCGATGCTAAGACCTGCCTGAGCCTGAGCTGCACTTCCCGGATTTCCACCGAGCAGCTCGAGCTGGCTCATCCAAAATTTCAGCTTTGGACTTTGGACCTGAGAACGGAAAGACGAAGGATCTGAGAAGATGACCGTCTCGCTCCCTTTGGACAGCCATGACTCCATGACCCACTACCTCCCCACAAAACAACGGTTGGGAAACGGGAGGATACGAACAGTCCGCTACGAAGAAGAGCAGCAAAGATGGCAGGAGCAGGCCATCAGCCACAAACAGCCGAGACTCGGCGTCTGGGTCTACAGCCCGCAAGCTATGAGCCTACTCCTGGACGCGAATCATGTGCAAGAATCTTAGCTAAACCAAGTCCTCCATCCTGCGGATGCCAAGCAGAGGCTGTTCGGGTTTAGGGCGCTTGGCTTAGAGCGATTTGGGAAGGCTACTTACTCTCCTCCATTAACCCGACAGAAGGCAAGCTGCCAGCTGTGAAAACTCATCCAGCGTTATCGAGCCGTCTCCAGAGGTGTCGATCGCGTTAAACAGCCTTTTCACCTTCTTCGAGTACCAGGCCTTACAGTCAGAGTTGTGTGGGTGCTTATTTCGAAGGCTCGGTGAAGAAAACCTGCATCCGGAATCAGCACCTCATCAAGTTCTTTGCCTATTCATGTAACGCGTTGCATGACTATTAGGTCCTTCGTTCGGGACGTTTGTCGAAACCTGGTCGACATGTTGGGGGAAGCACTGGCGGCAATTTCCGCGGATCCGGGACCCTCGCTACCTGCACTCTACATCGACGATCGTGCAAATACAAAGGGCCCGAAAGGAGCTCGTTGCTTGAGTCTTTGTTTCGCAGCCACCACTAAGCACCTCCTGGCGAAGACCTAAAATACTGCCATCACACCAGGCTGCCCAGTCTTTCTGCTTCTGCTTGAAGGCCAAGTCTTCATCATTGTTTGCCAGAAGCATGGTTTGCTGAACGAAGACTGCATTCACGACATTCAACCTAGGAGCTCAAGAGGTCAAGGCTTAATGAATAGACATTTGAGGCTCCATGTTGAAGCCCCCAACAGGTTGAGCCAGGGGATCCCGGCTGACAGTAGTGTGGCAACAAATGCTTCCATCAACAGCGCAAACCAGAACCGACCCAAATCCCAAGCATCAGCCTAAGCCCCTTAGCTCTCTGTCAACTCCTGCCACGGCCTCGGAGCACGAAACGGCACCGTTTTTGTTCGGTGCAGCCCGGCAGCACAGCAAATCCTATCATGCACCGGTAGACCAAGAAGAAGATCGAGAACGCCTCGTCCACGTGGTCGACGAGCGCCCGACAAGGTGGCCCCCAGTTAGCCTAGGCTGTTCAGTAACCCACTGGGAAAAGCATATACTTTTTAAGGCTTCTGATTTTAAAATAGGAACCCAGAAACCTGAAAGTAAAAAAGTGTACCATTGAACAGCCTGGTAGCGAATAATATTTCAAACATCGTCAGAAACGTCCTGAAAGGGCTCATGATGGTCGCAAGACCACTTCCCGACTAGGTCGGTAATACTACTGAGTTTTACAGGTTTTTTAGGATTCTGCGACCACAAAAAACAAAAATCGACAAGAAGCAGAGGCTGCCAAGACTCCGACTGAAGGTCCCGTAATAGTCCCAAACCCTTTGACGGTCTTCCATAAGCTTCGAATCATCCTGAAGCAATCTGCTGCAATCCACCGCCAAGGTCAGGGGGGTTTGCATTCAGGGCCAATGGCCCTAGGGCTTCAGCTCAGCGTCTGGGTGTTCGGATGGGGTGCTGGTTCTATGGGCCCTCGTCAGTTCTTCAGGCCCGGTATTTCTGTATCTGCCAACTTCATCAAGTCAAGCAGGCGTTCGATTTACACAGATGCAACAACAAGTTCTTGGAACCCATGGGGATGCAAAGCATGCCCACAACCAGCTACACTCTGCGATACCTAAACCAAACCTACACAGAGCCAGGAATCCGTGACGAATTCGCGCACCAAAGCGCCGACGATCATGCCCGCAATGCACTGGATGAATGTTAGCAGGCAGAACGACCTGAAATCTTATACAGCTTAAAATGCTTAGAACACACGCAAAAATTGTTTATGAAATCTGCCGCGCATGTCGGCTCCAGGACGAGAGGCCAAAAAAGCATGTCCACTGAGGATGCGCAGCACTTCAGGAGAAGCTGCAAGGAGTCCATGGATTTCCTTCCATTCGAGAACCAGGCAGGGAGGAGAAAACACCTAGGGCCTATGCTCCGTTGAAGCTCTGCGGTTTCTGCGAAGCTCCTACAAGGGCTGATGGCCCGTGTTGCCAAAGAGTTTCCAACATAAGTTCTGGCGAAAGAAAGCATATTTGACTCCAGTCGTTGATCATGCTGCCATGGTGGCCACTTCGCTGGACTTGTGATTCAGCGGCCCCTGGCAAGCAACAACCTCCAAACGCCTTGTGCGTTTGCATGTTCTGGTACTCTGTTGTGTGTGTGTGTGTTGATTTAACGAAACTATACACACATAAGCCATCGGAAAGTCCGTGTTCTGCCCTTGGACGAGCGGCGACATGGTGACCATGCGCAAGGCCCTTGCCAGCTTTCCGAGTCGCAGCAACCGCAGATAGATCGGGTTTATCGACCTAGAGCTGGCGGCATGTCGAAGGGCTGAATAACTTTCTCGGGCTGAAGATGACAAAGCTGCGTCCAAGATTGAAGCCCGTCTTTTGCAATCCGGAGTCCAAAGCCACAACAAGCTCACAACCAAATATGACCGTGAGGCAAACTTGGGAAGAACCACTGGATCGAGGAGGTAACGACCACAAAAGCATCGATCCAATTCCTGGACGCTGCGAGGCAACACCCCTCACCCCACCACATGTGTGGGGTCGTCGGGGCCGGCTAGCGGCTAGATGGCAGCTAAGGGCTACCAGACGGTGCCTGCTGTAGTTAGGCACCTCTCAGCACTTCTACTCCCGAGTCCGAAGCACAAATCTATACGCGCTTTCATACTCGGATAGGCCAGTCTTTAGGGCTTCGTTTGCTGCATGGATTTCCATCTGCCAAGGGTCATGAACGCTCGCCAGAAGCGACAGCGAAGCACGATGATGCGCACCGTAACATCTACTGCGAAGATCAAGGTGAAGACCAGGTCTCCGATCAACCTCAACGGCCATTGAAACTGCGGCGAACAATCTGACGCATAAACAAGTAGGCCGCCCTCACAAGCCCGAGCCAAGCAACAGGACCTGGTTCATGGTGGGCCGAGCAGATTCCGAGGGGAAGAGATCTGTGTACTTCCCAATGCGGTACCTGAGCCGATAAGGTTCCTCTCATTTGCAGCTCCTATCCAGACGACTGTACCCACTATCCTTGCCAGCGATTTGAATCCATTCTCAGCCGAGTGGCCCTGCCAAGGAGCCAAGATATTGCCTCGCTCGCACATACTGTATCATGCACGAACCGCCGGTCGGCTTGATTTTTGTGTTTCTCTTGCTTGCTTTCTCTTCCGGTTGTGTTTCTGTTGCCTCCTTCCCTGTATGTGTGATGAGGATTGATGAGGGGCAGACGAAGGTTCTGTGCAAGCAGAGTTGGGGTTCACGTATGGTATCATCGACAGCAAGGCCACCACCACTCTTAATCTGAAAACGCCTCAGGCACTGCTTGATCTGCGTCCTCTGAAACGGTCACCCCTTAATGTCAGAACACTTCAACTACAGCAAATCCTAAGCTGCTTTCAAGTCGCATCTCGAAAGCCATGAACGCAACATTCGCAATCAACAAGATCGAGAGCATCGACTCGAAAGCCTCTCCATGAGATCAAAGCACTTTGCCCACGCCGGTCTGCATCTATGGGTCTGTATTCTGTAGGCTGCATGGGGCCGCTTAGCTCCGACATCAGAAGTGCAGAGAGTGCTCGTAATCTTAAACCATACATCCTTTGAAACTCGGGTCCCTAACCTCTCGTGTAGAGACTGGAAATGCTCGTAGAAACATGCGCGTGCACTTCGGCTCCTTTTTCCGGTCGGCTCTACTCTGAAGAGGCCAGCAGGACGGGGCAGCGCATTCGTGCTCAGGCAAGCAAACATGAAGCTGCTGTCGCTTGCTGTAACTGACAGTGAAGCCGCAGGGAACTTGTCTAGGGTCAACTTTTCCGCCGTTCGTGAGACTACTTCAGATTGAATGAGAATGAACTTGCAATTTCCAGGTTGAAACCACCCCGACGGTTTCGCGTAGCCTGGATGTATGCTCATCAAAATTCCTCAATCCTTCTGGACCCCGAGACCACCGGGAGCGGCACAAATCAGCTTCCAAGCGGGCTGCTGGCATCCGATCCGATCCCAGTCATTGGAACTTGACCTTCTAACCTTTTTGATATCTGGGAGTTTCCGAAAACTGGGGGTACATTATTTTTGGGTCCTTATAATAAGGATCCTACTATTTAGAGTACCATATTAGGGTCCCCTATTTTCGGAAACTCCCATCTAAGCTTAAAGGCTTAGAACCCTGGCCGCCTGCCCCTGAAGAAAGGCAGCAAGGCGTGCGTTCACGCTTTGGTCTTCGCTCTCGACTTCCTGCGGCTGGCGGTTGCGGCTAGCAGGGCCAGACATGCTTGGGTCAAGCGGTTCGTTGCCCACATCCCTAGGCCCCAAGTCTCTGTGTCTTCTTGCTCGGCCTGCTTATCTAGGTGTGCGGATTCAATGCAGATCAAGAGCTTGGACTTAGATCGTCTAAAGCTTTGCGCACACGCATCCCCGACTTCTGAGCCAGCTGCACGGTCAGAACTCGCAGCTGTCTAAAACCCCAAGAGCCCGAAAGGGACCTCCTGCTCGAAGGACAGGTCGAACTGATCGAAGTGCTCCATGGAATTGAGCCAACTTCCCTGGTCGCTTTGCTACTCCCCCCTATGGCCCATACGGCCTTCCACTCCGGGGGATTCCAATCGTCACAGACACGAATTAGTTAGGCAGCAACATCTTCATGCGCAGATGCCCGCAGCAGAGGCAGCCTCTACGCTGACGTCGCCACGGTGCTGGGTAGATCCACCCATCTCACTCGATGGGGACCTCAGCTGGCTATCGTGAGGCGAACTGGAGCCCTAAACGGCCTAAGCTCCGCGTTGTACCCGAAACCAATCTTCAGCTCTCATCACATGGGGGCCCAGCAACTTTGCTCCTTAGGCTTGTGAGGAGCAATGCCATGACGGCTTCTCTTGCACGAGTCGTGGCTGACTAGTGCATCCCTTGGACATCATCCCAAAAGGAGGACAATATAGGTAGTCTATTCTGCTCCATTCCAGTAGTTTTGCATCTTGGGTCAGCTTGGGATGCTTGCAGGAGGCTTCCGGAAGTCGCTGCTGGCCCGCTCTCTGCTAGGCTCCCCTGCGCCAAACAAGGGATTATGGAAATAACTGCTTCAAAGGCTTACGTTTCAGGTTCGGGTGAGTATACACCCCTTTGAGCTGCACAGTACGACGATGGGCGTTTGACGTTTGACGAAAAGTTGCTCTTCGGTTGCTGCTGTACTCAATAAAAGGGGCTGCCTGGGCAAGTACATATCGACCACAAAATATCTCTGAGAAGGGAGGGCTGCAACCTGGTAGCGCCGTTGGGCGTGGGAAGCCTGTCTCGAGTTTGGGTCCAGGTGCCTTCGAGTCTCCTCGAAAACGAAGTATATGCGAGCTCTGTTGTCTGTGAATGTCTCCTGCCTTATGCAAGTCCCGAGGCACCTTCAAGTTACATCAAACGAAGCAGCAGGAAGGGGCAGCCTCGCTCCGAATTCGATGCAAAAACGCACCTGCCCCAACAGTAGCACCAATACTCGTAGGATCAGCCCCACCGAACACTGCGATGACAACGGGGACAACCCCATGTCGCCAGAAACAGGAATATTCAAGCAGTTCTTCCATCACAGCCGACGATTGCCTGAGCGGTCTTTGCTCGTCTCCCTCTCGCGGAGCTCACGTCCCCGAGTTTCGTCGCCTCTGAAGATGCCAACATGTGCTCAGCTACGCGAGTCGGCAGGATGTTAAGCCAATCAAAAAGCAAAATCTTGTCCAAGTCGCCGCAAGGTGAGCCCTGCCGCGAGAAGACTCTCTCTCTCGGCCGGTCTTCTCTCCCGCGAATTTCCTCTGCTGGAGAGTCGTCCCTGCGGATGATGGTAATCCTCGGCACAACACCCATAGCAGCACCACCACACCTACGCCTCTCGCTTGTTCTAGCTCCTTACTTGTTGGATTCAACTTGTGATCGACAAAGTCTGCTCAGAGGGAGACAAGATTCTCTGGCAACCTCGTCCTCGCGACTGATGTGCCTGTGGTATCAGGAGACTCTGGAGATGAAGTCTCTGGCAGTGGCGGCAATGTCACCGTGGCCTGCAGGAGTTGCAAATCAGACGGTTGGACGGCTGAAGGTGCGCGATCTGTTCGGGGAAATATGCTGCAAGCAAGTTCACACAGGAAGTTGTTCAGACACCGACGGACACTGGGTCTACAGGAAGTGACACTGTTCCCCGCGCAAAGGACGTCCATCGGAGATTTAGATGCCCTCGATCTCTGCCCTTTGCATCTTACGATGGGCGCGCAGAAGCAGGTCAGCATGAGGAATCTATGCAACGTGCCGAAGTATCAAGAGTGTAGCAAGTCATAAGTCATAAATGGTGCCACCAGCGCTCATAGCCAGGGTGCATTAAACAGTCGCCTTTGTTGGCAGAACGAGCATCAAGAGATATCAAGAGCGCAGCAAAAATGGTGCCACGCGTGCTCACAGTTGTGCAGCGCATGTAACGGTCGCCTTGCTATTTACAGGGCAAGCAACGTGAGCTCTGTCCCAACACCCCGTCGCAAGTTCGGGCTCTCTTGCATTCGCGAGTGTCACCCTTGTTTCTTGGTCCACGTCCTTGATTATGTGTGAACCAGGGTCGTCTGGCTCGCCTGCATTCGTGCAGCATTCCCGAAACCCCAGAAGCCCAACTCCACCACCATCGCAAACAAGCTCTCCAACCGTCACCTGCTTCTCCGACTGGGTGGATGGCCCCGTGGCCGATATTGGAGCCATCGGGGCCGCCTGAGTCGCTTGAGCAGCATTGATTTCCTGCGCACAGTGCAGTGTAAGCCAAGAGTTGGGGACTGGAAGGCCGAAGTCACATACAATCTTTATGTACCGAGACACACATACATCTATATATATATATATATATATATGCATGTATACAGATATATTGTACTGTACATACATACATACATATATATATATATATGTACACATACATAGACATTTACATACAGTATGCATTTGCTTATACTTGGGTATGTGTATATACCAATACGGAATATGCATACTATGCATGGTAATGACTGGAAAGGTGGTCAGGTTGCGGTTGTCTCCAGCTCATCAGCCCGTTGTACTGGGTCGCCCGGTGCGGAAAGAGCAGTAACTGGCATGGCCTGTCAGCCAGCCCTGCTAACGGCTCAAGAAGTACATGCGGGAGACCCTAGCTGCAATGATACACGTGGGATGAGTAGCAGCAGGGTGGCTAGTGCGTTGGGAGAGCGAAAGTTTCGTCCTTGGACCTGGGAGCAAGAGTAGCTCGAAGTTTCCATTTAGATGTTCGCTCTATTACCAGTACGAAAAGCCGCATGCATGAAACGAGATGTCACGGGCATAGTACTCCTGATTGAAGGTGAGGGGTGTGCATATACATACACAGATTCTGCTCGAAATGCTGATTGACCGACTTAGCACAGACGCTACCCAAAAAACCTCAACCGCAAATAATAGCCCAAAATAGCGGCGCCCTGGCACCCTAATACAACCCAAAAATGCCCAAAACATCCCAGGACGTCCTTGACATGCTCCACAGCGAGGAGTCGAAGCAGCCTACTGAACTCCGCAGAGCAGGCTGGCATTTTCACCTGCTGGGTTCACTTTAAGGGTTCCTTGATTGTGGGTTCTTAATGAAGGCTCCTACAAAATGGGTTCGCGGTAAGCGTTCGTGTAGGTATGGTTCTGGTTTAGGGGTGGCTGCTGCGGTTCCCAAAAGCCTTCGGGTTCTTACAATTACGGGCTGCTCTTGCGGATCATGTTGGTCTGACACTGCTTCTTGGGGACCACGGGGTAGATTGGCCAGTAGGAATGCACAGGAGCGACTGTAGTAGAGTACGCATGGTTGACTTACAGGCTCCCATGGAAGCCACAACAAATGCTGCTTGGGGCAGTGGGGCGGACTTGTCAATGGCTTTCCGAGATGTGCCTTGATCGACAGAGAAGCATTCTCTGGCGAGTCTGGCTTGGGCAGGGTAAAGTGTTCTTTCAAGGTGTTTAGTGCAAGGCAGCTTCGCCTGTCGTGCTTGGCCCATCCGAAACTCTGAATTCTTGTCTGTAACCGCAGAACCCTATCCTGCAGCCGCTGGTCATTCTTGCAACTTGGTCAGGACATCCACATCCACATCCGCACACCCCCAGCCCTGGCCCCGTTTCTGTTGGAATGCACAGTACTGTACTGTGGACCTCGCGGCTCCTTGGTGGAGCCGGCATGGCGTGGCCGGAAACCCGGGAGCTCCCCCCTCCTTAGAGGGGGAGAGCCGGGCGCAACGTCTCCAAATGCTGTCTTCTCCTTTACTGGCTTCAGATGCGTCAGTTCAGAGAGGTCTGCTCTAGGCGCGAAGGATTTTGCTTGCTCCAGGTGGCTGGCATCAAGGTTTAGGCTGCCGGGAGGTTTCCTTGAAAACAAGCTTCAACACCTGTGTGTGCTTGCTACGTCCAGGCTTCTTGTCTTTTGAAGCGGGCTAGGAGGGAGCGGGTTCACTCCTCTGTCGGGAAATTTTCGGGTCCGGGGCCGGGGTCACCTCATGTTTGCTGCATGTTCGCTGGAGCCGGTATGGCGGCAGGCAAAAGCACCAGTGCACAACGTACCCGCAGCTGATCACAGGAACAAACCTTCCAGGAAATTCACAGCTGCTTCATGGTCTGCACTGGCCTCATGACGACTCTCAAGAACTAGCCCGCGCCTAACAGGTGCATGCATGGCATACACATACACGAAAGAACGGTCATCGCGTTTGAGCCATGCACCCCCAAGCTCTCAGCAGGGCCTAACTGCAGCCGGCAGGCTCATCCGTGCGGTCGTCGCCACAAATCAAGACCTGCACCCCCACCGACATGGGAAGCGTGCGCCTAATCTTTTATGAAAAGCTTTGGGTACGGCTCCAGGTTGAGCACGCTGTGACAAGGGTCGCTGCATGTCCGAAGCATAAATTACACTTATTACGATCTCTCTCACACACACACACACACTGACCCGTGCATGCACAGACACCGGTTCGACGCTTGGCGAGGAACCCTCCCGCCAAGCCTCTTCAAAGCGGTTGCGCATGCTTTCGTGCCTGTGAGCACGGACAGCACTGGAGCATAGTAGCAGTACACAGGTAGAGGGGGAATCAAGGCTTGCAACGTTCATCTCCAAGAAGCATCCAAAACCTGTTGGGCGCTTGAAGCTGAACCCAACCACCTAATCAAATCCCCGCTCAGTCAAGCTGCTGCTGCACGGCATTGCCGACCACGACGCCTTTCCGAACTGAGAGCGACGCCACCTCCACGATCCTGGCAAAGCAAGGGGTCAGAAGCTCCCACGAGCGAAATGCGCCTTTCAGCTTTTCCCGGTGTTGGGCATCCCCGTAATTACCGGTGACCGTCCTATGAAGTTCATCGGATCGCCCGATTGGGTGCCAGGTAGGGATCTGCTAACTTGTTCATTGTAAGTCTATGTTCCCACAAGCTTTGCGTGGACAACCTTAATCTGCAGGTCTCGCATATCCAGTAGAGTCTAGAGCGTCTGGCTGTCCGGAAAGCAGACATTACGTCTCAGGCCTAGCATGCCAGAATACAAAAGACTATGACTCAGAAGACACAGACAAACTTCAGTCACAGCGCCCCAGACTCTCTAGGAACCCTTTCTTCGTCGCCCCTCTGCCCTCAAATCCCCAAATCCTGTCCCGAATTTTAGCCAAGGGTCTTGTTGCCCTGGCTGATGGCACACGGCAGATTTCCCAGCATCAGAGCTAACCTCGGCTGCACGGATGCTTTGTCTTTAGCTTCCCAGAGGTCTCTGTGCGAGTGGTTTTGGGCTGTCTGTCATGGTGTTTGATTGGAGTACTCTCCGCATCCCTCTCTGAGTTGGGAGACTTGGATGACTTGGCAGTTCATTCCAACTCCAAAACACATGGGTGCATTTCAACCCAAGGCTATGTTGAAACCATGGGCTTTCCCAGCTTTGCGCCCTGCCTGTTCCCACCCGGAAGTAATTAATTGAACGCGTGCGACCCCTTCGCCTGCGCTCACGCAGACTGGTGGCTGGTGCATCAACTCCTTGGCTTTGAACTGGCCGTAATCCTGCGAGAGCTTCACTCTTGAGTTCGAGCATGCACGTGTGTAGTGACCGTAGTGTGGTCTGAAACGTCTTATTGACCCTGCAGAGCGTGCGCGAATCCTAAGGTGGCAGATTGCACTCGTCTCTCTCGCACTCTCGTGACCGTCCATCATCTGCGCATCTCCTTCTGTAGGTGCTACCCCTCTTACTGTACCTGCTTCTTGCATGGCTACACCTGTAGAGGTCTCTGAGTGTGGTCCTCGTCACAATCCCGATAATGCCACACTATGGCAGAGGCCTTGTGCTCGATGTATGCACCTAGTGGAGCATCACGATGCAGTCAAGGGTAGGACCGAGCACGAGCGACTCGGAACTCAGAATGCAGGCTTGGCACCTGGGGTGCAGCGCGTGAACATCTCGAGGACCGGACGGATTTTATCCTGAGCAAACCCGTCCATGTGTGTCAACATGCGCTCCACACTATTCTGGTATTCTATCCGACATAACTGCTCAGTCCCGGGGTCAAGAAAAGTGGCGTCAGGCCTACAGCCCAAGAAGAGGACGTCCAGTGCCCAACAATACCGTATCCACAGATTAATTACTCCAAATCAAGAGGCCATCCAGTCCAACGTGCTGTACGGCGTGAACTCCACCCATTTCCCATCGGTATCTGGCCCACGCTTGAAGTAGCCTTCTTGACCGAAAAAGCTTGGCTTGCGCGATGTCTCGGGAGCAATTCAATCCATGTCAGAGGCTATCACTTCAAGACAACGTTGTGACTCATGACCGCAAGCTAGTCAGCCATGTCCGGATCCTGCGCTCGGGGACGTGGGGGAAAGAGGTCATGTAGAACTGTGACATTACTGTACAGAATGGGCCACGAAGCCGTGTTCGGCTATCAGCGTCAGGGTAGCCAGATCTCCAAAGTGCCTGAACATGGGGCGCAGAACGCCCAACGCCCAAGAGAAGAGATACCGGGTCAAGGCTTGCAGCTAAAATTTGCGTCTTACGGAGGGAACTGGACCTTTTCTTTGCATGCTCTTACAGATGGGATTCCGCTCGTGATGCTCGTGAAATCTGAGAACTTGAAGCGAGCAATGTCTTTACGGCTTTCGATGCTAGCAACGACAAGCTTTACGCTTTCCGTGGCGGTGCTTCTAGGAAGCGCCGCCCTTGCACATTTCTTCCAAGGGGCTTCTCGAGGAAATCTCGGTTTCGGCCACTGACCTCACTGCGAAGACTGTCCACCTTTACAAGTTCCTCCAAGCATTCAGAGCCGTGCCTGTACGCTAATGCACAGGCCAAGAGGAGAGGGACGGGGAGCGAGAAAGAGAGCGAGAGAGAGTGCTACACTTGGATTTCTTTACACGCCAGATTTCCAACCGGGTCCATGATGAGCCTGACTTCAAGCACTGTGCGGCGCTACTCCGTTCCCAAATGTCCACAAATTCATCTTCTACCCTCGCGACCTCAACACACCTCTTCATTCAAGTCTTGCACCACATGCGCAGCACAACATTCTGGGCTCATGACGATGTAAAGCTTCAGGTCATCCCGCCTGTGCAAGCTCGAAAAAAATGCTTGTCATCGTATCGGCTTCGAAGAGCGTCCACGTTTCAAGCCGAATGCGGAAAGCAGAAGACAGTGCAAACCGAAGACGAGCGCCGCTGCTGCATTCCAAACCAAATCCCCTACTCCTGCCGTGGTCTGCTGTCAGTTCGCTGCGCAGTCGGCCGCAGATCTTGACAAGCCGAAAGCAATGACCCAACACGAAACACAGCAAGTACAACTTCCGGCAGTCTTATCAAGCCCTGGCCGTCTCCGAAGAGTCACAGTGTACGTAAATGTACAATGTACATACAGATAGAGAGGGGCAGAGAGAGCGAGAGAGGGAAAGAGAGAGATATGCGTATGTGTGTGTGTGTATATATACATATATATATATATATATATAATACACATATATACATATATACCTATTTGTAATATATTATACTTTGTTAATTTTGTTATATATATATATGCTACCCCCCCCCTCAAGGATCCACCTTTTTCGCGTGTTTGAGAGCCGGATGCGAAATAGTTGATTTTCTATAACGTATTCCCTTCTCTTGTCCTTCACTAAATACGCTTCGACTGCATCAAAGATTTCGCAGATCCTACATTCTGCATTTCCTTCATATACACCCTGAGTTTTTTCAAGCGACATACATTCGCGTACGGCTTCTTCTCGTGTTGCAAAAGAACGCAAGCTTGCATGCATGTTCTGTGTGTGTATAGGTTTTTGCATGCAGCAGTATGGGCCCTGAAGGTAACACGCAACAGGAGAGCAAAGATATATCATCCCATATAACATAGCATCACGACAAGTATAGATATGAAAAGAGGGCCCTATTTCTACACCTCCCATATATAAGACGCATCGAGATTATAGATAATGTCCGTAAACACGAAATTTAGCGAACCTTTCAGGGTTCAATGCCTTGTATTTCACCAAGACAGTACCCTTTAGTTTCCATTTTGAAATACTTTGCAAAAAATCCGCTCTCATACCCTTTATATCTTGTAGAAATCCATCTGAATATCCTGTCGCATACCGTATACAAGACCACCTATATATGATACACCCAGCACGCACTATATTACACATACCCTATAGGACACTCTATACAAGACACTATATAGAATATCTTTTAGGATGTCCTGTAGAGTACTTTCTCTATGTATCTTGAAACCTTTCATATGGAATGCACTGATATAGAATACCCTCATGCCTTATTGAATACCCGAGAGCCTCTAGAATACCTTATTATAAACTTTCAGTCACAGCCCGTATATCTTTTGAATATCCAGAGTACCTTACAGAATACGACATAGAATACCCTACAGAATACCTTATGGAACACATAGTACCCTCTATATATCGTACGCCTCATGGAAAACCGTCTGGAATACTCTATAGAAGACCTTACAGACTGCCCTTGTGGCCCTATATATGACAGTCCATGTATACAGTATATGCACCTTGAACACATATAACACCGCACGCATTATATTACACATACCCTATAGGACACTCTATACAAGACACTACATAGAATATGTTGTAGGATGTCCTGTAGAATACTTTCTCTATGTATCCTGAAACCTTTCATATGGAATGCACTGATATAGAATACCTTCATGCCTTATTGAATGCCCTGGAGCCTCTAGAATACCTTATCACATACTTTCAGTCATAGCCCGTATATCTTTTGAATATCCAGAGTACCTTACAGAATACGACATAGAGTACCCTGCAAAATACTTTATGGAACACATAGTACCCTCTATATGTCGTGCGTCTCATGGAAGACCGTCAGGAATAGTCTATAGAAGACCTTACAGAATGCCCATATGGCCCTATACATGACAGTCCTTGTATACAGTATATATACCCTCAACCCATATAACACGTAGTGGCTGAAAACCCAACTTTTCAACTTTTGGCCCCTAATAAGGTAATCTTATTGCGAAAGTTTAAACTTTTTACACCCCCATAGGTATTTGGGAAGTAAGAATACCTATAGATAACCTTTCAACGAGCCCAAGATCTGAGAACGCCTCAAAAAGAAGCAGCCTATTGGGTAAGAGATTTCTAGGAGTGATCCAGGAGTCGAAGAGAATAACCTAAAGAATACCACAAACCTCAAACAATTTCGTGCAGGTGACCCTAGGTAATACGTTATAGGATACCCCCTATATACCCCATATATACCTTCTTGAGTACCCTATAGCCGTATAGCCTATACATTAGGTTATAGAATACGTTCTATAAGATAATCTTTTCGTTCATGTTGATGCGTTGTACAATCCCTTATACAATGCGTTACGGAGTACCCGATGGAGAGCCCAAAACAACCTTACATACTAGGCCTTTTATAGGCCTTGTAGAATATCATCTGCAATCCCCTACAGTCTAGCTTACAGAATATACACAATGTATATGATACCCTCTGAGTACCCCAGAGCAAGTCCTAAAGATAACCCCATGGAACATTCTATAACATACCCGTAAAATGCACCATAGAATGCCTTGTAGAATACTTTATAGATAACGGGTTAATGGGAGGAAAATCAGGAGCAGAATGCTCTGCGCTATACCTGCTATGTGCCCGATGAAGAAATCAAAAACAAGAGCATATAGAACACCGTACACGATACTCCTTCTTTACATCTCAAAGACTTTCATATAGACTTTACATCTCAAAGACTTTCATATAGATACCCATAGATTATATACAAACCTTTTATACCTTTATGAATCTTGTTGAATACCCGTTGGTGATTTCGCCAATATTTACAGACCAAAGAATGAACGCTCAGCTTGACTAAGATGTTCTTCACCACTTGCCATCATTTTGAAAAACCGCTCACCAACACGAAGCACTCGAGATCCTGGTAAACATGTTCGGCACATAAAGCACAAGCTTCATGAACAAGTGACATAAAGAAAAAACATTACAACAAAGCTTTAAAGATGCGAACAAGTGCCATCGGGTACGTAGCCGACAACCAGTTCGTTTTCTGTAGGATGTGTAGGCACGGCTTGGTTCTGAGGTTCTGCACTTTAGAATATGTGCTCTTTTTAGGAAGCATTATGAGCATCAGCATCGTGTAAACAAGCTGAACTCAGACACGACGTGTAAAGTCTCAATCGAGAATACAGAACGCAGAATGTGTAAACTGAGCACTTGGCTTCAAACAGCTTCAGACAGTGTGCCCGGAGCCGAACGGAAAAACCTAACTGAAAAAACCTAACTGAAAAAACCTAACTGAAAAAAACCTAACTGAAAAAACCTAACTGAAAAAACCTAAAAAACCTAAAAAACCTAAACTCGGGAAGTCCTTCAGCGAGATATCCATGACAAGACTCTCGAGATTTAGGTTTTTTAGGTTTTTTTGGTTTTTTCAGTTAGGTTTTTTCAGTTAGGTTGTTGTCAGTTAGGTTTTTCAGTTAGGCTCCCTAAACCCCCAAACCCTTGCCCTGGGCCCTTGAAGAACAACTGTGTAACGACGTTGTCGACGGCGCGTACATGAAGCACACGAAAAAGGTGGATCCATGGGGGGGGGGGGGCACCATATATATATATATATATATATACATATGTATACACACCCATTGCAGAAGTCGAAGAACTGTTGCATCTCGGCATCCCTGCCCTCAAGAGCATGGCCTGGCCAGTCTGGCCAACATCTCCTGCGTCTCTTCGGTGGGCACCGCATCTTCAGGCTTCGCCTCCGAAAGGCTGCGTAGGAAAACAGAAGAGGACTTGTGCCAGTCTCGAGGATATTTGAGGATGAGTCGCGGCTCGAATCTTGCAAGCACTTGGTAGCATGAGCTAAGGTCTGCGGCCGCAAGCGTCTAGGATTCAATTCAGCAGTCCATATTGGGGAATTAGTTGTGCATGCTGAACTATGTACGGCAGGCTGCATTTGTCCGTGAATTTGTGCGGCTAGAAGACGCAGGGTCGAAAATCCGTAACGTGGAGGGGAGTGCTTTAAAGGATACCTCGGGCTCTCTTATAAGTCTTAACCTTCCCTTCAATTTGCAGCGAGATTGGTGCAGGCACCTCGAACTCTCGCAGGGTGCCATCGTAGTCCAGAAACAAGGCCTTCAGCCCAGGTCGAGTTGCCTGAAATCGACAGCTTGGGCTTCAGCCTGGGAATGGGTCGACTGGGGACTGGCACTGCGACGCAAGCATAGCAGTAATGCGAAGTACATGGCTGAGTCATGACACATAGATACGTGGACTCGCGCTGAATGCTGTCTATCTGCGTAGCCGTGGACACTCTCGCGCCGAAGCTGTACAGCCTTGAAGTTCCCAGCCGTGTAAGTGCAGGCAGGCAGCAAAGAACTTCTGGGCGCAGTGATCCTGCGACGGCAAGCGCCGAGCAAGCAGCACACCCGCAATCCATGCAATCCATGCATTTGTCAGGGGTTTCGTTGGCCGCGGAGCAGTGGAGTGATAGTCAGAGTGCATTGTGGCATACCATGATAAAAAACAAACTTGGCTGAGTCGTTCTCTGCACTTTCATTAGCCGAGGCAGACTCGGGTCTCAACCTCAGGCCTGAGGATCCTACAACATCTCTCACCAGCATGCGCCGAGCCGTACAACGCACTGCGTAACACTGCGCTCCATGCACAAAGGACCTATATATAGGGCCTGGCGCCCACGCTTGGTGGGACCAACAGCAACGCAAGGCTTCATGCCAGAAAGTGTGCTCTCTCATAATACAACCACCACACAGGGAAAGTGCATCTTGGAGTCATCGAGCGGGTCCTGCAAGTACTGCATGGCCAGTCTCTCCTTTGCAGGTGCCGTGCTTGGTGCAGGTTGTCAGGTTTAAACAGCCTTGGTCAAGCTCCTAATTCGACTCCTCATACATATCTGCCTACCGAAACTAGGACGGCATTAGGCAAAAGAAGCTGAAGCGCCGTTTGCAGGGGCATAAACGGATAACGTTTCCCGAGCCCAAGCAAAGTTTGGCAAGAACCTGTCAAGAAGAGCCTGGAAACCTGGGAAACCCATCAAGTCTTGAGATCCAACTTTGCACTAAGAGACGGGTCGTGCGATGCGCGAGCCCTGCAAAGGATTCTCCAGCTCGGCCAGCATGCTGCGCCCCCACGCTGCCTGGGCAACGCCACTCTTAGACGGTCTTAGCAGGAGCTTTGGAGGAGCTTGCCAGAGGCCAGACCACCCAAGAAGATGTCTCAGCTTCACAGGCAGTCTCTGCAAGGCCTCGGGTCTCCCCTCCCCCCAAAGGTCGGCGCAGAGTCGTTTTCGATGATGGATTGCCGCATGCGCTCGGTGACTTCCCAGCGCTGGTCCTCCGGGCGTCCAAAGAGATATGTTACTATGTATGTTCCTCACCGAGAAGCGCTGTGTGGCTCCTGCAGAAGTACCCTTAACTTATAAGGCTTGTGGAGGTTTGCCATATTCCTACGCAAAACCCAAAGTCTCCGAGGACGGTAGGTTCAACCTACGACTTCAAGCACAACCTGTGTCCACCGGAAGCCGTTGATGTCTTTAGGCAGGCAGTCAGCAGTCCTCGCTCAAGCGGTTTCCGCGGGTGAGCTCCAGACCAATCTAAGGAGGGTTCATTGAGGTGGTTGGAGGTCTTCTTGTGCGTTCTTCATCTGCGAAGGAATGGGGGAAACCAGTTTTCTGTGCGAGGGTGTTTTGGTCCGGGCCCGGGTGTGCCAAGCGCTGGCGAAGCGCTGCGATGGCATCCGCAACAGCATCGTCATCGTACGGGTTCACGACAATGGCATCGAAGAGCTCCTGGTCCAGAGCCGCGAGCATCTTGCATTGCACACAACTGATACGTTTCAGCATTCTGGTGTCAGCGTGCCTGCAAAGCTCACGAAACTTCCATAAGGAGGTTGAATCGTGGAGATGAGTTGCCTAGATGGCCATGAAACACCTGGCCCCAGTACAACCCGGGCTGAAGGCCAGGCATCGCCTGCGCCGCCCCGGCTAACTCGGAAAGGACGACCGTGCCTGCAGACTTGTTGCTGCTGGGCTTCCACGGCAGATAATCTACGCAGGCAGTACGCAGGCAAGATCTGAGTCCGATGAATCTAGTTTTCACGGTTGCGCGGTCTGTCAGGTCTCAAGTGAAGAGGCTCTTGACTTCATGATACGACGTACTGGCGGAGAAGTGCTGTCGCAAGCCCAGCAACCAGTCCAAAGCCACAGCGAAAGCTTCAACTGCCAAACACCCAGAACCTCAAGCCCCACTTTCGGCCATCCTCCTACGTGCGCCACTTTCGGGCTACAGGCCGAAGGCCTGGCCTGGCACCACTTTGTCTATGCTGCGGTCTTTGGCTGCAATGAACTCCTTGGCCTCATTGGGTTTAGGCTGCTGACGCCGGTCCTAGGACCTATATTACCCGTGTTACTCCCCTCTATACCACAACGACACTTACTTCACATTGGTTCCATGAGCTGGTGGCGAGGGAGAGCGACGACAAACAGGATCAATGCACTGTCATGGTGATAATGGAGATGAGGTGAAGATGGCAGTGGCCAGCGAAAGAGTGCAGATGACAACCGGACCATCCTGTTACAACTTCAAAAGTCCCTATGGGATGACCGGCCGGTGGCCTTCGATGAATGAGATTCTCAAAGCGTTGACCCGGCCGACATCCCCTTCGCTGGGCGGTGCGGGCCAAGTGATATGCCGATGCAACATTCCCTTAAGCTGGCCAGCCAGTTCAGCCCAAGATCTACCAGGTTCATTCCGTCGATGAGCGGCGTCACGAGACCTTAGTCGGATGCTCCAGGGCGCCAAAACTAACTTGGCAAGCCAAGTGAGGGCTCGGTCGTGGCATAGGGTGTTTTCGATACTTCAGCATGTATGATCCTTGCAGCTGCTACTACTATCATGCCGCGTTCAGCGATGATACTGCGCACCCTTGGTGTGAATGATGTTCCCTAGGCCATGCTGAAGCACTGCACAAGACCACCAGGTGCGTAAGGAGAACAAGGCACTCGACTGAGAGATTGCCGTGCATCTAATCGTCTAAAGCCCTCGACCGTCAATCAATGCTGCCATACCGTTCGAGCACGGGGCAGCAGTCAGCTCGCGCATAGAGGGCGGCCAGTTCTGGCATGGGGACGCCGCGGTGGATGTAGACGATCGGCTGATGCCTTGTGATTCGTGTTTGGTGTTGGGCGTTCCCAGTTCAAGATATCTCGGCTTCTGGGCGTTTTGCCACGTCGAGCCCCACGGGCACGCTTCTTCAGGGCGTTTTTGCTTGGGGGCACTTCATGGCCTCAGGGCTTTTGAAGGTGGGTTTGGACAGCGTATTCGATGGACCACATGGATCGCAACGATACACGGGCAAGAGATATCAGCTAGAGTCTGCAAGCAGTCGAGCTGCGAGAGGGTGGAAAAGTTGCCGTTGATGGTGCTGATGCTTCGGTGCACCTGTATCCCAAGCCACTTCCCTTTGTTGGTTATTGTGGTTTGCAGAAAGGGCCCACTCTGGGAAAGCAAGGTTAAATCGGATCACCTCTTCCTCGATCTTCTGGTACTCCTCCACGTCTCGCCTGCGAGGAAACAAGAGAGAGTGATGCAGGCTGTCCACAGTGTCATAAAGCGCCATGATGGAGGAGTGCCAAGGCTATCCCAGTAACCCTCTGTGCAACAAGGCTAAATTGCATATCATATCACTGCTGATACTGTCCTGCTGGGAACAGCTATGAAGACGAAGACGGTCTTGTTGTGGTCCAACTCAGTCCTCAGAGTGTAGAGTTGCATGCGATTCTGCACGAAAGCACAGGGAAGCTTACTTATACTTACTTCGAGTAGCAAGAGAACTCAGCATCAAACGGGACAAATGCTTGGCAGGTCATCCTACGGTTTTGCAAGATCTTCTCGAACCCCTTTCGAACTGAAGCTTTGGTCAAGCCCTTTCCTGCTTCTGAAGTCTCTGACTTCAAATCTCTCGCGCTCTACTCCCAGCATACAACCGGAAGCCATAAACAAGCTTGAGTTCTCCATTGCCGGACGCTCGAAGTCTCCCATGAGCATTTTCATCACATTGGCACCTGCACTTCGGAATGGCGGGACTGTTGACTATTGGGTGGCTTCGCATGTTTTCGCTTCGACCGAATCAGAGCAGGAGAGACGGGGCCACTGCGGTGACACCCGTCTGTCTCCTTCTTGCAAAGAGGCTGCCGCATAGCAGCACAAGTCTTTCTAAAAGTGGCCCGCGATACAGTGGGGACCTCCGAACATCTCCCCTGGGCCCTCACCGGGCCTATGCGCCGCAAGTTGGATGTTGCGAGCCCGCGGTTCGCCTGGCTGGCGGAAGATCGAGGATGCGAAGCAGCGGATCTTGGAGCTCAGTGGTATAAAGGGATCGTGCACGATTGCACGCACGGGCGTGGGATGCCGCGTTGGTGTCGCGCCGCGAATATTTGTTCTGCAATGCCAACTTTTGACCACCTTGCCCAGAAACGAAGCGGAAGCGGGGCAAAGTCAAAGCTCAAGCTGCTGCACTTAAAACAGGTAAGATGCAACGAGATGCAACTACAGCTTCGTTTTGTTCCGGGAAGCCTTGGGCACGAAAGTTACGAATCACGCTGCAAGAAGCCTCAAAACCTGTCAGAACCTGGAGCTCGCGAACCTTGAACCTCAGTGCAAGCAGCCACATCTCGTTGCGGGTGCTTCTGGCCGCGGTGCCCGCGCTTTTTTGCGCTGGGCTCCGGGGTGAAAGCACTTCAAGGATCGTGGTCCACACATGATCTCGGGAGGCACACCACAGCCCCACAGCTCAGGAAGGCTTTTGGGAGGGCCAGCTCCCTAAAAGGAGGACTATTTCCGGGTTCCCGAGTCCTCAAGCTGGAAACCAGCGAACTGTGAGACACTTTGTGGAAATTAAGGAAGTGAAATATGAATAGAGAATCGGTACTTACATGCAAAAATATGAACGAATAACAAAGACCTGTCTCCCCGTCCGTCTATCGAACTTCATGTGACAGACTCGACAAACGCAAGAGGGAGTCTTGGGGCATCAGTAGCCGCAGTAGCCCGAATCTTCCACGGCGCCTGGCTCAGGCTGATTCCAGGAGTCTGTGTTTCTTCTCTCGAAATAAAGCATATATTCCTGTCGGAGAGCTGTGAAATCTCTCCAGTTTCTCAAACCTCACCTCTGAAGATCCCATGCAAACACATGGAGCTCAACACCCACATGCCCACACACACACACACACACACACACACACACACACATGGCCTGAGCCATCTCCATCTCCAACGGCTACAGCACCAATGATGCCCGGCACCATGTCGTCGGTTGGCTTCGTGCGGAAACTCGTGTCCACTGCTGCTTGGTCGACACCGACGATGCGGTTGATGAGAATGCGCACATACTGCCAAAGGGCCTTGAAGGGCTGCATCAAACAAATCTAAATGTAACTTTGCTGCCTCGCTTGGGCCTATATACCCCTGGCCATTTCAATGTAGATGAGGCGCATGGGCAAAGATGTACGGTAACAATAGAGGATAATTAATTCCTCCCACTACCAGCCCGAATGCAGCTGCCAAGATCGAAGGAATGGCGATCATCCGGCGAAAATGAGGTCCTCCAGCATCTAGATTAGAGTTGCTCAACAATTCAATATGGCTGTGACCTGCCTGGAACAGTAACCTCAGAACTTGCGTGCGTCCTTTCTCCGCGCAACAGGCGTATATCATGCCGCCCATCAGGATCGGAAAGGTGACTCCGAAGAGAATACCACCAATCAGGGTGAGCGTCTCGGCATGCGCACTGAGGATGGAGTACCCTGTTGGGCACCAATCCTTTGAAACAAGCTGCCGGCTTTTTGCGAGCATCGCAAAGCAAGAAGAAACACAAAACATCCCCGAACCCTCAGCAGAACCCGGGTACGCCTCTATTTTAAACGCCGAACAGGCACGTCGTGCTCTGCCACCACGTTCAAGTAACCACCACTGCAACCGCCATAGCCAAAGCAGCTTGTTTCGTAGTATAAGCCCTTGAAGTCACGAGGATCGGTGGGCCCATGGAACGCACTTCCGTCGCCCCTCCATTCAAATGTGAAGCTGGTTCCTGTAAACCTCGAATTCAGATGCCTTGAAAAGCACTCCCATGCTCTGCAACAAGCACGAATGAGTTCCTGCTTACTGCCGCCAAGATTCAACAGCGCCGTTCCGGAGAACCACAGGGAAAACAAAAAGAGCCTGATCATCAGCTCAAAAGAGAACTGCCACAGACCCCTTCAGCTGGAAAATGCACTACCGTCATTCCTCGCCTGTGTGTCACAGTCGTTGGCGTCTGTGGACATCCGCCGCCCCCAGCGCCAGCTGCAACTGAAAGCCAGAAGCTGAAACCTCGAGTTGAAACACGCTTCATGATGCGATGAGCAACAACCGGACAGACCGGAAAACTGCAAACTGGTGAGCAAAACTTGCAGCAAAGAGCCCATGGCTCAGACAAGAGGCTGCTTGCAAGGACCGGAACTGCTGATGCCGACAAAATGCACAAGGCACCCCAGCTCATTACGGACAAGTGGTTCAAGCCTTCGAATCTCTCCATGGTCCAAGAAGGACACAGCACCAGCAGGTGGTCTGCGGGAGAGCTTGTGTCCGCAATGATCTCCCAGATGGTGATCATGTTGGAGGCTTTGCCCTGGACAAGAAGCACCTTAGACCCGCGAAGCACTGAAATGCACTCCCAAAAGGCCATCCATGACATGCCATGCCCCACGCATTCCCTCCGAGCTGCTATGAGGACAAACAGCGTCGCGTCCACGGCCACATACCCGAGACCCAAGGCCTTGGCAACTTCATCGGATCGCGCACCCCCCCTCCCGGTTTTGAAAAACACTCCCCATCCTCCCTTCATCCAAAAAATTCTTCAAGCTCCGTGAAAACCCTTCGGGGTCAGTTTTAGCCACTATTCCAAGTGAATTTGGTACGGTTGACGGGATAGGAGTTCTCAAGGGACTGCGGTCTGTTGTTTATGTCTAGGATTCCGGCACGATCACCTCTCTCTCTGGCTGAAGGCTCTACGGCTTGTCATGTAAGGGAACTGTTCACAGTGAAGGTGCTCCATCCTGTTCCCAAAGAAGCCAAGACATGTGCAGCAGTTAGGCGAGACATGTTGCGCTCTACACAACGGCCGCCACACGGCGAGAATACCGAAACAAGGAACAACTGTAGCCTCTTGCTTTCCCATGCGAAGTATGCGGAATCCACGTTCGAACTTTCTGGAGTTCACTCTAGACCTGCTGATGTACCTAGGCCTCTTGAAACCATGCCAAGTCTAAACCTCAAATTCTCGACCCACCTCTGAACATCTTGACTGAATCTTTTAGGCATGAGCTGCACTTCTCGGGTTTGTTTACAACAGATTTTGGACGGTACGAGTAGGTTCGATGCGTGCACTTCGCTCAGTCAAGTCCGAAGCTTCCGAATCAACAGTTCATAAAGAATGCTCGGCCCTGAAGCGTGCAAGGATCATGGGTATGGAATTTTGACTCCTGCTATCGGGGCATCCTGTCATCGAAGGCATTGCTGCTGTTCGCTCCTCTGCCCGCTGAACATCTAGTCAAAAGGCCGTATGGTTGGAACGAGACAACAGGCCCACGAGTTCCCCTTCCACGCCTTTCCACCTCAGAAAGTGCCAACTTGCCGACTACATCTTGCAGCCCAGGCACCATACCCCAGATCCAGCTTCTGGAAGCCATGGCTCGAACACGACCACGGCCACTTGGTCGGGGCTACAGAGGTTTAACGGCTTTGCCGTGTTTGGACCTCAGGCTCAACACCGCAAGTATGGAAAGCTTGTAGCAACTGTGTGGGATGTGGGTTCGAGCATCTTCGAGCCAAGACATGTCAGTGCCGACGATGTGGAGTTTGTCAGTATAGCGGCAGCACCTCATGCCGGACAGGCTGCTATAGCATGCGTTCGCTTCAAAGACACACGAGATGTGTCGTACGGGATGACGGGGATCGATGCTGCCACTTGCCTTGTCGAATCACCATTTCCAGCATCCGGAAAGCAACTACAGAACTGCAATGGCTATTGGGGGCTCTGAAAAAAGTCAGGGATATCATCACGGGCTTGCAGCTCGATTGCAAGCTCGAGCGCGCTCTTGTTGCTGAAGTTAAGTGTTCAAGTCAAGCTGAGCTTTCATGTTCAGCGCAACTGCCGTCTGATAGTTGCCACACATGATTCACCACCCCCCTCCCACAAAAACTAACATGGATGCTGGTACCCTACGTCCTTCTTCAACAACCTAAGCCTGGAATAAAGCACAGCCACAACCTGCAACACCCACCTTGTGCTTGTCGAGCCGATCGATGCGTTTCTGCAGCTCCTCCGCCACTGAGAATAATCGAGGTATGAACTTGCCATTGCAAAATGCCATTGTTATCCGTGCTGTTGCTACTCCTGTTGTCATGATCGGGGCTACTGTTGGAAATCATGTGACTAGTGTTGCCCGTACTCATAATACGGCCATTCTGTTGTGCAATGTAGCATTGCCGTGACCTGTAATGAAATGATACGGACGCTTTGTCTGCCATTGTTTCTCTTCAGCGCATTTGCTGACCTCGTATGCTTGCTCTGGGCAGCTGGCTGGGCCTCGAGACTCAGGGTAGCTTCCTTTGTCTTGGCATGCCAGCTTACTGGCGAGCCCATGCCTTATAAAGAAAAGCCTCAGTAATTTCACTCGGCTAAGGGTTGAAGCATACGCTGTGTACATATGGAGACTAAGTCTCTCATTGGCTGTAAGTCCGTGGTGTGAAAAACTGCAAGGAGGAATTTCATGCTGATGGATGAGGCTTCGTCGACGTGACCCTGAGCTCCTCGATGCGGTCTGTCCTCTGTGCATCCTCATCTTCCGCACTCCTGGGCTCATCCCTTCAGCATGGACCCCACAGTATCGTGAACGGAGCGATCTGCTTCGATATTCGGCGGAATGACCCGGCTGCTTCGATCAGCCGGCTCTGCGGACTATTCGATGTGGCATTCGATTTGTAGGGGTTGGTTATTTGGGCTGGAAGTCCACCGGTGCTGGTCCCTTCCCTGGTCCGAGACTCTTCTTCGCCTCCTCCAGGTATCTCTGGATGGCTGCCAGCTTTTGCCTGAGAGGGGCAGGAAAGCTTCGAGATTCGTGGGGTAGGAGCTTGCAAAGGTCGCACTCTGCTAACTCCACAATTATTGCGACACCGTCCAAAATAACCTCACAGGTGTCCGAAGGCCCGCCAGCACCCACCCGCAACCCAACACTGCCACGTCACGGAAGGCCCTTGGAGTAGTCCAACCGCTCCACGTTGAGAACCAAGCTCTTGCCTTGCTGGGATGGGCTCTGCATCTGGCTGGCACCCGACAGATGAGTGAGACTGTGAACGCTGCAGGGCAGCCAGCAAGGGCTTAGGTCGAAGTGTTGCCTGGAACGGAGAACAGAGGAAACATGAACACCGCAACAGCCTCGGTACCGGACTAACCAAAACTGGTAATTAATACTAGCTGGGCCAACAAGCATGGCCGTCCCCAGACAAACACGAGCTGACAATCTCTTCGCGAGCCGTCAGGGCACCTTGGAATTGCTCGGTGTACTCTTTCAAGTGCTGTGCGAAGGTTTCCTGAGCATACGAGCGGCGAAGAAAACGGAGCTAGCATTGATGACTGCACAGCGCAACATGCGCCGAGCATGCTTCTTGATTCGATGGAGTCTGTGAGGGTCGAGACTGCGCTTCCTGTAAGAAGCCTGACTGATGCTGATGTCGGCCAGGCATCCGTCTTCATGGCATCCATGATATCATTCACCTTTGGTCATACACGGACTTGATGCTTGCATGTTGGCAGCGGTGTGGGGCAGAGGTGAGCTCCGCAGGGCAAGACGAGCCCCAAGAGAGGCATTGTCATACTCAGCACTATATCATGGGTCGGGCTTGTGCCACGATAGTCACACATGGCTCTTCCGAAAAGCAACACAACATTAATGGTACGGAGCAGCCCACCGCTGTCAGATTTGCATAGACTCCTCTTGCACGGCATGTCGCAAATGATATTGCATGTCCTGATACCAAGGTGCATTCGCCCCAATGGGAAAAACGCCCAAGTGAGTTCTTTGACCTCGATGGTCTACGTGGTCGATGTCCTGCAGACGCTTGGCGTTTCGTTCTTGCTGATGGGCTTGGGTCGTCTTGGCTGCCGAAGATCGCCGACCGTCAGCGAGCTGCTGGATTAACGACTACAGCAGCGGCAACGAAGTACATTGGCCGGCACTCAGGCCGGCTTCCTTCTACAACTCCGGCTTAGCATCATCTCCGGAATCCTGTAGGCGAAATTCCCCAACCGAACTTGAAACTATTCCCAGCCCTTACTCTGTGGAACCCGGCAGGTCCGGCGTGAAGCCGCAAAGACGGATGACGCACGACCGGAAATGCCGCCTTGTCGTCAGCGGCGGGGGGGTTCCGGGTGGCATAGCATGCGGGCGCTTTACGAAGCTGTTGGTGGTGCGATCTGGTGCGGAATACTGCGCTCTGGCAAGCCTCAGCCTGCTCTACCTTGCAGCCATCTTGAAGGGTTGACGGTCCACAACACGGTCTCGCTGCTGGGCAGGGAACAGGTAGTTGTAGGTATGGAAGCCCACCAAGTCAGCACCCAGCACGCCCTCCACCACATCGACACACTGGGGCAGCACGCACAGGACCTGGCACTGACTGCAAAGTCCAGAGTCCCAGAGCTACAGCCTTTCAGTGGCAGATCCGAAAGGCACACTTCGTCCTGCCTCGTACCCTGGGAAGGGGGTGTGAAGGAAGAACGCCTCGTGTGAAACGAAGCACAGCAGAACAGAAAATGCGAAATCTCCTACATGCATTTTTGTACTTTCCTCCGCAGGTACTGGGGAATCAGAACTTTAAGCCACAGCCGGGATGCAATTCGCAGCTTGCTTGCCATCTCCTTGGTTACTTTTTGGCGGCTTGCTGCAGGGCTTCTTAGGAAAAAGCAGGTGGCGAGCACTGACACGGGTATCGATGTCGGTATGGGGTACAGGTTGCTCGCGAAGAGGGAGGGCTCAGAAACTGGCCGGTCGATGGGCGATCCCGCAAGTGATTTGAAAATCTCCGATGGGCTTATCCAGTCTCCATTTTGACCGCGCAAGCTCCGACAAACAGCTCTACCTAGGTCCTAGGTGGCCAAGCACCTTCGCAGCCGCGATTGAAATCGGCAAAACAAGGAGTTTCTCAGACTGGTACCTGTGGTCCTTGCAACAGGAACGCTGCCTTGTGCTGGTGACCTGTCCCAGAAGTCTCTTTTTTGGAGAAATCCGCCGAGGCCAGAGGCCCAGGCGTCTTGGGGATTACCTCAACTACCCTCCACCTGATCCTCCTCCCTGCATCCCAATGATTGCGTTCGTTTGCCACCCCCTTGCCCGGCTTCCCTCATTTTACCTGATTTGTCGGCCTCCCCCCCCCCCTCCCAGGCCTTCCCCCCCTCTCCTCCCCCCTCATTTTACCTGATTTCCTCCCCCCTCCCCCCCCTCCCCCCCCCTCCCCCCCCTCCCCCCCCTCCCCTTCCTCAACCGTCTAAGGGTGGGGTTGGACAGGCCGCCCTAGCATTGAAAAACATCCACTGCCCCCGCTACACAGCCGAGGCGGGCGGCGTAGCGTTAAAATTAGTCTGGTCTGAAACTGAACACCTCTCCAATCGGCCCAGTTTCCACTTGCGTGATGCTTCGCCGCATCTTCTTCATCGATGCATTTGGGTAGCCATCCCTCGTGGGAGCGATGCATGGCACGGAGCTGAAGGCTTAGAGTTAGAGGCGGGGCGTGCGCAGGAGCAAAGGAGCATCAATGACAGCATCGTACGAAACGTCGTATTAGCTTGGTCTTTTAACACTGCAGTTGATGTAGAATAATTCCGCGAACAACCAACAGCATGTTTCAAGGGCTTTCTGGAAAAATCCCGTGTTTCAAGAAGGACTCGGCCGTGCGGTTCCCATGTACATAGGAAGCCAGAGCCTCTTGATAAAACCTTCAGAGCCAAGAGCCTCGCAGCCATGCTTACAGATTCGGATTTTTTCTTCTTGGAGTTCAAGGCTGAGACTGCAGAGCCGAAGCTTAAGAACCCCCCCCAACATCTGCCTCTTCGGCACGAGGAACCCCGAAGAAAGGACCAGCTGAAGCTCCTGGTAAATTAGGTCTGTCTATCCTAATGAAATGAATGAATTATAGTCTATCCTATCAGGCCCTTCCGATTGAAGGGAGACTTCGGGTGATTCCGCCTGCCAGGCTTTTCGGCAGAGTCCTCCTCCGCCGGCTTCTCCTCCTCCAGGCAACAGACGGCGCTACTAGATATCGTTTTGCCATGGCCATGGGAGCGAAGAGAAAAGGGGGGGACTTTCCGAAACCACTCGAGAAATCCAACCGTAGCATCTGTGAGGAAAAAACCGACCAAGTCCAGGGATCTAGGCCCTAAGGCCCTAAGGCCCGAGGCCAGCTCCTGCGGGGCTTGGGGTGGGCGTAGCTACTCGTGCTCCTTCAAGATCTGGAGGCCGCCCAAACAGTGAAAAGCCTACAGGTACCGTTTCGGCTCTTTGGCCAGCAAGAACCGTGCGCGCCGAGCATGGACCACGAAAAACAGGGCACACGGTTCGCCCGGCCCAGCTCCTCGCCAAGCAAGGTCAAGCGATCCGTGCAGGACTTGAAGGCGTGGCGCTCAGCCTGAAGCTCGGGGCAGCCGTCGACATGACCAGGCTCGATCCCAAATCTGCCCGCTGCCTTCGGCGAATTTGAAGACATCGGCTCCTGCAACAGTGGCAGTGCCCTCTCAAACCACAGACTGGCTCAAGGTGGAGGTCTATTTGTCTCTCCTTTCGCTCTTCCTTCCTGCTCTGAGATCTAAGATCTCCTCTCTAGTCTAGACACAGATACATAAACATCGACACATGCAAGCAGATCTCCATCGACACACGGCTTTGTGTACCAAGTCCGGCAAGCAGACATCATGCACGTGGATGTGTGCATGCACACATGGTGGGTGTCTGCGCGGGCTGCTCGTCCAAACGGATGTACCTAGTTGTCCTGCCTTTCAACTCTACCAGTGTATACGTGTATTCGAACTCTGCTTCCCTCCATCTGTCTGTGCAAACCAGGCCCAACACGGCGGAGTTGGAATCTACAAATCTCACCCAGGGCTTCAGTGAGATGCCGTACTGCAAGCGCCATCCACCCGACTGAGAAAACCTAAAGGCTTGGCAGCGTGCGGAAGCACCTCGAAGGTCTCGCTGGTGGAGTGCGCAGCTGCCGGCTGTGCTTCTGACTCCTCTGCATCCTGCGCATCCCAGAAGTCATGGGCTGGTCTTCGGGTCTGCAACCGAAGCCACCCGAAGCCACCCGAAGCCTCCATGCATGAGCCCTGCACAATTCACAAGGCCTCCGGGGTGCTCGGGAGGCCCTCCGGCCGCTTTACGTGCCTCACGTCAGCGTCCGCATGCGGAAGCTCCGGGGGCAAATGGCCTGAGGAAGGAGTGTGCTGCCAGAGCCAGTATTTGAAAAAGGGTCTTCGATTTCGAGGTGTGTGAAACTGAGATCTGACTCATGCTGAAAACGACGACCCAACCTGAATCAACCCCAAACCACAAAGACACTGACGATCTTTTTCGCAGTCAGATTTAGGCACAACGTGCTTTACCAAACCTACAGCTTGGATGGCCGGGGTTCAGTGGCAGCATTTTGCACATGCTTGTCGTCACGACCATTTGCGCCCCACCTGGTCTTTCGAGCTGAACCAAGCCAGACTTCTCTGCCTCTGCCTGTCCAGTCAGTAGTGTCACTTCTTGGGATGGATTTTGGAAGGAAGAGGTGGAGATACATCCTGAGATGGACTTCAAGAGCGCTTTCCTTGCATGCAACTTGCTCTGGCCAAATGCCGAGGCAGACCCTCTCTAATCGTGCACACACCACCCCAAAAACCATTGCATGGGCCTGTACCAGCTTGATATCGCGCTTCTTGCGCAGCATCTGCGGGACCAGGAAGAGGTGGTAGTCCTTGGGTTGACTTTGACAAGGAGGCTTGGCCACAAGATCAACCAGGCCGGGAACCCTAAAGATCCCTCACCTGTGAGCAGGGTCCAATTGGTTGTGCCAGTGCTGGAATGGAAATCTCGCGGCTGCTTATCGACTGAGCAAGGGCCTCTCAAGAGTGCTGGCAGGTCGCATGGATCCATACGAGGTCCATCGGCGTGGCTTCCTCGGCCCAAACAAGTATGGCTGTGAAGCAGCTACTTTGGGTTGCTTAGCTGTCTACCTGCTGCAGCCAATCGACACGAAAATGAATGCCTCAATAAACAAATGTGAGACAAGGCGAAGGCCTTCTGCTCCAGGCCTGTGGCTACTCTCAGCTGGGGGGCCGTGAGGATGACATCTGCAAACTGCTCATTCACCCGGCGATATGCCTCAGGTTGTCGGTTGTCGGGCTCTTCTCCACAGTTCACCACACGGGTTCGTCGGTTCACAAGGCAAGCCTTCGCCGGGCAAATCCGACCCTCAATAGCCCCTGATGCCAGATGCAACACCTTGAGACAAAAAGATGTCTTGCAGTGGAAGGACAAGCATGACAGGTACTTGAAGCCGCAAGGCGAGGGTCCCCGTTGCCAGAATCCGTTGAGCAGACGGGCCGAGCTGGGTAGCCGAGGTCTTCTGCTATCCTTCAGCACTCAGCTATACATCAAAGCGGCCTCGGCCCACACGCGCTTGAAGCGCGCGTTCGTCGTCATCCAGTGCATCAAGGGCCACAAGGACGAGTTCGAGAAGCCTGCGGCTTCAATCAAGCGCTGGCCTTAAATCTCAGGCTACTTCTTGGCCTGGGATTCCGAGCAGTCTGTCCTCGGGCTCAACTATGACTATGATCCATAATGATAAGACCTGTATGGCTCACCCGAAGACACTTCAACAAGGTCTCACTTCTTGGCGATGCACGAAATTACTGAAAGGACGTCGAACCCTTGACAAATCTTCCATGCTCTAACCTCCCGTTGCTTTGGTAAGCGTCGAATCTGCTTCCAAGACGCCCATTCTTAGATCGGCAGGAAGCGCCGCCGTTAAGATTCTCAAACCCTTAACTCGAGGATGGCTTATCGGGTAGAGTAGATTGTTTGGGCCTGGAAGGCTTCTGTGAGGGGATCTGACTGGACACGCAACTTTTCTTTGGATTGAAATCCACCCGAGCTTCTGCCTGTGTAGAAGTCGTCCACATCACCTGAGGCCGCTGGGCTGCTTTGATGAGTTTCTAGCAGCAGGACCCTCGCACGGCGGCATGAACCGGCAGGGACTAATGTCGGTGGCTTGGCCAAACACATTTCGTTGCACCAAGTTGGCAACAACACCTGTTGAGCATGTTTGACAAAGCACGGGAACTAGCACAGCAAGAGCCGTCAAGAATGCCAAGAGGCCCTGCTGGAGCCAAACCTGAAGAGCGGGCGGGTCTCATCTTCTCCAAAGAGCTGCAAGCTGAGGTCGGGCGAGAAAGGAAACAGTCGTGGCTCTAGAACACCGGTCTGCAAGCCGGAATCGAGTCTAGAAGAGAAGTGGAGCAAGATCCAAGCACCCCGGTAAATGTTAAATTCTGAAGCCAGGCAGCCGGGATCATCCGGCAGTTCCATGAAGCAGAAGCCTTCCCGGGACTGAAGCGAGTAAGGGGCCCTCTCTCCCAAAATGCCCGCAGCTTCGAGGACCGTAAGGCTCAGGGTGCCGCACTTGTGATTGACGGCTTCACGATCCTTCAGCACTCTCCTGAAGCAAAAAGCCCGTCCTTTATCCGGGCTCCGAGCCCTGGACGGAACCTTCAGCTTTCCAGCCTCATAGACTTCAAGAAACCCGAAATGCCCCATGAGCATCCCCTCATACCACAGCAAGACTCTCAGGGTCTCTGGTTGCTCCCTCCGCTTTTTCCCGCACCCCGGAGCCTCAGCGAGACGCTTCGTGAGCCGCTCCTGATCCTCCGAGCTCGGCACGCAGCCCGGCCAGCCGATCCAGAGGGCTTCCTGAAACTCCGTGACGGAACTGACGGAACTGAAACCGAAGCCCGGAAGACATGCATGATGTATGACTGTTCATGGGAGATGCCTCACCTTCTGGGCAACTTGCAATCAAGGTGGCTTTCGGCTTCATGTAACCTGCAATGTACCCTGCATCGCCCCGGTCCCCCAAAGTCTGAGTAATTCCCCGGACGCTATTACACGCTACCCCGGCCACGGAGGCAACTTCAGGCTGAAGCTTCCTCGTAAGAGGCGATGCAGCTGCGAAGCGCAGAGGCCAGGCCTCCAGCCGACCTCGAAAGCAAAAATGGAAGCCGGAAGCCGTCGCGGAGCATGGAGGGGACAAGGGGCCAAGCCTTGGCCTGGCCTGGCCTTGCTTGGGAGCTCCTCTCATTTTCAAAAGCCTTTTTGGGGCCGAAGATCCCTTTGTTTGTCAGTGCCAGGCAGCAGTTCGACGTCATTTGGTGGCTGCCGATCTGGATGCAGAGTGACGGGCAGCCGGTTGGACACAACCTTTCAGCTGTGGCAGTGGGCTCTTGCAGGGTGGCGAATGTCAGGGTCGGAGTCCTTGCAGCTGCGCTAGACTTTCGAAGACTTGGCAGCTTTAACCTTGGGTTCCGGCCACGACTCGAGGCATCGCCAGCTCTTTGCATCGGAGGCGAAGGGCGAAGGCTTTTCTATCTCTTCTGTTTCGGAAGAAGGACTGCTGAGGGAGAGCTTGACTGGCTGTGGCTGTGGCTGTGGCTTGGTGATGAGATCAGGGTGGGGCGCTGCATCTGCTACGCTGCTACTCTGCTCTCAGTTATCTTGTGGAAGGGTGATCGCATCGGTTGAGGCTCTGAGCAGAAACTTCTGAGATTTGCGGTTTTGGGCCGGAGGCCTCACTGGAAATTCCAAGAATCGCGAAACTTCCTTGAGCGGAGCGAGCGGAGCGCCAGGTGATGTGTTGACTTCTTGCAGCTAGCCTACAGTGCACGGCACGGCCGTGCATGAGAGCCAGACCTCTTTGCTGTCACAGCGTAATTGGACTTAAGGAGGCAATCGCAGCATGGCATTCTAACAGCCCTAGGCCCTTTGCAACTGCGCAGGATTCAGGAAATCTCAGCAACGAGAGATCGCCATCTTGGCCCAACCCCAGCCACGGGTGGAGACCTGCCCCCTAAGCTATCTGGTGCAGGCTCACCAAAGGCTGAACCTACAATGCCTGCTGCGAAAGACCATCCAAGCATGCAGCTGGCAGGCTAATTGAGTTGAATGTACCGAATTGCAAGTGGCTCGAGCAGGGGGAGCCGAATGCTCGCCGAAATCTGTGATATTGCGTTGTAGACTGTAGGAAGTTAGGAAGAACACACTTGTGATGCCCTGTTCTGGCACACAGCGCCATCACGAAAGCTCCCACCTCCAGAAGCCACTTTTCCTGAATTCCAGCCCTGAATGGGCAACTGCCAGGAACTAAGACCACTAACTAACTCTCTAATTCTTGGCGCCTGCCATTGAGGTTTGAGGAGACATTGCCTTTAGCTTCGTGGTCCACGGTACGCCTCGCCTCATGTCCTCAATAGCACGCCGACACTCGGCGGCAGGACATTCTGCCCATCCGGAGATCGCTTGCTTGATAGCGAGATCATGCTTGCAGGCGCACCCGGGATATTCCTTGAGCCTAAAGCCTTCCGAGCTTATGTGGTGTGGTTAGGTTCTTCTTTGGGGAGACGGCTTCCAAGCAAGCAGAGAAAATGCAGGCTGCATGTGCGGATGCGCAGCACCGCTAAGCCATTAATTGAAGCATGCATCTGCTTCTCACAGCTCTCCCTAGACCCCGAAGGCAAGGGTAGACTAGGAAATCTCAGAGGATAGGAAAACTTAACCTCTGCACTATACCATCATTGCACCGCGGGGTCACCGGGCCAGAAGGCCCTAGGGCCCTAGGGAAGATACACAGCCGAGGTGGTTAGCACAGGCCTTCGGCAGATGGGGCACATCCGACACTGGCTGGCACACCTGGGCTTGGACTTGATGCGTCAGGGTCCCGGGATAGATTTTAATTAGAAGAGTACAAGAGCGGAAATGGGGACGACAGTGCAACAGGGATACTACTGGCAGTGCCCGAAACCGCAAGGAGCTGGGCCTTTGAGTCTCTGAGAGCTCTGACCTTAAGCCCCCGAGGCCCTGGGGCCCCTGCTCCTGGCAGCAAACGACGTGGTGGCAGGGCTGGAAGATGCACTGAACGTCCGCATCAGAGCACACCACGCCTCGGTATCAGCCGGTTGCAGAAGTGCTTCGACTGACACCGCCACCGACTCCATGTTGGGTCATGACATCGCTGCAACTCTTGCGCAGTTCGTGCCGACTGCCTAGCACAAGACACTCCGATCCTTACAAGTCAGCTTGAACCCAAGGATGGGCAAACTCATCAATGTGCGGCCGACGCAGGCCGGGCGTTCGTGTACTCCATGCGGCCAAGAGGCATGTGAGCCTAAGCCTTGCCACCTGGGTGTCTTTGCGGGAGTAAGACCGCTCGCCCCGCTCAGGAACTCACACTAGGCCGAAGTCGTCAGGGCACCGGACCTAGCCCCGACCTGACCCAAATTTGCTGCACGTGCACAACAGTGGAATCTCCAGGCCAGCTCGGACCAAGCCGAAATCCTTGTTTGATATGCTTTCTCAGACCCTTTTTTGCAGCTGGTCTCTGAGAGTCCAAGCAGTGAAGAAAGCACGCCCATGGACAAAAAACTCTTTTCTTCGCGACTGCGAAGGGGGGACTGGCCAGAGCTGTGCACTACGGCCTTTCGTGTTCACCCGACCCTAAACTTCCCTAAACCCTTATCCTAAAACGTCCGACTGCTTCCGGCCCGGTCTCTTCAAGGTCTGCAGCGGCGGTGGAGGCCACAGCGCGCAGCGAGGCCTCCGCGCTCGGCCGCGAGGGGGCAGAGAGCATCTGTGGTGGGGTGTTTTCAGGTAAGTGGTAAGGATTTGAAGGCTTCGGATGGATCTTTGGCGTTCGGGGATCTATGGGGCGTTGTGCGCTTTTCGGGGCTTGCGCAATAGAGCTCGGTCGTTCATCGATAGGTTGCGGATGATTGCGGCTTATTAGAGCCTCGTAGATCTGCGACCCCACCCAAGGAAGCCGCAATAAGACTCCACTGAAGTTGAGCACTGCCAGTATGGGCCTGGACATGAACCCTGCATACACCAAATATGAATGGGGCATAAGGCTGTAAATGAAGCAAGAATGCAGGCGAGGCTCGATCTCGCTGTCTTTGGCTGCGAGGTCTCGCCTTCCAACTCAAAGAATGCTAGGCAGAAGGACCAGGAGTCTCAGTCATGGGCCCTTGGCCCAACAGCTGCTTTTGCCCTTTCAGAAAAGCATAGAAATGCGGGAGGAGGAACATCAAGGTGACGTGGGCTGAAGCTGGGCAGTAGAGAGGCCTTTGCGGCAAAGTGAACCGTGCCTACATGAAGGAGCCCCGAAGAATGATACTATAGTACCTAAACTCACTCAAGCTAAGGCTGGAGCAGAAAGTCTTCCTGGCGCCGTTGCAATGCCGCAAGGTTCCTGCAGTCGCTGGCCGGAGGTGCAAACCCGAGTCAAGCGTTCAATCCCGGCGCGATGCCCTCGTGCAACAGGAGCTAAGCTCCACAGCAAAGCCCGTTCCCAAAACAATCATGGTCTTCTCACTAGCCGGTTTATCAATTCAGATGCCATCCTCCAATCTCATTTTGCGACTTCCTTGACCTGGCTTTCAAAAAGCGAGAATACTGTTTCAACAACGGCCTCTCCGTCGCAGAGCAGCGAACTGGGCGTGGAGGCGGCGGGCCCTGTTGAAGCCAAACACTCGCCCCATGTGGGCTGCAGGAAAGCCTACCACTGTGTCTACAGCCTTGTGTCTTGCTGTTCGTCATGACAGTCGTTTTCCTTAGCGCGAACGCCAATTCTGCAACCAGCATCAAGATCTCTAGGCTGCCTGCGGGCCGCGGCCGGAGCAGGTGTCCTGCGCTGCGGGCTTAGCACATCGCCTACCGCCTAAAGCCCTTCAGTTTTGGTGTGCTATCTTTCATTCGTAGAAGCACAAACACCTCCTCTCCCTCCTGCCTTCCTTCATCATCATCATCACCATGATCAATCATCATCGTCATCAACACCACTGGCAGCCTCAGCATTGTCAGCGTCGGCGGCACACCATGGGCACCATTGCCAATGCCGTTCGCCAACAGCGTCGCCGTGTAACCATCCGCACCGTGACTATTTTGATAATGAGAACAGCAATGGTGGTAATTGCGATGTAATTAATCAGTCAGGATTGTACATCATTTTCTTATATACTGTATTTCCGTTCTGGCTGGCTTGGGCTGTCTTCCTCGTACTGCACGGGTGGGATGGGCTGGCTGGGCTGTCCACGCCAAGGCTACCTGTTCTTGGGTTGGATGGCCTGCTGGCGGGGGCGGCGCTGGTTGTGGCCGCGGCTGTAGTGGGTGGCGGTGAGGGTCAGGATTACTCTCACCACCATCGGTAAGATCATCATCGTCATCGACATCGAAAGGATAACAGTTTTGATCACCACCATGCAAGGCAACACGATCACCATCAAAAGCAGCACCACTTTCACCATCACCATCATCATCATTGGTCATCATCAGCATCAGCTACATCGTCAGGATCACTTGCTCTACCATTGTCTTCATCCTGATCCACGGCCTTTTTTCCGAGAGTCCTCGTTTGCTGGAGTAGTGGGCGACACAGCGGTGGTGTCGTTGCTGCTCCTCAGCACATGGCATCACCCTCAACTCAAAACTCAAAACCTGAACCCTCACACAGCAGCACTGTTTCTAGAGATGCCCAGGCTCACTTCGCGGTAGGACGTGTCGAAATCAGAGAACCGCTCGGGACTGAAGGAGTCCTTCACACAACCCAGGTGTCCACACAAAGCACCGGGCGGAGCCAAACTTGTGCATGTGGTATAATGGTACTTTACGAGGAGAAGGTGCTGGAGGACGACCGAAAAAGGAGTAGAATACGGTATGCAGAAAAGAAACACACATACATAGACAGACACGTGAATACATCCATCCATTTATCCTGACCTACATTTCTCATGATCAAGACCTGTCTCTCCCGCTACGTCTTTCGGGCGACATTGCCGCCTCGGAGACCCGCGCCGGGGCAGCCTGCTCAGGTGTTATTGGCATACCTCGGACAATGCACATGCCATGCCATGCTGCTGGAGGTTCCCTGATGCCTTACGATCGACCAAACACTCGTGCACTTCCAGTCAGCCGCAAGAGCCATCGTGCAAATACTGTGCAAATAAAACTCGAGAACCCAGCACTGCGCCGCTGT